AATGACTTTGTCTTCTTGGGTGTAGATTGGCATTATGGTTGTTGAGATTTTACGCGTCAAAGGTTTAAGTGGTTTGGACATGAGTGTGCTTAGAGAAAAACGTCCGGCTGACTGGTCCGGCCGGCTGACTGATGAACCACGTTATATTAATAGAATATAGCCTAGTAAGCGAAAATCTAGTAGTATAGCGGTAACGTGGAGATATTAGCTAGATTAGGCCTAGGCGGGCTGAATATTGATTCTCCCCCGTCTGAATATTGTTATCCGATCAAAGCCGTTCATGGCGTCTTGGCCGGGCCAAGGGCCGGATGATGGACCGGATGCATCGGCCGATTGCTGTTCTAGGAGTAGAGGCAACTCGTCGGCTGTCGGCTCGCGAGAAGTCTTGGCTTATTTTGACAGCATCCTTGTCATGCCACAAAAGCTTGTCATGCTTCATTTGATAGATTCCGATCGGAACTTTGGGACGGTGTCGCGGGGAATCATACTAAAGAAATGTTAGCGAAATGGCTCCGGAGGGCCCGCTCCGGCTGAGCGGACTCCGAAGCGGGGAGGCAGGCGGCGGAAGATAGGCGCGATCTCCGCCCGCCGAGCGGATCTCACGGAACAGATCGGATGCCGCATTTGTTAAGTAGAGCAATTCCGGCCGGAACGAAGCTTTCGCTGCGCGACATAACTCAATTCAACGGCCCGATTGCAGCTGTCACTCAGAATCGAAATATCAGATGGTTTAATTGACTCTTGATTCCTCCTGGCTGTTCTTGATGTCTGTAATCGATTCCGCAACCAGTCTATTCCGTCATATGCAGTCGCACAGCACGAGTATCATCGGCCGTTCCAAATCACTCGTTCTTCGGCTGTTATGAATCTGACTGAACTCACTCGCGGTGAGTAGCCGACTTCTCCTGGTGCCCTGTCTCTTCGTCGCTACCCACCGGCCGTCCAGCTCTGACTTCACGGTCATGGAGCTCGTCTTCCATCGTCTCAACGCCAGCAACCTCCCGCATATCCGAGTCGTCAGCGACATCGAAACTGCGTCGCAGGTGCTCGGGCCCAATGAACGTCAACAAAATGACATACACGAACACGCATCCCATGAAGATGCAAATAACCTTGCCATAGTTGTAGCGCTTCGTGGTGCCCTTGTTAGGGAGGGGGAATTTCTCTCCTAGACGCGCCTCGATGGTGGAACTCGCCGACGACACGAGGTTACCGAGCTGGTACGATGTGCCGACCACAAAGGTGCGGAAAGCCCCGGGACTGAGCTCCATCAAGTGGATGGGAATCACACCCCACGCGCCCTGCACGCAAAATTGCTCGAAAAACGCCGCCGCCATAACGGCCTCCGTCGTGACAAAAGTGTACGGGTACAGCAGCGCGCCACCAACAATGCAGCAGACGACGATGCTGAACCTTCTACCAAAGATCTGACTGCAGTACCCGACGGTCGTGCCGCCCAGCATCGCGCCAAGGTTGGCGACTACCTGTGTGACAGTGACCTGGTCGGCGTTGAAGTTGAACTGGTTCGTAAGCATCGTGGGGTACAAGTCCTGGCTCCCGTGCGACATGAAGTTGAACCCGGCCATGAGGAGGACAAGGTAGGTCAGCAGCAGCCAGTGCCGCTTCAGCGCGACCTTTCCTTCCTTGATGAACGTCGAGGTGACATTAGACTTTTCTGTCTCAGACTCCGCGGTGTGCCTGCCAGCCGCCTCGCGGAGACGCTTGTGCTCGAGGAATGTGTCCGTCTCGGGCAGCATGAGACGGAAGATGATGAACAGGACCGGCGGGCAGGCGCCGAACCAGAAGAGGGGCCGCCAGCCGTGTGGGGTGGTGTTGACCAGCCCTCGGGCAAAGGCCGCAGCCAAAAGGTATCCGAAGGCGTACTGATCGGCAACAAGGTTAGCCTCGTGACGTCCGTTGCTGTTGGGCAGATGGAGTTGGGGCAGGTCTGGTGGTGTGGAGGAGTTCGTTGGCTCCGTTTCAAACTTACACCTTGTTGTAAGACGCCGGACATCATTCCGCGCGTCTCTGAGGGGAGGTCTTCCAGCGCCGTCGCGGCGGCGTTGCCGTACAGACCGCCCATTGCGACGCCAAAGAGGGCGCGACATGCTAGGAACTGTTCATACGTTTGGCAGAAGCCCGTTCCCTAGAACAAAGGAACAACTCATGTCAGCGCACCAACGATCAGAAAGCAAGCGTTCGTGTCACTAATGCGATGCCACTGATGTCACTAGCAGAAGGCTAGTTGGGTACAAGGGGGTTGGGGGTTGGGCGGGGGAAAGCTGGATTGTGGGGGAACACAGGGATTCCCCAACGGCGCAGCCAAGACGGGCGAGAGGGGAGGGGAAAGCTTGTCTGCTGCAGCCGGGCTCGGCACAAACTTGCCGTCGGGGACCAATCACGGCACCGGGAGGTGGAACAGGTGAGTGATTATTTCTTGCTTACCAGTTCGAGGATGATGAACAGGATGTTGTTCACGATGAAGGGCCATTTGCGGCCGTATCTGTCTGCCGCGATGCCAAAGAGGATAGACCCGACGGATCGGAACATGAGAACCAGGGTGATTCCCCAGGTGATGTCGGTCTTGGACTTGTCGAAGGTTTCTGAAAGCTCGGTGACGGTGAGAGATACGGTGAAGAAGTCGAAAGCGTCCCATGTCTTTGGGGAACTTGTCAGCAGCGGTCCCCAAATTACAACGCGAACCATGCGTGGCTGGCACATACCCAGGCCGCAAACGCGACGGCGAAGAACGCCCACTGGCGGCGGTTGATCATCACAACCAGCTTCAACGGGTTCGGCGCGCTGAGCATCGGCGGCTTCAAGGTGCTGAAGCGGGCACCGAGGTAGCGACCGACAGACATGCCGTGCCATGGCGTCTGGTCCTCATGGTGCTCGGCATGGTGGCTATGCTCGGGGTCGACGTGGCTCTTGTCGTGGTTCTCCATAGTGTACTTGTACGTCGTGATGGCCGTGGGGAGGAGGATGAACCACCAAGGTTGCGTGGGTAGGCAGAGAATCTTATATCCCAGGATGAACCGACGGCCTGTTCTCCGTGAGCACCAACATGAGCGGGGCTATCCATGAGTCAAAGGACACAAATAATGATGCAGGCTGGCAGGCTGCTAGATAGGGCCGACGAGGGTCGAATCCATGCCGGGGGTGCGCCGTCGCCCAGGTGGCCTGGGGATTTTGGAGAGACCATGGAGATAGCGCGGAATTGACGTGTCGCATACGCAAAGAAAGTCGTAGGCAGATGTACTCGGCCGGTGCCAACCGTCACTTTCTTTAGTTAATCACTCTCCCATTGAAACAGAACTCTCTGAGATGCTTTCATGTCGGTTGCGCCGAAGTGTCGCCGTCTATTTCCCCTAACTTTCCTGTCAACTTCCCCAACCGAGCGGCCTGCCCAAGCTTCTTCCCCATCCGGTGCCAAATGAGACGAACACGACACAATACACATCGAACTCGGATGAGCCCCAAAAGACTGTGCGCCCTGTCAGCGTTGTGGCCCCGTTGAGGGCGTGACATCACGTCAACAGCCAAGACGGCTATGGAAACCGATGCAGGGCACCCTGGGAGGCGACCCGGCAGCCACCGACATCCACACTGAGAATTCAAATGATTCTCCAAAAAACCCCAGCGCTAAAGGTGCCCCCGTGGGACATGTTTGGAGAACCCCAGCGGCAATTGGCCCGCCACAGAGCTTATCTTCGCTTGGCGTTGCCCTCTCCACCTGCGGCCAGGGACCGGTGTGCTCACTAACGGCTCGGTCAAAGGCTTCGCCTTTCGCCTATCGACGGTCCTGCAAGCTTCTTCCTTCTAACTTTTCTTCCGCAATTTGCCGCCTGGAGGCGCACCTTGTTGACTGCCGTATGACTCTGACGGGGAAACATGTGGAGGGTCACAGCGTGACCTCTATGGCTAACCGGGGTATATGAAGGGGATTTTTGAGCCGCCTGGCCAAGCAGAAGCGGGCTTTAAATTTGGGCTATGGCAAGGAGGCATACCGAACCACCATTCATTGCACAGCCTGGCGTATTGCATGAAAGTATAAGGCCGGTTGCAAGAAAGTTACGATAGGTCTTAAACGGTTACCTGGGCCAAGTTTCGATGAGAATTTTTCTCGTACGAGAGTTGTCTGAACACAAAAATACTATCGACCGGAGATGAACTCGTAAGAAGACTGCGGTAATGACCATTGTGATTTGACAAGGGACCATTATGCCCTTAAAAGTTAAAATATGGCAGTCAACGCTTCTAGTTCCCAAGGTTGCAAAAGTCGCATACTCGTATTGCCCATGGAGCTTTCCATCTCAATGAGAAAGTCAAAAGGGAAGAAGGAATTACCTCGATCCTGACATATTTAAATGCACTGACTGCCACAACCCACAGCCATCCGGAATGTTTACCATCTGGTACCACCACCTTCAACCACTACCTCCAACCACCATCTTCGTCCACTGATTTCATCCACCGCTTTCGCGGAACTAGTAATCATGAGATTCCTCGCCGTCTGTGTTTTAGCACTAGTGCTAGTCGTTCTCGTCGCGGCCGAAACAACATCCGCTTCCCTCAAGCCTCAGAATAAGTTCACATCGAACGGCCCCAAGAAGGGTCCCGAAACACATCTCAAATCCCTCCGCGTCGAGCCATACACTTCCTGCCGCTACGGAAGAGACAAGATTTACAGGATTATCGCAAACCGAGTACCTCTGGAAAAGATGAAGAAAGTGTGCAAAACATTTGAAGACCACCTCCGGAGGGGCAAATGCGGATACATGAAAGACAAGGCAAATTTCAAATGCGGATACGGTGGCATTGGCAAGCTCGATATTATGTTTAATGCACAGGGTTGCCACCGCATGGTCGTAAGAGAGGCCTGGCGGGTTGCAACGGGAAACACATATGGCGAAATATATTGCGGTCAAACAAAAGACCAGCATCTGACTAACCCTAAATTTGGGAATGTGGAGGTACCTGATGTTGGGGTTCCTAAGACCATGCCACCTTCTCCAGCATTGGGTTGAGGCCGCGCTTCAGAACGGAATGCAATACGGCATGTGGGGCCTACCAGTCTTCAACTCTTTTTAGGGCATCCCTGACTCCTGTTCAGACACTACTAGGCTTCTCGCCAGTAAATGCTGTTGATCGCATTTCGACCACAACGGCTCCGCAGACAGTATGGACACAGGAAAACATGAACTTAGACCCGACCCGACCCTGTTGCTCAACTCGTTTGAGTGGTGTTACGCAAGGCTGGAAAGAGTTGTGTCTTTCAAACGCGCCGACGTTTTTACAGAAATATCCAGACTCGGGCTAAGCTCTAGGTATCGATGAGCCGCTCAACATGGATACACTAGTGAGAAATGGCATTTAGACAAGTGCTAGTTGATCAGAATATTGCAACTTTTGAATTTGGTTTCCACTGCTGATCATGAAACATTTTAAGAGACAGGCAGTTTCACTCCCGTGAGATTTCCCCAGAGCTCCAGCAACTGGTCCTGTCTCCTGATATCCCCGGTGAACTCCTCCGCGACGTCTTCCTTCTTCCCAGGCTTGAAGTACTTTCCACTCACGTTCCCACCATCGGTTCCCTCTGCAAGCATGACATATGTAGCCGTGCCATCATCAGCGCTACCCGGAGCGCTCTGTCCGCCCATCTTGGTAGCCACCCAGCCAGGATCAAGAGAGTTACTCTTCACGTCCGGCCATAGACGCGCGACAGCATTCGCCAGCGTGCTTACGTGCAGCTTGGAGTCGCAGTAAGCCTGGTTCTGGTCCCAAGCGGCCTCTCCTCGCTCAACCCACGTCGGGTCCTTGAAGGTTGCGTCGCCGCTGCGGTGCATACCCGATGACACATAGATGATTCTCTTGGGTTTGTTCATGAGGCATGTTAGAAGGTACGGCGCCATCACGTTGACCGCTGTGAGGCTCGAAAGTCCGAGGTCGGTCTTGCGGTACGGGCCGCGGTAGAGGCCGGCGTTGTGGATGACCACGTCAAAGGTGCTGAGCTTGTTGGCGTCCTCGGCTAACTTCTTGGTCTCTGCGATCTTGGTGAGGTCGCCGACGAGGACGGTCTCGGCCCCGGGCACGGCCGATTTCGCATCTTCGGCGCGCTGGGCGTTGCGGGCATGGAGAACGACTTGGTGGCCGTTTTTGACGAGTTTCTGGGCCGCAATGGCACCAAGGCCGTCGGAGGAGCCGGTGATGAGAATACGGGCCATATTGAGCTTTGGATTGGTTCTATTCGGAGTTGCTTGTGTCTGATAGCAATGAGTGAATGTGATGAGACTGGCGGGTTTTGATGTGGTTCTGCTGAATAATCCAACAGTCCCGCAGTCAATCAAAGCGCGCATGTGCGTTAGTTTCATGGTCTGGAGCTTGAGTTAACTCCGCATTCGTGGCGAGGTCCTCGCGATGGCGAGCGCGATAAGCGGTGGAGTTGATTGAGGGGTTGTTTACGTCATCCATTCGTCGAGATTCTCTGCCGTCAATGACACCTACTATTGGCTGAGGCTTGGCTACATTTAGCTCGGGAACAAAATAATTGATAAATCGAGACAAGCAGTAAACTAGTTGTTTGCGTTGCCTGAACACGGATCATGGCTTCTTTTGTGTCGGGCTTCTTTTCCAACATCCACCAGCCTGCCTGCAGCTCCGATTAGGTTGATAAATTGAGGTATTCCAGTTGGCTTTCAATGATGCAAATTATTCTTGACTGTGAACTTGCCACTTGTGACTTTCCTTTCGGTCAGACATCCCTTACACTCACGAACGACTATTTTGTTGCTTTCGAGTTATGTAGGTACACCATAGGCAATCTCACATTCAGCCTATGCGATAATTGTAATCCTCAACAACTTCGTCTAATCAATGGCCTTCGAATACTCAGCACAAACATCAAATTCAAACAGTCCACATCATGAAGATTTCAGGGCCTTGTGGGGAAGAGACACGCTAACGCAAATTCGATTTCACCAGACTAATCAGACGTCCAGGCAGCCAGGTGTGTAATCCATGACAAGTATTTCCTCCGTAAGTGAGTGGAACATGGGGAACAACACTTTGTGTGCAGGATCCTCCTTAATGAAGTAAGCGCAGTCGTCCGCGTTTTCAAACTCAATCTTGGTTGAGTGTGTGAAGCCGTACTGCTAATTATTAGACTCTAGAAAGCTGCCGACAACATGTTGCAAGCACTCACCTTGTTCGGTACGATACTCGAGTTCTTCCCGCTCACAATAGAGAGGATGTACGGCTTTTGCGTACTAGGATGCACGCATTCATGCTGTAGATTCCAACTACGTTTCAGAGCCTGACACAGCGAATCAACATGTGCTTAGCAATTTAGAAGTCAAATATCTCACATTCTCAATTTCTGCAGGACTGCAATCAGGCTTGAATTTCATCAAGACAATGTGAATAAACGGCATCTTGTAGTTGAATCAGTATAAGCGACCGATCGGTGTTTATCAAGTTGAGAAGCACAATCTTGAGATGCGTCCTTATATACGGTGTTCAAGCGCATATGTTCACTGGGGTTCAATGCATAAAGTTCCTCTGTGGCGATGGGTCGGGTTCTCCGGTTACCCGTTAACATGTTCCGAGTGACCCGCGAACTCCGAACCGGAGGAACCGAACCCCATTCATGAGCCGATTCAGCGTTGTTTGCTTTTACACCACATCCAAAATCCCGTAAGAGACAGTCTTCTTTACCGTTCTTAGTGGGCCGTCAAAGATCCGCATGCCCGTCGGCCCGTTGTCGCGACGATGCGGTCCCGTGATTCGGGCTCACGGAGAGGCTGCCGGCGGCGAGCGGATCGCAGGACCTTTACACCGCATGATAGAAATGCAACCAAAGCATCTCCGATCCCCAATGCCTAGACAACAAACGTTTTCACTTCTGTTGGCCAATTGCATTTTCGACAGCCTCTTCAATCCCACATCAATATGACTTCAACGGCACCTTATGCGAACGATCATCGAGACACCAACGGCCCGGGCGACGCCTGCCCCAACGCGCTCAAAATCATCCGTGATGAAGGCTTGGATGGTAGTCTTCAGGGGAAGGTATGCCTCATCACCGGAGGAACGGCTGGCATAGGAATCGAAACCGCCCGTGCCATGCACGCCACAGGCGCTGATGTCTATATTACCGGTCGCGACACTCAGAAAGGTGTCGCAGTTGCGGAGAGTCTGACCAGTGACGGAAAGCCGGGCAAGGTGGTTTTCCTACAGATGTCCTTGGACTCCGTAGAAGACGTTTCTGCGGCTGCTGCGCAATTTTTGAGCATGTCGGAGAATTTGAACATTCTCATTTGCAACGCAGGTACGCCGTCTCGCCCTGCCTTACCGACCTGACTTTATGATCACATTGAATAACTCCGCATAGGAATTGTGCTTCATCCCAAGGATCTTACGAAAGACGGTTTCGAGACACATTTTGGCGTCAACTATGTAGCGCACTTCGCATTGTTCCAGGCACTGCGCGAGACGTTGATAAAGTCGGCTGGTCCGAGCATGTGTTCAAGAGTTGTGATGCTCGCGTCCTTATCGCATCAAGCGTCATCGGTGAATTTTGAAGACATCAACTTCACGACGCGGGACTACAGCCCTATGCTTGCGTATGGAGCATCAAAGACGGCGTGCATCTGGATGGCCAACGAGATCGAGAGGCGATACGGGCGTGAGGGGCTGCATGCAACATCGGTGCACCCAGGAGCAATCCACACCGAGGCTGCACGACACAATCCCTCAGGTGATGCCGTGATGCTGAAACCTGAGATGAGGAAGTATAGGAAGAGCCCCGAACAAGGTGCTGCCACAACGATTTGGGCTGCCGTCGGAAAGCGATGGGAAAGTAGCGGGGGCCGGTATCTCGCCGAAGTGCAAGAGGCGGAGCGATTGAAGGATAATGACACCTCGTTCCCTCGACTTGGCTATGCGTCACACGCGTATGATCAGGAGGCAGAACAGCGCCTTTGGGATATGACCGTTGAACATTTGCGCACAAAACAGTAGTCCGAGGCAGCAGTCATTATACGCTAAGCCCCGCACTTCGCACTTGTTTGTACGAAGTTGCTGTAGCCGGTGCAGATAGCAAGAGGACTCTCTTCATCACTATTACTTGACCAATTCAGCCGCGTCGTTGACCACCGCAGCCAATTACAAAACCCGAACTTATATTCCATATGCGCGGGGTTTCTCCGTCTTCAATACTTTCTCAGGGAGTAGCCCGGCTCAGTTTTTCACGGACTGCTCCGTCCCCCGCACAAGTCCGGAGGCCGTAGATTGGTCAAACGGAACCATGTTCAGCGGATCATCTCCGCACATCCACAATGCCCGCAACTCAATTGCCGTTTACACGTAAAAGCAAAGATCCTCAGATCCAGACTGCCAAGTTAGTGGATGCTCAAGAGCGCCGATTCCCCGTTCGATATTGGACTTGGCTCACGTCGAAATGGCTCTGTTCCAGTTCGGTACCGTAATCCAAAGCTTTTGAGGGAAATGTTCGGGGAACCCCCGGAGTACTCCGTGGACTTAAAAGTCTTCAACAACCGGAGCATCGAGACATTATCACTTATATAAAAGGTTCAGGACGAAATTATTCGAATGACTCATGTCAACGTGTCCATCAAGTTTATTCCACGGAGGCCAAGACGCCAAGACTCCTGCCATGTGGTCGACGACGATTCCCATTCTTGCTGGCCTGCCTTTGGTGGCAAGCTCCTTCTTGGCAGATCTGCCAGCCACGTTCAATGATACGCCGGCGATATGGGCATATGTTTCCTACGGCAACCCCTCCGTGGCTGTTCTGACCGGTTCATTCAACCGCTCTGCCATAGACGCCCCGCACAAGGGAGAGACCAGTGATCCAGCTTTGAAGAAGACGTGAGTTGTCACCAATTTTGCGTTCAGTCTATATCACCCTCTTACACCGTCTAGCAATGAGTTTCTCAACACCACGAACTTCATTGCTTATGATGAGAGGTTCTTCGACATCTTCGGACCTCAGGCGACCGTCAAGCAGGTTCAGCAGTTAGCATTTCAGACCCATGAGGCGCCATGCTACAATAAAGATACCAAGGAATTGTACTTCGCCGAGTGGGGTCCTCCCGGTGGTGATGATGGTACCCACTCCTGGCAGTATATGCTCGATACCAGGAACAATACGCTGAAGAAGATCACCACGACCCCGCCAACTGTGAATGCGCATGGCTGCATCTACTACCGTGGGGCTTACCACGTAGTCACTGATGGGTCTCACAACGAAACCGGGGCCCTTGTCCGCGTCAATCCCGAGACTCTTGAAAGAACAGTGCTGTTGAACAACTACTACCAGGAGCCATTCATGGGTTTCAATGATCTTGACATTGACTCTGAAGGTAATTTCTGGTTGACGGATTCCAAGTCTGGATGGGTAAGATGACCTCAAATCCGTTCAATGGAGAAAGCGGCTGACTAGATAAAGGGCCGAGATATCGTGGATTATACGCCGCCGACAAACCCTACGGTTTACTTCGTGAACGGAACCACGATGAGACCCAAGGTTGTTCATATTACTACAGGAAATGCCAACGGTGTCGCCGTATCATCTCTCCAAGACGGACGCCACACTTTGTATCTTCCTGACACAGGCGTATCCGAGTTCAAGCCTGTGTCGAAGAAGAATCCCTACGGCAACAGGGCACTTTTCGCTTACGACGTTGCACCTGGCGGGGTTCTAACGAGCCCTCGTCTGCTGAATAACCCGATCTCGTACTTTTACGACGGTATCAGGGTTTCAAGGAATGGTTGGATCTTCGTGGGTGCTGGAGATGGAGTGGACGTTATTGACCCTGTTAGCGGTTTCACTCTTGGCACGATCCGTGTTGGTGGAGGTGACAACCTTGCTGTCAGCTTGGCTTTCGGTGAGCACGAGTTCTGGATCGTTGGGAGGGGCGGTGTTTGGCATGTCAACAATGTTGCAGAGCGTCTCGATCGCGAATGGTAATTGAAGTAATTTGGGTTCTTGGAAATTAGGCTACTCAAATATTGAATTGCTTCATAACTGATCATGGTATCATTATACGCGACACATGGTCAACGTACTTAGTAAACATAGACAAACTCGTCGTTCTGGCTGTCCGTCAAGTCCAAGAACGCATTCTCTCCCAAGTGCACACCCTCAGTCTCCTCCCCTCTGCCATCGACGTAGTGGCGCTCCATACTCAAATCCTTAATCTTCCTGGGCTTTCCGTTCGCCACTCTCTTGCGCTCTTGCATCTTGTTGGAGATGAACAGGACAATCACCTGCAGACCGATGATAGCAAGCAGAGCGCAAGTGATTCCCATGACCTTGGTAAGACCGGGTCTGTACTGCGGTGCATCCTTGGAGTTGAAGAGGAGCGGACCGACGATGTTGCCAGCAGAAGACCCAGCATTGTACAGAGACAACAGGACGGACTTCTTCGTGGTACCGGCGATGTTGGAGATCATCCATGAGACGATGAGAGGGTTACCGCCGAAGAGGAAGGCAAGCATGTAGTATGCGACCAACAAGGGCGGGATGCTGTTGCGGTCCAGGATGTAAAGCATAATGGCGCCTGCAAGGACCGGAGCCATGAGAGCAGCCAGGAAGACGGACTTGATGCGGTAACGGTGGGCCAGCCAAGAGGCAGGGAAGATAACGAGAAGCTGGACAGCTCCAAAGGGAATGTTCAGAAGAGACGTCTTGGAGCTGGAAAAGCCAAAGCCGGCAAGGACAATGGGGCCGAAGGTGTTCGTGACGGCGGCAGTGACGTTGAGACAGATGGCCATACCGACGAAGAGGTAGCTCTTGGGCTCAATAAGAGCTTCCCAAACGTGGCTCCACTTGAAGTCGCGGCTACCAGTACCAGTCTGGTTGGCACGCAGACGCTCAATAGCCTGGAGCTTCTCGTGCTCAGTGAGGAACCGGGCAGAAGGGATGTCGTTGTCGAGGAGAAAGTAGACAACCGGGGACGAGAGGACGGTCATGAGACCGACGAAGATAAAGAGGATCTGCCACGAGTGGATCGAGCCATTGATCTGGCCCAGGCCGTAAGAAACGGCAGCCGCGAACATGGTTGCCAGACCGTTGGTGCCGTACCAGCATGCGACTCGCATGGGCTGCTCAGCGCGGCGGTACCACTGGGATGTGATGACCGAGAATAAGGGCAAGCAGCCAGCCTCGAAGAGACCCAAAAGGAATCGAGTTGCCAGAAGCCCTTGGTAGTTTTGGCAAGCGGCCATGCAGCACTGAGCAACACCCCATCCAAAGACGAGGGAGGGCATGAGGATGCGGTGAGGAACCTTCACAATAAGCCACGAGGAGAACGGCTGCCATGCGAGCTGGGCAATGGCAGAGATGGAGCTGACCATCGAGTATTGATCGCCAGTGAGGTTGCAGTCTGTCCTGAGACCGAAGATGGCGCCATATCCAAGGACTGACTTATCGAGAATCTGGAGGAAGTAGACCCAGATGAGGATGGAAAGGATTCGCTTATCGGTCTTTCGGCGGATGCGCTTGTTCTGTGTTCAAAGCATATCAGTATTCTGTAAATATCACCTGTGGAAGATTTGGAAACTCACATCTTCCTCTGTAACCTCAACTTGCTGGTCTCCGATCATGTTTGCCGCTCGGTCGGCGCCCTTGGTGGGGGCTTGGCTGTGATGCTTCAATTGCTCAACATCTTCGGTCTGATGCTGAGACGCTGCGTCTCCGGTCTTGGTGACAGTGTCCATGTTTCTGGTGAGGAAGGATGTCTTCTTGCAGTCGTGGAGAGCGAAGGAGTTCCCTGGACTTCTCAACACCACGCTCTTCTCGTGGGCGACGATAATAAAGCTTCTTATACGGCGGAGTAGCTCTGCCCTGTTTTTGGCAGCGCGGTGATCTATCCGGCCGGACTCTCGGCCATACGCTCGAGCCAGGTCGTCATAAGGAATGCGCTCATTGGACTCAGCGCTAACCCCCATGTCAAAAATGTCCAATAATTGTCTTCGTGGTGGAGGTTTTCCCCCATGGGGGGATGGCGTTCCCCTCTCTGTTTGCGACGCTAGTCAGGCTTCAGCATGGGGAAAAGAAAGGAGAAATGGGGGAGGCGGCCCTTTCCCCTCAAACCGCGACCACGTTGGCACCGGGTTGTGGGGTTGGGAGGGCGCGTATTCCGCGCGCGGTGAGTCGGTCCAACTGGTGGTTTGCTTGGCAATCTGAGACTGAATCAGTACGACCCTGCCTGAAGATCCTCGGCTTTGTCTAAAAACGCGAGATTTCCCCCCCACTTAGAGGCTGAGGACACCGTTTGCGTCACATGAGGATCGGATCACCACGGGAATTCCGGCCGGCCGAGTGTTGGGTTCATCGAGCCATTGTGAACATTAAGGTTTGATAGAGCTATCTAAGCCTGCCCATTCTCTCTGAGCAGACGGAGATTTGTACCCGTCAAGATGATGTAGATTGTATCCAGCGTCGGCGTCGAAATACCCAGCTCTTTGCCCTTCTTGTACGGGTAGCCGAGGATGATATCCACCTCCATGGGTCTTCCGGCCTTGTAGTCGGCCTGCATACTGCTGCCGATTGGATGCATTGCCAAGATCTTGTTGATGAGCTTGTCAATCAGGTCATAGTCGATGGGGACGTTGCACCCCTTGGCGACGTCAATGACCTCGGTCATCAGACGTCGTGTCAAGGGCGTAGCGCCGTCCGACGAGCTGAGCCAAGAGTGGGTATCGAGAAGCGTCAGGGTCGTGAGAGAGTTCCACGCGGCATTCCACACTACCTTCTCCCAGCGCTGGACCTGGATGTTGGGGACCACCTGGAAGACGGTCTTGCCCTCTGTCAGGAAAGCCGCGAACTCGTCTAGGCGTTGCTTCTCCACACTCTGGTCTGCATCATTAGAGTATAGTCCTATTTGCATGTCCTCTGACTTGGTGTGGATGATGTTGCCGGGCTGCGGCTGAGAGGCGCCAGTCCAGGTCTAGTCTCGTCAGTTTCCAGGCAGCCGGGAGAGGACCGGGTTCTGGGGACATACCACACATGAGATGATTGTCGCGTGGGGGAACGCGCTGCGGAATGGCACCTCATTGCCAACCCCGTTTTGGATAATGACTATTGTTGACCTCTTCTCGTCCACCGCTGGCGCTATTTGAGCAGGGACTGCATCTTGGGTGATGGCTTTGTGGGCACAGACGATGTAGTCGAACTTTGCATCTGCCTCGGCTGCAGTCTTCACAACTACTTGCTGTCAGACCTGACCTGATTTAATAGATTCATGGATCACATACCTTTGTATGGGCGTATTATGTGCTCTCCATGATTCTCGCTTTTCAGAATAATTCCATTTGCTTTTACGGCATCGTAATTTGACCTCGCCACCACTGTTAATCTGACAGCAGGCACCCTGCTCAGGATGAAGGCATAGAATGAGCCGATACTTAGAGGCCCTAGTCAGCAAATGAACATATATCACACACAACATTGGAAAGCGACTTACGCCCCCAGGCCATAGAGCAGGACCTCGGTCTGTTTCTCGGTGGCCATGATGGTGTCAGCGATGCGTGTTGGGATTCTCCAACTAGAAGTCCAATTGGGGTTCAATCTATTGCCCAGGTGAGGTGATAAAGTGTGACTGTTGCTGCCGATTGTGCTTTCGGTAAAGCTCCCCTCATTCCACCGAGTATTTGTACGCGATTACTTCGGAAGAGTAGCTCAGAATCGATAGACTGTGAGCGGACACGTTCGTGCTAGCAAGCGTGCCCCTCCCCCGATGTTCGGTGCTAAGCTAAGACCAAGCACTCTGGGGAACCCTTAGCACCTCTTCGATCGGAAGGGTGGTCGGTTGGGGGTACAGCTTGGGGTTCATGCTCGTTGGAGTCTCGTGGGGGTCACACACAAGAGTCGGCCGATCAGGGCTCGGGGTCGTGTCCGACGTGGAGCTCACCTTGTTTCCCCTCACTTCTCGGTCATCTTCCACGGCGGAGGCGGGGAAGCCGGCACTGGACCATCGCATCTTGATTGAAGGCCTCAGATGGGCGCATCTCGGGAAACCTGTTGTTCGGGCCCTTAATGTGTCGAAGATTACGTAGAGGACCCTATATTCCATACGTGACATCATAGAAAAAATCAACTTGAAGGTCACACAGATTGCATTTTATATTTGACCTCATTCAATTGTGTCACTACATAAATAGGTGGTACTGTTGAGCCCATCATAGTGAATACATAATTGACCGCGTCGATAGCACTGAACATTATTTCCTGCAGCACAAAGCCCGCCGTTGAATTGCTGCCTTTCTGACCGTCCAAGTGTTGAAACCCTTTTTCCAGCCCAAACTCCTAACCTCGCAGCTGAGATGTCGATCTTTTGCGCTCCAACTTGTCGCCCCAATCCCGCGCGCAGTTGGCAATCTGCAAAGCTGTTTCTCGAATACGATTTGCTTGCCTCACAAGCCTCTGCCTCTCTGCTGGTGTTTTCGGCGACTTGCTGGATTCCGAACCTCCCTCCCTGACGCTGTGTCCCCATTCGTCTGCGGACCTTGCAACCAAGCGGGCTGCATCCTCGATTCTCTTCCCCGGAGGCTCTGTACCATCATCAAACAGGCACTCTTGTGGTTGTGTCGACATGACTCCTGCAATCAGGTTCCAGACGGCAATAAGATCTTCCTTAGGAATTGACGGTGAGATGGTGGCGGAGATGGACCGGCGTTCCGCTGAATAACTCCGGGTCAACCGGACAGCCGATCCCGGACGGGCGAGAGCCCGGGCTATCAGGCAGTTGCTGCATGCTCCGCCATGAATGCTTGGAATCTTCACGCATTCTGGTGACACGCCTTCTCCCCTCTGACACTTGGGGCATTGCTGTTCTGAGGCTTGTATCTCCCCTCTCTCGTGAAGCATGATGGCTTCTACAACGGGAGCTTTGGACACATCTGGTGGTGCTTCTCCCGATCTTCCCCTCCAAGCTCTCCGAACCGGCAGCGAACCAAGCTGCCTCATGACTTCCGTTGGTACTGTTTGCGCCTGTGATGCCGAGTCTGGTCGAATCGCACCGGATGCCGTCCCAATCGTGTCTTTCTGTCGACCTCGTGCTCTGTATGTCGCCTGGCCATGAGCCAAGTTGTCTCCCAATACATGCTTTCGGCGGTCGGATGCCGTTCCGATATGTGGCGTTTGTTGTGATGAAGCCGACCCTGAGGCTTCAGGGTTTACCGATGACCCATTTTCAGATCGAATCCGCGATGCCAGTGCCGTCGAAGGCATCCTGTTTTGTTCCTTCACAGCAATCTCTCCGGCCTTTGCCAACAACTGCAGCGAGATGTCCGCAATATCCCTTTCATCGCCCATTACTCCCTGACTCAAGGGGGCATGGCAAGCAAATAAGAGTCGCGATCCCGCACAAACCTGCCCGAAAAGAGAACTAGAATAGAGAACGGACCCAGGAGCTGGTCGAGTGACCCCAAGAGAAAGCAGTCGAACCTCGTGATGCACTACAGCTTGACGATCCACATCTCGACGGTACGAAGCCACGAGCCACTTATAATAAACATCTGCTCAAGCAAACCACGTCGGACCCTAACTTACGTAATTCTATTGGTCATGTCGCCGACGTAGCGGGCGAGCTAAGCGGTGATGATTGGCTCAGACTCATGTGCCGGGACGGTCAGATTTTGAGACCGGTTCTGGACTTTTCTCGAGAGGAGAACCGAGAGGAGACGCTTGCTGGGGAATCAGGCACTTTTGCTGTCTAGGTGGCCTTGAATCCGTGCCATGTCATCCAGCCAGCCTTAGTGTAAGGTGGCTTTAGGCTAGGGGTCTGGGGACAGTTCATCCAATCCGACGGTGAGAGAACCACGGAACGACCGCTAGCGATGACAATAATCCCCGATTGGACGGTCCAGATCAGCAGAAGGGCAGAATCGGGTTTTTTTCCCGCGGCGTGGAAGCCCGAGAAACCGGAATTTTGACAGCTTCCCTCAACTCCCAGCTCATGTCTCAGCTGACTTGCGCGCGAGAGGGAGCCGGTGCCGGGGCGCGGTGTGGATTGCCTGTTACCGAACATAGCCGGCCGGGCGCCGATCCGTTTGCTAATCTGAAATCTGGAAATTCCACCGCCAGGCCGCGAGGGGTTTAGCGGAGGCGAAAGAACAGCAAATTGCACGAAGTTCTTTCCCTCTTTGGTATTGTTACTCATGTAGAGTGAGAAGAAACAGAAACACCCCCACGGGGAACATACAGGAGACTGCGCGTCACTGAAAAGAGGTTGACCGTGTTCCAGTGAGACCAGCGACAAATTCAGCGAGTCGCGTGCGCGAGGGGGAAACCACGCCGTTCCCACAGCGGATGTCACCGTCTCGCCTGATGAATGCACCACGCTGAGTCCGGGGTGGGCCAAAAGAGTGCAGGTACATGATCTGTTTGTGTCGGACTCTGTGGGGAAGAAACAGTGGAGATGATGGGGTAAGAAGAAAAGAAAGACGGTGGTGTTTGGAGTTTGGGAGATTCCCTGTCAACACGGGCTGCTGGGAAGTCGGAGCCGTGAGGCAACTGTCGGGGACTAGAAAAAGCACCCGCGGGATGGTCTCCGAATCTTTCGTTTCCACCGATCTGTGGGGGCTAGGTGGAAGCTCTAATGATTCGGATTAGGGACATCTGGCCCATCGCAAAGGTGCCGGCGTGGGGGTCTTGGAGTCGGTCTGTGGCTACATGTACTACTTCCTCCAACTTGGGGTTGACTATTTGTGCGCATGACTTACACCGAGAGGCAAAAAGGTTGTGTTCGGATGATTATTCATAGCTTTTCTGATCAGTTCCTTGCCTCCTGAAATCTTTTTTCCTTGCACAGGAACATTGCTTACAACCACACATTGCCTCCATTTGCGCTCTTATCAACTTCAACATCCCGCTACTCTTGAGTGCGCTCTCCTAAATCGACTCCCGCCTCGTCCCACAAATCCACAGAATCATACCATCATGTCACCTTCAGCCAACGGCAACTCCACCCACAATGGCAATGGCAACGCCTCAAGACCGGCTCTTACGCCCGGTCTCTACGTCCCAACGGTAGCCTTCTTCCGCGGAGACGACTCGGTAGACGTAGAGACGACCACGACCCACGCGATCCGCCTCGCCAAGGCCGGCGTCGCCGGTCTCGTCACCCACGGCTCCAACGGCGAAGCTGTCCACCTCGACCACGCCGAAAGACAACTCATCAACCAGACCACCCGCGCGGCCCTCGACTCCGCCGGCAAGAGCGACCTGCCTCTGATGGTCGGCTGCGGCGCGCAGTCAACAAGAGAAACCATCCAGCTTTGCCAAGAGGCTGGCGCTTCCGGCGGCGACTACGCCCTTGTCCTGCCGCCGGCCTACTACGGAGGCCTGCTCTCCACCGAACATATCCTGCAGCACTTCCGTGAGGTCGCGGATGCTAGCCCGATCCCGATTCTCATCTACAACTACCCTGGCGCGTGCAGCGGCCTCGATCTCAACTCGGACACCATCATCACGCTGTCGCAACATCCCAACATTGTCGGCGTGAAGCTGACCTGTGGCAACACCGGAAAGCTTGCCCGGATAGCTGCCGCTACTGTGCCTAAGAAGGGAGACACTGGCAACCCATTCCGAACTTTCGGTGGCAGTGTCGACTTCACTCTTCAGACACTTGTTGTCGGAGGACACGGCATCATTGGTGGAACCGGAAACATTGCACCTCTTGCTTGCGTGAAGTTGATGAAGCTCTGGGATGAGGGCAAGCTGGCGGAAGCTAGAGAGCTGCAGGCTGTTGTTGCTCGGGGTGACTGGACGGCTATCCAAGGCGGCTTTGTTTCAGTCAAGGCTGCGTTGCAGGAGTACTACAACTACGGCGGCCTCCCCAGAAAGCCTTGCGCGCTGCTTGAGGGCGAAAGGCTCACCAAGCAGTTGGACGGGTTCTCTGAGCTCGTCGGCGTTGAGAAGAAGTTGCAACAATAATGACCTAGGTTAGAATGGACAATGGGCTGATCAACGGACTGTATCAGAGGTTTTTAGCGAAAATGCATTCAAGTCATATTACTACATCAATCAGCCGCTCTTTTGCGACAGTCCTTTTGCTGCTGTCCGCTCACAGAGTAAGTGCCAATAACCAGGCTGATAGTGAAGGTTTTGGCCGCGCATGCAATGAAGCTTGGGCCTCACGGGCTTTCTTGTTGCTGAAACCTTGACACCATGCGAGAAGTTCGTATTTTCGTACTGCGAAGAAGCTTTAACTATGCTAAGAATCTTCAACCAACTTTGACTTTCGAAATTCTGGAATTCACGGGCTGGCCATCAAACCCTCCAATAGCTTGACAAGTCCATACGCCCCCGGGTCGGGACAATTCTTCCACTCCTCTCCACCCACATACACGGATCTGCCCAAGCTCGCTTCCATGCCTTTGGTAGACTCACACCCCTTCCTTGCTGCCTCAACAGCGTCCTTCAAACTGCTGCTCGCCGCGAATGTGGAGACGAAAGGCGCCAGGGCATCAACTACTGTCCGGTCTCCCGGTTGGGCTGGTGTGTACTTTCCAAGCGCCGATAACGCCGACTGGAGAGCCTTGGCCCAGATCTCACTGGTAGCCTGCTGCTCTTGTGGCATCTGCTGAGACTCTACTCTAAGCCCGTGAGCGAGTGCGTTCAAGAAAATGGCATAAAGCGCTCCAGAGGTGCCATCCATGTTGCCTTCCACTACACGGGCGATGTTGTCGACGAGCTTTCCGGCATCTGCCTCTAGACCTTTCTGTTCGTTGATGTATGCTAGTACTGCCTGAGCGCTGGTCTTCAGACAGAGACCACAGTCGCCATCGCCGACTAGTGTGTCGTACTTGGTGACTTCAGGCTCTGCAGCAATGACATGATTCAGAGCACTAGTCAGGGCAGATTTCGTCACAGCAATGTCGACTAAAAAAAGTCAGCCCGTGGTCTCTGTATGGAAAAGTGTCGTTGTTACCTCTGAGATTCGTTCCTACAGGTTCCTCGTTAGCGACAATGTCTCTCTCCTGCGAAGATGTCGCAGCTTTCTGGTTCTCAGGTAGGTCTGCAGTGGTGATGGCAGGCAACCATCCACTAGCTTGTGTAGAAGCGTCAATCAGCTGGACCCAGCTCTCATCAACAACCTTCAGAAGAGTGATACTGAAGCCTAACCCATTCAGGCTGGACATATATGTACCACTCAGGACTCTTCTTGGCTGAATGCCATGTCCCTCCCTAAGCTGTGAAATGACCTCGTTGGCGATGGCGCCTAGCTCAAGTTGACTGAGGCCGCCGAGATTATTGATCATCAAGACAACCTTGTCCTCCTTCTGGATGCGGATGAATGCTCGATCCGTATCTTTTTGGTCCAGAAGTTGGTTCAACATTGTGGAAATCACGCCGGACAAATTGTCTTTGACCCGTCCGAAGCCTTCTTCATTGTGAATGCCCATGCCAATCTCAATCTCTTCATTTGACGACAACTCGTCTCCTGAAGGTGCCCTGCCTGGCACATGAACATGAGAAAGAGAGGCGCCAACAGTGACGAGATTCTCAGCAACCTGTGAGGCAATTTTGTGAACTTCGGACAAGTCATGCCTGTTGTCAATGTTTAGCCCTGGCCCCTTGAAAGATGATCGTCGGTGTTTACCCTTGAGCTGCGAGAGCACTGGCAATCTTCTGAACAATCACCGTACCAGCAAGACCTCTCCTTCCGACTCTTCCGGACCTGGACCTTCCAACACCAACATCATCGCCGACAACAAGCATGTCGCATCGGATGCCGGCAGCTCGTGCTTTTTCCACGGCCATGCCAAAGTGCAGGACATCGCCTGTGTAGTTCATAATGACAACGAGGATGCCGTTCTCCCGGCGCTGGGATCCCAGTCGGAGGAGGCAACGGAAGACTTGATCGGCAGAAGGCGAGGCAAAGATCGAGCCAGCTACCGCGCCGGAGAGAAGCCCCTTGCCGACGAAGCCGGCGAAAGACGGCTCATGGCCGGACCCACCGCCGGAAATGACGGCGACCTTGGGATCGGTGACGGCGGCCTTTAGAAACACAGTCTTCTGAGCTTCGTCAAACGCAATAGATGGGTTAATCGCTGTTAGGGATCGGAGTCCGGCGATGACAAGTGCCGAGGGATCATTCGAGAAATGTTTTGCTTGAGCCTTTCATGTCAGTGATGCTGACGAAATCAAGTCGCCGATACCTTTGCGGGCGGATCTTACATGACATCTTTGTGGTATTCTTGAGAATTCTGTGCTGTGTCTAACTACCGAAGCATCCTTTCAAATAACTAAAATCACTACTTAAAACTATTTTTTCAAGAGTCCGCCGCCACTTTTCTACGTTTACCAACGGATTGACATTCGACACAATAAGGACCGGTATCGTGGGATCATTTACTTACAGCATCGCCAGATCACCCCCACGTGGAACCACAAGTTCTCGAAGTAATAACAATTGCCCTCTCATTCAGACCATATGCCCCCATCGTGGCCCTCAACGGACCCCCAACCGTCATGGTTTTGTCAGATTTGTGTATGGTGCATCTCTCGCAACAGCCCCATTCTTTCTTCATCCCATCTGCATCGAGCTAATACCGACTTGGCTCCGACTATCTCTCGACCACGACAGTAAGCGGAATCCTCCCGACCCCCACGCAAGCACACCGTCGCTCCGAGCCCGATGTCCAAGCGGCTCTGCGGGTCCGGACTTGTGCGGGGCTGACCCCCAACAGGCCCGGTGTTTGCATGCGGGGAGCGGGTCGGACAAATCCGCGGGGAGGGGGGAGGGAACTGATCGGAAATGGTCTGATGCGTTCCTGAAATCCACACACCCTCTTCAAAGCCAGCATTCCCCGCAGGTTCCCCGTGGGAACGACTCGCGTGAGCAAGGTCTTTGCTGGCGATGAGCCGAACCCCTCACTTCGTGGCATTTCTAGATCGATCATACGTGTGGTGACACGAATCACCTGAGGTCCACTTCATGCAGAAGCCCGTATTGAGCCGATGGTCGGATCTGGGCGATGGGGAATAGTGCGGGCTCAAGCTAAGCGTGGGGGTCGTCTACCTACGTGATCGCGGGGGAGGGGCTCGTGAGATTCGGGGATCAAGATCGTTTCTTGAACTCTAGATTGATATGAAGGCATGGACTAAGGCCTGTGCAGTGTTGACAGACAGATTATTGTGATTTCACAACAACACAAGTCATAGTATACACTGAAGATGGCGAACATCATCGAAAAGCTATTCTCATTGCAGGGCCGTACGGCTGTCATTACTGGGGGTACGCGGGGCATTGGCCAGGCCATGGCAGTCTCCTTGGCCGAGGCAGGGTCAGATATCATTCTCATTCAAGTAAGCATCACCCCATTACACGAGCCCAGTTGTTGCTGACAGTGCTCAGAGAGACGAGAGCAACACAGAAACCCAGAAGCAGGTCCAGGCATTGGGCCGCAAAGCCACCATCTACACCGCCGACCTCTCAAATCAGGAGCAAGTGGAAGGCCTCACACAACGCATTCTAGCAGACGGCCATGACGTGAGCATCCTAGTCACCTGCGCCGGCATCCAGCGCAGACACCCCGCACACAAGTTCCCCATGGGTGACTGGGATGAGGTCCTGCAAGTTAACCTCAAGACGGTCTGGACCCTCTGCAGAGACCTCGGCGCCTACATGCTCACCCGCAGCCCGAACCCGGTCAACGGCCACCGCGGTAGCATCATCAACGTGGCGTCGCTCGTCAGCTTCCAGGGTGGCATCACAGTGCCGGCGTACGCAGCGGCCAAAGGCGGCATTGCACAGCTGACCAAGGCGTTGAGCAACGAGTGGGCGAGCCAAGGTGTCAATGTCAACGCCATTGCGCCCGGGTACGTGGCGACGGACATGAACGAGGCGCTGATCAACAACCCCGAGCGCGCCGCCAGCATCTTGGCTAGAATTCCTGCGGGAAGATGGGGTACCCCGGACGACTTCAAGGGGGCAACGGTGTTTCTGGCGGGGGCGGGGAGTTTGTACGTTTCGGGTGAGCTGCTTACTGTCGATGGCGGCTGGATGGGTCGATAGAGTGGGTTGGGACGCATGTAGGTGAGCAGAAGAGGATGTATCGATGGGCCTGCGGCCGGGATAGACCTGATGTAGGAATAAACAACCGTGATATTGGGACAACATAGGCGTCTGATGACTAGCAAACCCCGCTTGGAGCCCCCATGCCGGGATTTAAAGTGGTTAGCTAAGACATGGCGATCTCTACAGGGCACGGCAATAGACGGCATATCGGAGAATTTGATGAAAGGTAACGTGGGGGCATAGATTTGTACTTCGTCTCGTAAACTTGCGAACAAGCACGAGTGAGCTACATGGGAAAATGTGAGCGGCTGGTACACAGCTTATGGCACAAAGCAAATTCAACATACTGAACAGACCGCTGTATTGTAAGTGTGCCAGAGCCCCTTTGAAAGAATACTTAGGCCATTCTAGGACCCAAATCCTGCAAGCCCATCATCAAACTTGCGGACATTTTTCCAGTGATGGCTTAGGCTATAGGAAGACTTCGTACTACAATACAGTTTGGTCCATTGGTAAATGAAGTAATCTAGAAGGCTTTGTCTTTGTATATTCTCTAAGCATAACACAGGCCACTACCAGACCAATTCAAACGCGCGTGATCATTTTGGGAATGTAGTTTTGGCAATGCATTTTGATTTTGAACGATAAAAGTACAGTCTAGTCCATCCTCTTCACCATTCTCTAATGCTTCCATCAGGACCATGGAAGACTTTGCATTGCCATGGTTCTGTCTCCTTGGAGATCTTCTCCACCATCTCCTCATCAATGTCAATGCCGAGGCCATAGCCCGTTGGCGCCTTGACATAACCGCCCTCAATGTCAAAGACCGTGGGGTTCTTCAAATAAGTCAACAGGTCAATGTCTCCAGCTTCGGTGTTGTAATGCATTCCCAAACTCATCTCAAGGATGGAGAAGTTCGGGGATGACAGCGCGACCTGGACACTCGCAGCAAATGCAACGGGCCCAAGCGGGCAGTGTGGTGCAATCGCCACGTCGTAGGCCTCGGCCATTGTGGCGATCTTCTTAGTCTCGGAGATACCTCCAGCATGGGCGATGTCAGGTTGAAGGATGTCGACGCTAGCATCTTCAAGGAAACGCTTGATGTCCCAGCGAGTATACAGGCGCTCGCCAAAGGCAATCGGGATCGTAGTCTGGTCGGCAAGTTGCTTGATAGCTTCGGGATGCTCACACAACAACGGCTCTTCGATGAAAAGCGGTTGAAGGGGCTCAAGTGCCCTTGCTAGTTGCTTGGCCATGGCCTTGTGGAGACGGCCGTGGAAGTCAAGACCAGCGTCAAGACCCAGAGCCTTGACTTGCCTGAGCCGCTCAACAGTAGCACTTAATACCTTGGGCGAGTCAACCCAGTTCAGGTCTTCCGTTGCGTTCATCTTGACGCAAGTAAGGCCTTGCTCAATGCGCTTCTTGCTTGGGAGATGTCAGCATTTGGAGGATGTTGCTAATTGTTCAGAGTACTTACGCCGCAGCCTCAACATCGGAAGGTCTGTCACCACCGATCCAGCAGTAAACCTGGACCTTGTTTCTGACTTGGCCACCCAACAACTCGTAGATGGGCACCTTGAGGTTTCGTCCTTTTCATGATGTCAGTATGGGGGACAATTGAAGTGGTCTGTTTGTTTTTCGTACCCTTCAAATCCCACAATGCGATATCAATACCGGACATTGCAGACATGAAAACGGGGCCTCCACGGTAGAAGCCATGTCTCCAGAATAATTGCCAGATGTGCTCAATGTTGCTGTGAATCTCTAGTCAGCACTGAAGCTTTGGGTTTCTATGGTGTCAATGACGATAATCATGAAATCTTACTTTGCCTCGAGACCAACAATCCTTGGGATCATCTCCTCAAGGGTGCCTTCTACCGCCAAGTCGTGGCCCTCGAGAGTGGCCTCGCCCCAACCATACTCTCCATTCTCATCGGTGATCTTCACCATTAGCCATCGAGGCTTCACGCGGTAATACCGCACTGACTTGATCTTGGCCATGATGTCTGTGGGTTGGGTGGTCTGAGCAGTGGGGTCTGCGGGCAAATCTGCGGAGGAAGTTTTGGAGTAAAGCTAGGCGGGGGAATTTGAAGCAATCCGGGGATTACACATCGCATTCTTAACAGAGCTTCAGACCATCGTCAGACCCCGACCTCGAAGTGCCACATGTGCAGTCCGATCCACCAACGGGTTTGGGGTCAATGGGGTCGTGACTCCATTAGCTTCCATGAAACATCCGCATAAGCCCCCCACCACCCCAACTTGACCCCCACGACAGCTTGTACACGAGGCACGGAGAAGCCATCCCACGATCCCCACTCATCGGGTCGCGGCACAAGTTGTCTCGGGTTTCTATCCGCGTTTGCGTGGATGGAGAACGCGGCGGTAGAGTGGATTTTCTTACCACATCGTTTCTGAAGACGGGACCCATTTCGACCATTGACCCCACCTCCAACTCTGTGCCACAAGCCACAGTCAGGACCAAGCCACTTGGATGCTGCTTTTCAAGTTCAAGCCAGGTCATGTGTATGTGGCTGAAGACGCACAATTCTCGACGTCTTTTTAATGAAATACGACGTATTGAAATCTTGTTCTATTATGAGGTTTATCAATATGCCCTTACGCCGCCCATGTCTATGATGTCTATACATCTATCCTTTTTCATGCATCGTAAACCATTGCCCCAAGAACCCCCCGGATTCTAATCCCCATACGCAGAAACAACCGTCTAATTTCTTGTGTTTGTCAAACCTGAATCTCCGTTTGCGCCATCTCTATCGGAAGTCTTCTCCCGTGAGATACCTTCCTCCTCATCTCGGCTTTCGCTTGATGTATCCTCCGGCTTCGTATCGTCAATTGGCTCCAGGCCACGGTCTTTGATTAACAAGCAACCGACTAAGCAAAGTCCAACTAATGGAATCTGAAAGATGAAGACGGCACGACTCGCTGCCATATATGCGTCCAAGACTCTTGACATGTCGTCGCTGCTCAGCTGAGGAATCGAGTACGTGCTGCTTGACAGGTACTTGAACTCCGCCGGAAGGTTTGCTCGAAGAGTCGCCTGAAGAATCGCAGCGGAAATAGCCAGACCACACGCACCGCCAGCGCACCGGAAGAAGTTGCGATTGGATGTGATGACAGCTCGTCTCGACTTGATTGAGTGCGCCTGCAGCGCGACCAGGGTCGGCTGGAAAATGAAGCCAACGCCGATGCCGACAATTAGTAGCGGTATGACAATGATGCCCGGTTTCGTGTTTCGATCGAATATCAATGTGAGACCGGCGCCCCTATGTCATAATTAGTTTCCTTGCTCGACTTTGATAACACGGACCACAATTGGTGGTTCACTGGATGTACTTACAATGTCCAGAACCCAAATCCTAGCCAAATCACCTCTCCGTATCGCTTGGTGCGAGATATGTATTGACCCGATAGGATCGAAAAGACCGACTGACAGACCACGAGAGAGACGTAAATAGCCGCTGAATGCATCACCGAAAATTGGTGGGCATTTTGAAGGTACAGCGGGATGTAGTAAAGATAAGATTGATATGCAGCCCCGAACAAGAAGGTTTGCACCAACATAACCACGACAACCTTGTTTTTGAAAATCGGGACTAACTCAACGTCAGTCAATCAGTCCTGGAGACCATCAAAGGGAAGCTTACTTGGCATCATTGGCAGCTTCGCAAACTTCCACTCAACGACGACAAATGACACAAGAGCGAGCCCTCCGATGGTTAACATGCTAATTACCATCGCCGAATTCCAAGGAAAATAAGCGCCACCTGTACTATGTGAGCAATAAATTCTACTAAACGGGCTTCACGTGCGTCAACATACCTCCCGAAATTGGAATCAGCAAAAGAATGACGCCGAGAGATGAAGTAAATGATCCAGCGTAATCGATTTTCTTAACGCTACTCTTGAAGTCGTCGTTGGGTGGTTTTGAAGGCAAGAAGAAATAGCAGATGACTCCAACAATAACTCCGAGAGGTGATAGCATGTAGAAAAAAGCTCTCCAGGTTGCCCTCTCCATGAATGCAGCGGCGAGAAAGGGGCCAAGAACATTTCCTAGCCCGACCATTGAACCAATGATACCTTGGTACTTGCCACGTTGCTCGAGAGTTACAACATCAGACACAATGATCATGGCCAGGTTCGTGATACCGCCACCGCCGATTCCTGCAATGCCTCGGAAGATGTAGAACATGGCCCCATTTTGCGAGAGCCCGCAAAGAAGGTCTGCCAATGCCAACAGGCCAATTGCACTCAGAAACACGGCTTTTCGGCCGAAGATGTCTGAAAATCGTCCATAAAGCATCTGGAAAGTAGTGTTGGCGATGAGCGAGGACGTTCCCGCCCAGGATATCGTATCTTCGGCATTGAGGTCGGCGGCGATTGTCGGTAATGTGATACTGATGCCATTTTGATCGATGAACGCAATGAGCAGGGTAATCGCCAAAGTTGCAAAAACGACCATCAACTGCTTCAAAGGAAGTATATTAGTCTGATCGTGAAGAGCCTTTTCGGCCTTGGTGGTTTCGAGATCGCCCCTCATCATTCAACCCTTGTCGGCGATCAGTTGAAACGGGGCAACCAACATCCGATAAAAGCAGCACGCAAGATAATGCCAAGTAAATTGAAAGATGAATGAGAGACTAGAAATTCGAAACCGATTAATGTTGAGTTGACATTTTGCACGCTTCAATGAAAAATTTGACACCGGCAATCCGACGTTGAGAGTGGATCTGTCCGGGGAGCCAAGACGGGATAGCTGTGGGCGAAGATTGGTTCATCGGCCTGTTTTCGGCTCCGGACTCGGCGAAATGGTCTCGAAGGCGAATTGATGTGACCATGAAAATATGGGTGCGTCATGGCTGACAGGGGCTTCGGCAACTTTTGAAGCGATCGTCTCCACAACGGTTTAGTCCACATCGGAGGACCCGATGCCGACGGTCGCTCGGCTGGCGGGCCAATTATCTGGTGGTCGGATATCCGACAATATTTATCTGTGGAATTTTGTGGTAGTCGATGGTTATCAGAGATGCATTGGTCGTTTCTGGCTTGGCGAGGAAGATCTGGTTCTTATCAACTATCCTGAAGTTGGAGGGTGTGACGCCGCGACGAGGGCAGTACGGGCTCAGTGATAAGGCGTCTGTTTGTTATCTACATGATCTTTAAGATCTGCAATGGACTGAAAAAATGTCGGTTTTTTTGATATTAGTGACTGCAATGCACTTTTCGTGAGACATCTGCCGAGTAGCGTCGCCCATCTCGTTCACGACAAGCTGTGATGGGTCAAACCGCGAGACTGCGGAGAGCTTTCTCCTCCCGAAAAGAGTTCAAGCAATTCATTCAGACGAAAGAGCATCCCGATGATGGTCCAGCTTATTTCAACGAAGACTTGCTTCCAACACCGCCCTGTAAGAACGCAACGTGAGAAGACGACAGCTTGGAATCCATGGCTAACAGCGTCGTAGCTCAGCGTACATGGACTGCGTTGCATTTCTTCGCATATTACTTAACGCAGACATTTTCGCCTAGCTCATATAACCTAGGAGCAACTCTGATCTCTATCGGCCTTGTGAGATTCGTTACTTGACCTTTCCCAGCCGCCAGTCGCTAACTCAAATATTCCCAGCAATGGTGGCACGGTATTGTCGCAGCTGTTATCGGCTCAGCTATTCTGAGCGTCGTTGTTATTCTCAATTCTCGTGGCGCAACTCGATACCATGTTGGCTTTCCAGTCTACGTCAGAGCCTCTGCCGGTGTTAGTGGTGCAAAGCTATTCATTGTGGTTCGCGCCTCTGTTGCCATCATCTATTTCGCAACCCAGTCTTTCTATGGAGGCATGCTCACGTCAGTCGCTTTGCGATCTATCTTTGGCTCAGGATGGGACAGAATACCCAACAGACTTCCCGCCAGTGCCGGCATCACATCCAAAAACCTACTCGCCTTTTTCATTTTCTGGGTTATTCAATTCCCAGTCATGTTTGTGCATCCAACGATCTTGCGCCATTTATTCGTTGTCAAGTCCGTGGCGACAACTGCTGGCCTGTTTGGTGTGATGGGATGGGCCATTCACATGAACGGAGGAACTCTAGGCGATTTTGACTTTGGAGGGAAGTCCCTGAGTGGCTCTGCACTTGTGTGGCCCATGATTCAGGCTATCAACAGTGTCATGGCAGCACTGTGCCCGATTCTTGTTAACCAACCCGATGTTGCCCGGTATGCTACAAAGCCCGCACAGGCAACATGGTCTCAGGCTACCGGTATCCTTGTTAGTAAGGTCTTGGTAATGTTCCTGAGCTGTGCGACAACCAGTGCTGCTGCAGGATTTCTCGGCAAGAGCTACTGGAACGTATGGGATCTCTACAACGCCATTCTGACCGAGTACTGGGGCCCTGGGGCAAGGGCAGGAATGTTCTTCGCGTCCGCAGTGAGTTCTCTCTTTTCAGCCAGATTCTTGTGATCTCCTGTTGACATGCGCGTCTTACAGGGCATGATCTTAGCAATCATTGCAACGAACGCTGGCTCGAATTCATTGCCGGTTGGTGCCGATACCAGCGGACTTTGGCCCAGGTATATCAACATCGTCCGTGGCCAGGTTATCTGCGCACTTCTAGCACCGCTATGCGTTCCATGGAAGATCATCTCCAGCGCTAGCTCGTTTCTTACATTCCTAGGCTCTTACACCGTTTTCCTCATGCCGACCTGCGGGGTATGTACCTGATTGGATGAGAGAAGAAGAAAGTTCTGTCTGACAAAACCTACAGATTATGATTGTCGACTACTGGATGTTGCGCCGCGGCAACTTTCATGTTCCGAGCTTGTACACCAAATATGCAGGATCTCCATACGCATATCTGAACGGTTGGAACCTTCGGGCTATTGCTGCTTGGGTTGCCGGTGTGGCATTCACAGTTCATGGTATCGCGGGAAGCCTCGACCCAAACGCGGTCAATCAAGCCAGCAAAAACGTGTACAAGCTTGGGTTCTTGTTGTCCCTCACGATGGGAGCGTTAGTGTACCACGTGGCTTGTCTGATTTGGCCGCCACCTATTTACCCCGAGGGAAGCGAGTCTGAAGCGACGATGGGCTTCGAGGATATGGCCTCCTCAGAAGGCTTCTTTGCGGGCGAAAGCGTTGACACAATCCGAGGAGTTCTTTCAGCCGTTGAGAGCGGAAACGTAGGCCAAGTTGAGGGAAAGGGTACAGGGACTGAGTCCGTCAGCGAGAAGAACATGGTGTAATCATTTGCCTTCTCGTGTCGAGGGAAACGATGAAATCGACTACTACTCTTTATTGGAAGCACCGACGTACATATTAGGCTCAGCTGCATTAGGCCAGCCGTCGAACTTTTTCACCGTCCGCCTATCCCTAGTCATTGCCCGAAAGGCTCTGCAACAATTCAAAATTGGGCATCCAGACAGGGCTTCCGCTGTCCTGATCGATCCAGTTCGCCAACTCAGCGACCATGGGCCAAGCACCTTCGAAACCCCCACCAGCAATTCCAGAATCTCCAACGCTACCCAGAAACTGGTCGAAGCTTTCATCAGTCATTTGTCCCACTTCCCTCTCACCGGCAGCTTCCTCGCTCTGCCCGTCTATCGTCGTGTCCTGTTGTCTTCCTGCGCGCATCTGAGCTGAGGCCATTTCCGCCAAGCCCGATTCACCATCCTGAAGTTTCTCCATGGCTGCGTTCACAAGAACCTCAAAAGCGTCTCTGTATTTGCGAACCCAAGGTGCTCTCTCGCCCATGACGAATAACACTAAAGAGCAAGCACGGATGTCATTCGCAAGTGCTACTGACCAAAGCTCATTCCCCTGTGTCCACAGTCCATAAAGAAGAGTGACCCCGGCGACGAACACGGTCTGAACGGCGATGAAGCTGTGACCGTAGTCAAGAGTTTGATGGAGCCTCTTGTGAGCCTGGCAGATATCCCCAGCAGCTCTCATGCACAGTCCGTAGAACTGGTCAGAGGGGGGAAGAAGAGGCAAGAAAGGTTGGATTAAAAGCCTGAGAGCGCGATTGTACAGCAACAGAGCGTAGTTGAGCTCGGGATGATTCGGTGCCATCCACTCATTGAGCGACACCCGCCAATTTTGAAGCCGTTGGTAGAGACGATCGAGTTTTGGTCGGAGGGTATCTAGGGCTTTGTCTGTTCGGTAAATGGAGTGATGAATCTTCGACTCGATTCGGCGGAGCTTGAACAGCACAACTGCCAGCGTTATGTCGTTTCCAACAGTCCCGGATGCAGATGAGCTGCTGTTGATACAAGTATCAGGGAATTCTACATCAATCTGGTTGTCCGCGATACTCAAGGGTCGACCGAGTGAGATGGCGATCGTCCGCTCTAGTAAGTAGACAGACCAGAATAATCTTCTCCTGCGCTGAACCACAGATTCAGAGAGATTGTTTTCGTGAGCTGCGCGGTGAAGCCCAAGATCAATGGATGTCCTCATCGCCAGACCAATCATGTACCACAGTCCATGACTAGAGGTTGATCGAAGATGGAACATGACTAACAACGTCATCGCCTCAATGTTCTGCACCGTCCGCGATTCCCTTGCCGCTGATATGTGCTGCAGTGCAGTGATGTAGAGAGCCTTTCCATATGTAAGCTCAAGTGCTCAACTTTGCAACATCCGTGAAGAAGTAAGGACGTACCTCCGGGGAAAATCCCGGCCCACGCTGTGTTAACTGTACCAATGTTGCACCCATAGCATACACTAGGTACAGCTTAAAAACACCAAATCTTTCAGCTTTGCTTAGACTTTGCGGCGGAGTTCCCGCCAACGCGACTCTTTCGCCATGCAGCTTCCATAATTCCTCAGGCTCGAGAAAAGGATACTTGGAGTGCAGTTGAGACATGTATGCCCTCAACATCTTTGAACCCTGCTCATCACTCGGGGGCTCTTTGACACCGTGAGCCAAGAGATCCTCTACAGTGAGACATCTAGGGCCCGGATTGAGGCAGCCCGTTGACCGATTGGCACTTGCACCGTCATGGACGTCTGGCAACATCTTGTTCCAGACTGTAGCTTGCACCATCTCGCCGAGATTGAGGGCCAGCGATAACCCGGCCGAAGGTCCAACATAGGCAGGAGCCTCAAAATTCCCTAGCGACACGTGTGCAACCACGTCGCTTAGAGCATTTTTGTCCCTGTTTGAGTGACTGGAGTGAATACTGGCGGTTTCTCTTGGGGTCGAGTTGGTTTCTGGCGTAGGAATTTGAGCCAGCTTGTTCTCCAGGTAGGCCACCCTTTCTTCTAATGCCCGGGTGTATCTGAATCAGTCTTCAGCTTACGTTCATTAAACCTTCCCCAAGAGCTTGTGTATACTTACGCAGTTGATGAAGCTTCATCTGTGACATCTACCTTGTCGCATTGAGCGCCTGACCTGCGGCAGTTCGAGCAGACCGGAAATTGGTCATCACACTCCAAAATCAGATTGGTTTCCAGTATGTCTTAACAACCATGGCCGATTACCTTTTGCTTACGACTTTTACATCTTGTGCAGGCCGTTCTTCCTCTCTTCCTAGGGTTCGGAGGGACTCCGGCTGAGGAGACCGGGGGCGATGAAGCCGGGGGATGTGCGTCAGGCGTCATCTCCGCAGGCTGATAACATGAGACGACCGCCAAGAAGCTCGACTGCCAAACTGGCCGCAACGCTGGGTGAATCTGCGGAGGCGGATGTCCGATTTACATAGATGTCGGTTGCTATCACCGGTGCCGATCTCGCCTTTGGACAGCTTTTTCTTCGTCGGACGACTTCCGTGAGACACTAGCCCCCACTTCGGAAACATTCCGACACAGCAGCCGTCGCACTGCCGATCGGAGGTTCCGACACTCGTAGGCTCGAACGGCCAGGAAGAGTGCCAAGTCGGCCGTCATTGGCAATCGTCTTTCTCAACAAAATTTCTTGGCTATGCAAGCGGTGACAAGTGATTGATCATGTGTTCACTACACAGACCTAGTAGGTGTTTTCAGCAAGCTACTTCAATATTTGTGCTAGGAGATTTGCTGCATATCTACGTCGGTGTTGTAATTGAATGATCAAGCCTTCATAAAATTTCTCTGACTAGAACCATTACCTCACATACCCTTCATCCACTCGCCATTGGGTTTGTACGGGAATTCAGCCCTCATATGCTTAGCAATATCCCTTCGAGTCGTGACCCAAACCCCCTCTTTCTCTGAGATGTACTTCATGAACTTTCTCAGTGCCTCAGATCTCCCTGGCTTGCCGATGATGCGTGTATGCAACGGAATGTTCATCAACTTCCCGCCCTCTCTGTACAAACAATCGAAGGTGTTTTTGAGATATTGCTCATATGTCTCAGCGACTGAGCTGCCAAACCCAGGTGACATGTGAAACTTGCCATCATTGCAGTCATAGTTGTAAGGGATCAGAAGCATGCCCTCCCTGTCAGCTTCTGGCAAGTCCTTCTCCCACGGCAAGTCAAGCCAGTAAGGCACATCATCATTGTAACACTCCGAGGACCAGAGAAACTCTCCACCCAGGCTCTTCCAAACCTCTGGGAACAAGGAAGGAGTGTTTGGGGTTCCGCGACCGAAGTAAGCACCGACCGGCATCTCGCCTGAAACCTCTTTCAACATCAAAATGTTCTGTTTGATGTATTCCTTGTCTTCTTCAAGCGAGTAGTTCCAGATGTCGAGCCATCTTAAACCATGGCAGGCAATCTCGTGGCCGTCGCGGACCAGAGCTTTTGCGAAAATCGGGTTTCGTTTCAGGGCATAAGCAACGGCATACGTGGTGAAGCTCCATCCGAACTCCTTGAATAGTCGGATAAGACGCCAGGATGCAGAACGGCTGCCGTACTCGAAGTCTTGCTCGGCATTGAGGTATCGTGCACCTTCCTTGTAACCGCCTGACGCACCCTTCTCCCACAGATATGGCTCCGAAAATGGATCGCCATCCAAGATGCTTCGCTCTCCTCCCTCTCTTGATTTTCCATCAGCCCGTGATATCTTTTTAACGATACATACATAGAAACTTACTCATAGTTGAGAACAAAAGACACGGCAATGCGAGCACCATTGGGCCACTTTGGATTAAACCCCTCCTCGCCGAAGCCTGGACACATGGATGTTAGACACATATGCTTCCATTGGTGGAGTATTACTCACCCTCAAAGTCGCGAGGTATCTGGAGACTCTCCTCGATATGCACCATGTTTGAAGTTGTTAAAAATTGTCGATTGTTCGAATAGTCTAAGGAGAAACATGAATGAGCCACCCAAGACCGATGGCTTCAACGGAAACTCGTACTTATCGCGACAAGCAATGCATGCCCTTTAATACAACATTTGAAACGTTCCATGTGTATTCTTCGCCAGATAGCCGCACAAGACTATCGATTTGCCCCTCCTCCGAGAACTAATTCATCTTGCGATATCTTGCGGGGTACGTGGATGGTGGGGTTGATCCTTCCTAAGATAAGGACATAGTGGGGTTGATTGAGCTGTACTGCTACCGGGTCACAGTCGCCGATGACCTTTTGAGAGAGGAATCGGATGATCCGAATTCAGTAAATTGTTTGCGAGGAGTTGATGATAGCGATAAGATATCGATGCAGGGCTATCGGGCCTATCTAAGAGATTACTTAGGTATGGGTTAGAACTACTGCAGATGCTCAATCTACATCGGCTTGAATGATATCAGCTGGCTTTGATCGCGAATATTTCGAATCGGGCCTCAAGTTCATGGAGTGCGCATTTATGAGTATACTGTCTAAATCTCAATATTGATACCGAAATGTCTGTCTTCTCTTTGAACGTCGACAAGACAAACCCCGTCACGGCGGAAGTTCTTGACGATAGCCTCAACGCGCTGGGCGTTACTCTGAAAAATGATGAAAAGGATGAGTACCAAAAGTTGCTTGCGGTATTCCACGAATCTGTTGTCGGAATCATGTCTCTTCCTGGTGAGTTGCGTGTGCACCTTTTGTCAGGCTGGACTAATAGTATTTGCAGACTATGTACCACCAGTGGATGAGATTAGATTTCCGAGAGAAGACATTCACTTTCCTGACTCGTCCAACAATCTCTTATCAGCGTGGGCGTGGAAATGTCGCATTGAGGACCAGCAGAAGAAAGGAGGACTTCTTGTTGGAAAGAAGATTGCGGTGAAGGACAATATAGCCGTAAAGGGTGTTCCGATGCTTATGGGCACCGACTTCGTGAAAGATTACGTCCCTGTGAGACACTGTTCCACAACCCGTTGAGCTTCTTTGGCGACTAATGCGCAACCATAGAACACCGATGCGACTATCGTTACAAGACTTCTCGAGGCCGGAGCCATTATTACTGGCAAGTCAGTCTGCGAGAACATGTGTCACTCAGCCACAAGTAGCTCATCATCAACCGGTCATGTACACAACCCCTACGCCAAAGGCTACAGCAGTGGAGGAAGCTCGAGCGGCTCTGGAGCTCTGGTAGCCAATGGCGATGTTGACATGGCTCTGGGCGCAGACCAAGGAGGTTCAATTCGTGTGCCTGCCGGCTGGTGTGGTATCTACGGTCTCAAGCCTACCTTTGGGCTTGTCCCTTACACGTCTTGTGGCTCTAACGAGCCGACGAATGATCACGTCGGGCCCATGACGCGAACCCTACTCGACAATGCTCTGATGCTACAAGCCATCGCCGGAAATGACAATATCGACGATCGGTCTTTTGCAGCACCTTCACCAGATAAAGTCCCCAATTACTACGACAACCTAGTTGCATTTCAAAATCCGGCAGACCTGTCTGGTGTCAAAGTCGGTGTCCTGGTCGAGGGCATGAACCAACCCTCAGTTGAACCTCGTGTCAAAGCCTGTGTGGAAGCAGCGATCCAAGGACTACGTGACCTCGGCGCAACCGTCGAAGAAGTCTCAGTACCGTTCCATTCTCAAGGCGCAGCAGTGTGGACGGCCATCAGCAAGGCTGGAGGATATCTCGCCAAGCGAAATCTCAACTTTGGTAGAAGAGGCCATGTGATGACAGACCTCACCGAGAAGTTCCAAAACCTCACCCAAGAGCAATGGGACAACGCCTACGTCTCGTCCAAGAACATATACCTGAACGGGGTTTACGCGCAAAAGGCGTTTCCCGGTCTGTTGGGGAAGGCAACGAACTTGAGCAGGAAGCTCCGAGACGATTATGACGCGGCACTCAAGAAGTATGACGTGCTGGTTGCGCCCAACCTGCCCTACATCGCCAACTCGCATACCCCGTATGATGCATCGCCGCTAGAGAAGATCGGGAAACAAGTAGGGTTGACTGCGAACACTGCTCCGTTTGATCAGTCAGGACACCCGGTGCTAGCCATGCCTATAGGCATGCTCACCATCGAGGAAGGCCCGCTGAAGGGCTCCGGCACCAAGCTGCCGGTGAGCATGCAGGTCATTGGGAAATGGTGGCATGAAGACGATGTTTATCGGGTTGCATACGCTTGGAGTTTGAAGAATGACTGGAAGACCAGATAAGGGACAGCTGGCAACATTGGTCTTTGAATGTTTTCCCCGGACCGGACGCAACGTGATGTTGGAGCACAATTTAGCAACTAAAAAATACACCATACGCCTTCGCGAGCTATGAAGAAATCACTTCACTTTCTTGTTCTGCATCATGATCAACAACGACACCTTGACCGAAAGACGGCTTCCCTGATGCAGTAAACATTGTCCTGATCGACACTTCTGATGTCTTGCAAGGATAAGTCAGCCCCTCACATAGCTTTGATTAGCTAGAAATGCTAGCTGCAGACTTACTTGTTTAGGATGTTAGGGATAGTCGAGTCAAGTAGTCTCCTCCGAAGGTCGGGACAAAGCGATCGGACTATAACTATTATGATCAGCAGGGGATGGACTCGTGAGAAGTAAAGTTCCAGGACAGACCGCCGTCTGATTCACAGACATCGTCACACGGCATTCCAGTCTCTCCCTCCGCGTTACGGCATGCGGCGACCGGCAGTAGCGGGTCCGAGGGCGGAGTCTATCTTGTCTCGGTGGCCTCAGTCCCGGCCGACCTCGGGCCCTTCAACTTCGGCTTCTTGCCCGATGCGCCGGCACCGACACGAGAGGGAACCAACACTCCTGGGAACCCCCACGCTCCGCTCCCGGCCCCGGCAAAATTTCCACATTATCCTCGAGACGCAGGCCCAGACCCAAAAAGGTGTTAGATAAGGGAATTGCAGCCTCAGTGGGTCCCCGCGGGCGCCCTTGTCCAATATCGTGCCTGATTTCAACCCGAAGTGGAGGTGGCAGACGCAACAAGAGTTGCAGATTGTGTGGTTGTTCCCCGCTGCGGAGTCGCTCCGCTTTGAATTCCTAGCCGGACCCGGCCCAATGAAACATTTTTTGCTGGTTTTGAGCTTCCTTAATTCATGGATGATGTCTTTGAAGGCGTCTCGGAGCTGTTGATCCATTGATTGTGATTGACCGACTTCGGAATTGGGTGTCCGAGTGGAGACCGACCGGGTAAGGATTTTTTCTGCGTTTTCTTTCAACTCCCTTTGAACTTCTCGCACATGCGTATTTAAATGCAAAGCTCGTCCCCTATTTCTGGATTGTTTCGCGCTGGGTTATTGTTGGAATGAGTAGACTGTTTTCTTGGCAAAATCCTGAATTCTCCCTTGTCAGCGATTCTCTTTCATCCTGTCTTTAGTTCAACCCAGGTTGGCAAATACATCGCGTTCAACTCCGTGTTCTCTTTTCTATGTCACAGGAAGCGCTATATCGAACAGGTCTCCAAGATGTCGTCGATAAATACGCTGTCAGAAGTACCCACGCGAGTGGATGAGCTGCCGCCAGACTTGCTCGCGATGAGGACTTCCAACGCCGAGAAGGGCGTGAACATCCTCGCGCAGACTCCCAGCCGGCCCTTCTCCTATCGTGAGGATGAGACGGTTTACGCCAAGTTCACCCCCAAGCGCAAGATCCTGATCACAGCCATTGTGTCCTTTGGTGGTCTAGGGGTCAATCTGGCAGCCCTCCTGGTATTATCGGCCCTGCCTGAGGTGGCAGCGGCTTTCAACACCACGGGAACCATTATCAACTACTCCAACGCGCTATTCCTATTGATCATGGGCATCGGTGTCCTCTTCTGGGGCCCGATTAGTCAGGTGTATGGCAGAAAATGGGTAAGCACAATCATCACTGTACCTCGAACATCATGTACAATAGTAGTCTTCACAATAGGCTTTTTGGCAACTCTCGCTGTTGCGCAATTTCTCCATCGTTCCGTTGAACTAAATGTCTCAGGTTTTTGTCATCTCGACAGTGTTGTTCTGCACATTCTCTCTGGCGACTGCGAAGGCCCCCAACCTCGCAGCTTTCTTTATCTTCCGATGCATCACCGCGTTCGGAGGCACTTGCTTCCTGGTCGTGGGCTCAAGCTGCTTAAGCGATGTGTACCGACCGACTGAACGCGGTACGGCGTTGGGCTGGTTCTTGGGTGGCACTTTGATTGGACCTGCCTTTGGTCCCTTCCTTGGAGGCGTCATCGTGACTTACTCTACGTGGGAATCGCTCTTCTGGTTCCAAGGTGCTGTAGGAGGAGTAGCAATGATCCTGGCCGTTGCTTTCTTGCCGGAAACAAGTCATGGCAAGTGGTCCGAAGAGCTGGAGGGGCTCACCTTCAAGGAGAAGGTTGGACAGGTCTGGGAATGGACCAACCCATTCCGTGTCATTTCCCTCTTCCGTCATCCGAGGATTCTTCTTGTGGTAAGTCTTCCAAAAGCCTCCTGTCATTAAGAGACATCGTAGGTTTTCGCGCCAAAGCTGGACCGCTGCAAGCTGCAAGCCTCAACTCAAAACGCATGACGCGTTTTGATCAACGCGGTAAGACACATTCTGTTCGTTCACCCCCAGCTAACTACACAACCAGGGCATCGCCGCATCATCGATTTTGTGGAACATGCAAGTTCTCTTGACGCCCGTTCGTTACGTGATCAACCCGCGATTCAACCTCACTTCCCCGCTGCAATCCGGATTCTTCTTCCTGGCTCCGGGAGCGGGATATCTCGTAGGCACCTTCGTCGGCGGCCCCTACGCGGACTACACCGTCAAGAAGTGGATCAAGAAGCGTGGTAGGCGGGTGCCGGAGGACCGACTCCGAAGTGCTTTTGTTGCCATGGGGTTGGTAATTCCAGGAAGTGCGATCATCTACGGATGGGCTATCGATCAACAAAAGGGAGGCATCCCCCTCCCCATTATCTGCATGTTTGTGCAGGGTGTTGCTCAGATGGTCTGCTTTCCTTGCCTAAACAGTTATTGCCTAGATGTCTTCCGAGACCGGGCATCCGAAGTCATGGGTATGTTTTCCAACTCACCGACTTAACTCGTCTCTCTGTATCATGAAGATGGCATTTCTGACGTGAAACCCACAGCGAGCAACTACTTCATTAGGTACCTATTCGCCGCTATTGCGACAGCAGTATGCCTTCCGGGAGTCCAGGGCATTGGTGTCGGTTGGTTTTCGACAGTGAGTGCTCTATTCGTCATGGTGTCCTCTGCTGCTGTGATCTGCATCGTAATCTTTGGCTCGAAGACGAAGAAGACGGCGGAAGAAAAAGTTGAGAGCGCTTAAGGAACCGGCCAGGCTGGTTATAGAAGGGTCTCGGGATGTTCTGGTACTTGGGAAAATTGCGTAGCATTTTTTTTAGATATACTTAATAGCCTTCGAATTCATGATCATCTATGGTCGATTAGCTTCCTCGAACATTTGACTGCCCTATCTTGGCGCCGTTCAAACATCAGAATCTTCGCATCGAACTCGATCTCTCGTTGGTGGTGGCTTGAACGGTCTTGATCCGTTTGAGAGCGGGATCCAGCGGGATGGCGGAACGGCGGCTTCCTTGCCGCCACGTTGTACCCATGCGCAGCCAACATTTCAATTGCATTTCAACTGCGTTTTTACCGATCTCCGCATGATCTGCGAGAAGAATTCTCTCAATCATGTAAACTTGATTGGCTCGGGGATCAGCTCCGAAGACTTGACAACCTAGATCGCTCCATGAACGCCCTAATTATGGGGGAGATTTTACAGCACTAGGCATTATGGAGATGCCCGTGTCAAGCTAAGGGCGCAGGCCGAAGTGGACCATCGGCGCCGAGACCAATGATTTTGCCTTTTCAGGGATGGCATTGACAACAAGGCGCAACAACAAAGGCGAGACCTGCCATGTGCTCGGAAAAAGGGCAGCCAGCAAACGCGCCTTGCCGGATTTTTTAGAGTTAATGCGACGTGTCTCGCGGTTTCCAGAAACATCGATCGACAAAAGATCCAGTTCTTGCAACGATGAAAGCGGTTACGCGATGCTCAAAATCTGTACAAAAGGCCCAGCTGCTCGGGTCTCCGATTTGTAGGAAAGTTAATCCGGGCTATCCGTACAGGTCACTCTTTGTGTTTCATCATCATCCCTTCACCGTCGCTCGGGATCGTCAAGTCAGCCGCCTCCTCAAGCGCCCGATCTCGTTCTCGTCGGCCACTCCCGCAGCCATGGCGAAGTCAGTAGAGATCCGATCGGACGGTCGTCCTAACATCGACATCCGGCCAGCCACACTCGATGATGCCAAGACAATCGCGGAGCTTGGTGCGCATGTCTTCTCCGTCACCTTTGGCCACTCAGTAGAGCCGCACGAGCTGCAAGCGTTTCTGGACGAGTCATACAGCATTGAAGCAGTCACAAAGGACTTGAAAGATGCCAACAAAGACACCATTCTCGCAACGGACGCTGCCGGCGACATCTTGGGCTTCGCCATGTTGACCCGCGGCTCGACGGAGCCATGTGTCGCGGACCTCGAGGGCATTGTCGAGCTGCAGCGGATCTACTTGTACCCCAAGGCCCACGGCACTGGCACCGGCAAGGCACTTGCAGACAAGTTAGAAGACATGGCTAGGAAGCAGGGCTTCAAGAACATCTGGCTTGGCGTATGGGAAGAGAACTTCCGAGCAAGGAAGGCGTATGAGAAATGGGGATACAAGGCCGTCGGCACTCACGACTTTGTTGTCGGCTCTGTGGTTCAGACGGATGATATCCTGGTAAAGGAACTATAGATATGGTGATTACAAAAGGGTCAGGGTTGGGTTTACGGAGTTTTGCTCTTCTTGGGTGTCCAAGAGATAGATTCACAACGATAGACGCAGAACAGGTGCGCTAAAGAGGGTAGTAGAAAGAGGAAATAGAGTAGACATGCTACGAACTAGACGTGCATCAACAGTGATTGTGCACACATGAAAAAACGAAAATTGGATCATTTCGAACGCCCGATTCTATTTTAAGACGGTTTCACAACTTCATGTGGCATTTCGCAGTATCACCGATTCTTGTTCATTTAACCCACCTAAGCATTGTCTTGTATGTTCGACAGCTTCACTACAAACCAAGACTCATGAAGGACTAGTTGCAGAGTATGCCATAATGTTGTACATCATTCTTGATTCAAAGACAGCCTCAGTCGCTCTCACAAAATTGCATGTGATGCTGCTCGAGTTAGCAAATAAAAGCTGGGTCTTCTTAGGAAGCATACATTGAGCCATATTACCTGTCTCGACGGACAACAACATGTTCAAGGTGACACGCCTTGTGTTTATATTGGATGAAACTTTTAGGTTGCGAGGGAAGGCTATCAACAGCATTCGCATGATCACCTGAGCAGCACTCCACATCTAGTAGTTACACGCACCACATTTCCCAAGTCGACGGTTGCGGTAATGTTTTACGGTCCTGTTTCCACCCTTGATTAACTCTTGGCCATCGACCAAGGTCCCTGCGCCCTGCACCTCACAAAGCCACGCCCTGCACATGACAGCCGTGGATAACTTCAGTGCAATAGTGTAGTGATTACTGATCATCTCTACCATACCCAACATTGACACGGGATATTCTTCGTCAAATAAAGGCGGACTGATGCCCAATTTTGAGCTGCAAATACAATTAGAACTCTTAGTTGTTATTGCAGTTACCACAAAGAATAATTTCATCTGCACAAATTCAATATGGACGAAGTTACGCGAGAAGTTCGATACCGTATTTTCGAGTATTACCTCGCGAACTGCCGTCCGCCAACGACGCAAGATATTGCCGAATCAATCGGCATCAGCGAGGAACAAGCGCGCATTTCATTTCAACAGCTTGATGCCGCCCACCATGTAGTTTTGCATAAGCCTGGAGTTCATACCCCGACACCAATTTGCATGGCACATCCGTTCTCTCACCTGTAAAGTGTCCAAGACGATATTGTAACGAACGCTGCTGACAGTATTGTGAATAGTCCCACGCCCTATGTTGTGGTAAGTTGCATCTTTACGTTAATGTCGAATCACTTTTGATCGCAAGATTAGGCTCAAGACGCCCGGTCGTGGTGGACGAACTGCGCCTGGTGCGGCTTCGGCTTGGCTGCGATGCTGCTGGGTCCTCATGGCTCCTCCTCATCCTCCGTCAGCTTGTCCTCCAAATCCGGCACGGTCGATGGAGTGATGAACTTCATAGTCACAAATGATGGCATTAAACTTCATGGGAACGAAGTGGATACCGAAAAATGCGTGGTTCACTTCTCCGCACCTCTCAAGACGTGGTGGACCGACGTGAGATTCGCTTGCGGCACGATTCACGTTTTCGGCAGCCAGACACAAGCGGCGGAGTGGGTGAGTACAACGAAGGCCTTCAATGAAATTAAAAGTTTCACTAATTTATCTCAAGTGTGAACGATACGGATTCAGATATGGAGAGGTGATGAACTTGGATACGATGTGGAAGCTTTCAAAGGTACGATTGAACCTAACCATTATGTACTACCAACTTATTTCTTCGGTGACTTACAGATCTCTAGGCTTGGTATGAGAACAAAGCATCTCATGATTACGACAGACTGGATGCTCAAGAGGTTACCGATCTCTTCCGAGAATTGGGGTTGGTATCCGAATTTTGGTCCCGATAAAATGGCGGGCGCTGCGCCTCACATTGAACAAGGGCCTTCCAAGGCCGGACATAGAAAGCGGAGGCTTCGTGAAAGCGGAATCAAATATTACTTCATAGCTTGTGGTATTCGTTGACTTGCATGTTGGTCGGTCATGTTGGCTTCCTCCTGTTGCTGGCGGTCCGGCCCAACCAACACGAGGCGGAGTCGTTGCTCCTTACGCGCCAACCGTTCGCCCTCAGCCCCCGACCATTATGCGACCGGCCCGCAAGTCTCCAACAGCTATCGTATTGTTGGTGCAATCATGTTGAAATGGATGGATCGCAGCGTCTGCAGCCTAAGCTCATTCGACGATCCCCTGCAGTGATAATGCAGCCCAGCAGCACCTGCTTGAGCCACGGACTTGGGCTCCTAGGCAGACAGCCAGGCATACTACACGCTCATATATTAGGCACCATTATCCATCGACTTTTCAAAACTTTCCTGCGAGTTCTTGTCACGGTTCATCTCAGTCGAAGCGCTCGCAACCTTCGGGGCTGCTGAAAATCAAAATGGCAGCTATCCTTGATGTCGCGAATCTGGAGGAAAGATGGGCAATTTGTAAAGTCGAGGACGACCGGAAATCTGCCTTGATCGGCGTGAGTCTGAACAAATTGATGCAATCATTTGGGTGGATGCTGATTTACTTGGCGCAGGACTTGTTCAATCACGTTGAGACGCTCACTCGCAAACTCGCTGAAGCTGAGCAGAGCCTGGAAGAGAAGAACATTTACATCAAGTCTGTGAAACAGAGTGGCGCTGAAATGAAGCTACAGATTAATCAGCTTCAGTCCGAGAAGGTATGCTATGACTTTCGTCGCCGGTTTGAACTACACGATTGACGATGCTAGGATAAATACTCCTTTTCTTTTGTGGTCATCGACGGCGATTGTATGCCGGTAAGTGTTTTACCCTCGCACCATCTTTTCACCCCATAGTCAAGCTGAACAATTTTAGTTCACCGATGAACTCATTACTCAAGGATTTGAGGGTGGCAAGAAAGCAGCAGGAATGCTGCGTCAAACCATCTTGGACCAGTTGCCTGAGTTGGACCCTGACATGCCACACCATTCTCAAGTGATGATCCGAGTATACGCCAACCTCAAGGGTCTTGCCAAAGTTTACCATGATACCCAGATTTTGAAAAATGTGGAAACCCTGAACGACTTCGTGAGAGGCTTCAATAGGGGATCATATCTCTGTGATTTTGTTGATGCTGGTAACGGCAAAGAATGCGCGGATGAGAAGGTTAAAGGTACCTCAAAAGCAGCTCCAAAAAGCCGCAGGATGTACCACGCTGACATCTTTTGGAAAACTTTGAGCTCGGTCTCAACGACGTGCATTGTCGCCGTGTCTTGTTAGGCGGATCGGGCGACAATGGGTACGCTCGTTTACTTGAGCGACATCTTGCCGACAGCCCGAAGCGAAGCAAAATCCTACTGATAGAGGGACCCCCGTTCGAGAGGGAGCTGGCAGATCTTCGGGGCAGCTTCCAAGTCCTGTCCCTTCCCAGCGTATTCAGGGCGCAGAAGCTCCCAAGCGTTAAACGACGGGTATCGTCTCAACTCACCCCTCCGACGACACCGTCCACGGGCTATGCAGCCGCTGCTTCGAAAGCTTCCGCTCCATCAGCCTCGGCAACCACTCGGATTGACTCGTCGTCCACGACGACTCCAGCACAAACGATGAGTGTGGTGCTTCGCAACAAGGCGGGCGAGCGTGTTGACTCTCCCCTGAGTTGTATGCCGCAGGACGTGATTTTGATGAAAAATCGGAAAATGTGCAACAATTTCCATCTTCTTGGGGACTGCCACTTCTTGAGAAACCTCGGGTCGTGTCAGCATAAGCATGGCCCAAAGTTAGATGGTAAAGATCTCCAGGCTCTTCGTGCAGTGGCTCGCCACTCGCCCTGTCTGGCCGGCTTGGATTGCGGCGATCCAAGTTGTATTCACGGCCACCGATGTCCGCGAAGTAGCTGTAGTGTGTCTGGGTGCAAATTTCCATCGAAGATGCACAACACTGACACAGTTGTTGTTTATCGTGTGGTTTGAGAAATCCTGGAGATCAGTTGGGCAGCTGCTTCATTTTGTTTGGCATCTTCATTTATTTCTAGAGCTTGTTTCCAATTCGGACATTTTGTCTCCAATGCATATCGTATTCTCCCCCCACTTGGATGCCTAAAGCTCGAACCCGTGCCAACTGAAAGAAGAAGGTGTCGATAATAACATTTGCTACGCCTTACTCGCTTCGGCCGAACCATGTCCAACTGGTGCTGCGCCGTCGAGATCAACAGGGGTTCGGACCCTCCCGTGCGCCATTTCAGGCCAAGCGCCCAATCACTGAGGGCTTCCATGTCTGATCTGGTGATGATACAGAATGATTCATACCGGACCCAGTCATCTTCGGTGCGATCTCCTGGATCTCGCCGGGGCATCCCCGCTACCATGACCTGTCTGTGCGAGATGAAGCTTTTTTAAAAGATGCACCATGCTCTGTTTCACCTGCGATCTCGGTGGTTATTCAGAGAACAGTTGAATCCATAGCGAGCCAATATGACGACCCGAGATTTGCAAAGTGCAGCTGGGCGCTGTCGGCTTCAAGCGACTCGCAGGATATTTCCCAAGACGCCTGCGCCGGAACCCACCGTATCGAAGCTTTCAATCATCGACGCGACAGTCGCACGATTCACGCCTACCGCTGCGATATGGCTTTACGATAAGAATGATATTGTGGAATTGCCATACCCGAGCCTATTCGAAATACTTGGATCAGCCCTCAGCGAAACTCTGGACGGTTTCCCTCATTTTGCAGGGCAAATCCAATGGGCGACCCAGGACATGGTGAAGAACGATGCAGTTCAGCGTCATCTTGGCCGCCCAGTCGTATCCCATGGATCTCCAGAAGACCCTGGGGTTGAGCTCATAGTTGCAGAGTACGATACCAATTTGGACCAAGTCGTTCCGAGCAGAAACGAGAGAGAAACAAGTCTGAAAGAGTGGAACGCGAGCGACTTTCAGCAAAGCGACTTCCTACCGAACACCAAAATCGCGCTATCATCCCTCAATGCGATCGAAGGATTGCCCAGCATGGCTATTAAGCTCACGGCATTCAGATGCGGAGGCATAGGGATCAGCGCAATGATTGCACACCCACTCGCAGATGCCGCTTGCCTAATGACCTTCATGAACTCCTGGGCTGCGCGATCAAGGGCTTTGCTGCATCCAGAGTCTATATCCGGGAGCTCAAAAATTGTCAAGCCAGTTTTTGAACCTTCTCTGCTTGATCAAGTTGCACAACTAAGCCATGGAGGAGCACCCGACAATGCCAAGATCCAGAAGGCTCGATCACTACCAATGCACCGGTTCGACTGGTGGGCGGAAGGTGCACCCGGTTTCCCTTCAGGTACGAAGCCTGCCACTCAAGCTACAATGCCATCTGCTGAAGAGATGGGAAACACACAACTCAGCTCGTCGTCCTTTCCGCCATGGCCAACATGGGACATGGCTGCGCCAGTTGATCATTACCAGATCCGTTTCTCGTCCAGCGAGCTAGCGAGGATGAAAGAAGCTGCGCAAGCAAGTCTTCCTGCCGATATGACGCCTTGTCGCATATCTCGACTTGATGCTGCATTGGCACATGTGTGGACTCTCATCAACCGTGCAAGAAATCTCCAGGATACACAGAACAACGTTTATCTCGACATCACCCTGGGACTTCGCCCAAGAGTGAGCCCGCCCTTGCCCGAGACTTTTGTCGGGTCTCCTCTCCTTCTCGGATATGTCGAGAAGACTGGAGTTGAGGCGTCTACAACGGAATTGGGGCCTGTCGCGGCTGCGATCAGAGGAATGATGGACATGTTCACCCCAGATGCGGTCGCAGCTTATATCCATGATGCCGCTCATGAAGTTAGTCCACAAAGACTGTGGCAAGCCTTCTTGGGCAAACACCATACGCTTGTTACGTCTTGGGTGAGGGCACAAGCCTATGAGCTTGATTTCTTTGGAACACAGCAGGTGGCCAGGTACGTCCAGGGAGTCATGCCCAAGATCGATGGTCTTGTCCAAGTCATGGATGTTGCGGATACTGGCGACTTCGATGTCAGCATATGCATTCAACGGGAGGCCATGGAACGGCTCTTGAGTGATCCTCTACTACGGAAGTATGAGTCTTAGAAGTCGCGATGATTTTTGCGAAGTCTATGGCACAACTAGAGCCAACCTAACGGACAATTCAATTCTTAGATTAAGACTTACACTTCATATAGAATCATTATCTGGAAATTTCATGAAGTCGCATTCCTTCGGCCATGGATGCCATTATCGTCTGCTCAAGTAGATACAAGAAGTTCAAATATGTACATGTAGACCTTGACCATCATTCTCCGAGTCGTTCAGGTCCAGTCTTGGCAATAGTGATTACGATGATAATTATGGTTCCTTCACTTCTGATTTGCCTCAGTCATCCACTGGCCGATTTGCGCTTAGGCGTAGACGTAGCAAAGTGGCGATCCGCCAATCGTGTTCATCAGCTCGCTGATGGTGCGGTTCTCTGCCAAGACTCCAAGGTAGAGAACATCTTCCACGGTTGTGTTCCGACTCGCGGGTCTGTTGTTGATCGTAATTGTGCCAGCAACCTCAAAAGCGTTCCATAGGTGCAGAGCTTGCCACAGCCAGTACACACGGTCGACCATCGCATGGTGAAGGAAGAACGAAGGGTCAACGGGTGACGAGTACAGATCGCTCGCCTCTCCATTGACGGAAAAGTGGCCTGCGGCGTGCATGCCGAGAAAGCCGTCTGCAAACCGTCCCTGGAGTTCGTTTTGGAAAAGCTCGATGTTGCGGGAAGCAGCTCCGATAGTGATGTTGGCCATGTTCTCGTTCGTCATCCAGTTCGTCATGGTATAGGAACTGAGGTCACGCTTCAGGCATCGAGGGTTGTGGCCGAGTCTGCCTGCGGGACTGGCCTCCATGCCATCCATACCAGGGTTCACAGGTCCAAGGTTGACTGTCATGCTGTGCAGATATTAGCTTGCCTCCATTACGCGATTGGAGTAGAGAGATACTTACTTGACGAAGGGACCACTCTCTACGCAGCCACCGCCCTTACCGGAAGGCAACCAGATGGCGCCGGCACCGCTGAGACTGCCATTATGCTGCACGAAGGCACCGTCGCCACTGAGACTCGTGTCGCTACCATCGAAGATTGGAGACTTGGTCAAATCATCTTGGTACTTGAGCCAGTTCCAGTACTATTTTTGTTGATTAGAAGTGTTCAGGCTTGAAAGAGAGAAATCAAAGATGTCCAATCAAGATAGTCCACTTACAGGTTGAGAGCCCTGGTAGCCACACTCGTTTCTCAGAGCCTCCTCATAAGCCCAGGTGAAATACCGATGCCACGTCAGGAAGTTTCCCTACATCATTGCGTTAGACTGGATCGCACCGAAAGGTGGATGTCTTGCTTACGGTGCCGTGGATGGTGGTAGTCTGGTTGATATGCACAGCAACAAAGTCATCATAACGGTTACGGGCGCCCGGGGCAAACTCCGGGTCTGACTTCGAGGGCGACGTCAACATGCACTGGACAGCACTGATGTACGCTTTCTTCTCCTTCTCAGAGAATGCCTCCCTTCACGCGCATATTAGCAACCGAGGACCTACGCGCGATCTGCATGAAACTGTGGGGGAAGTACGAACCAATCCCGGCGATAGCGTGCGTTGAAAATGTTGCAGCTGCTGCGCTTGTTCATCATTCCTGGGTTGGCTGCCTTGAGGGCGTCCATCGCCCGGATCTGCAGGCCAGAAAGAACATCGCGCGTCTCGATGGGAGAAGCAAGAGCCGGTGCGCTCAGCAGCCCAACAGCCGCAGCCACGATGTTGATGGAACGCATTGCTTGACGGTATTCGTTTTTTGGGAAGACGAACGGAGTGCAGGGTCGCCGCGTGCGAACAGGACAAGGGAATTAGGGAGAAGGAGGAGATGTGGTCCTGTGTTCCGTATGGCGAAGACACCTGATTCTCTGCAAAGACGAACACGCGCAGAAAATGCGTGGGAAGTGGGAGCGGAGTTGACGGTCCGGAACTTGTGTTCAGAGATCAAGAGGAAGGCGTTCCGCCGTGCAGTCACAGAACCTCGCTAGCTATATAGACGGATGCCTGTCAGACGTTGAGAATAGATTAAAATCCGTTGGCTAGCGCCTCCGACCTTTGGCTGCAGGGCTCCGGATCCGCGCGACGGACGTCCTAGCCGCACTGGGCGGCATGGCATGTCTGGAAGGCTGCCACCCCTGGCGCGGGATGCCGCTGTTGGGGGGCGAAAAATTGATGTGAGGGTTGTCAGTCGAACAGTTTTATGCGGCGGACAATGGAAGAAAATTCGACAGCCCAGATCCTGATCCGGGGCCCACGGAGCCGGGATGCTGGATGTAACCCTCTTCGGTCAAGATGGGTGGATGAGATGCAGGGGAGATGGGGAGATGCGACTCCGCCGTTGCCACAGGCCGAGGCGAATCACCAGAACGGTATTTGCCATCGGCAAGAACGGCGAGTCGAAAACGACAGTAACACTCGGCTTCCGGCTCAGCTATGAGGTACGGTCATATTCGTTCTGATATCGACCATTTTTCGGTCTATGGGACCTCCCGCAACGCACCGACTCGCGTGCCCCATGAGCTTAACTCAAACACTCAAACTCAAAAGTAACAAAGGTGTTCATCCCATGATCCCAACCTTGACTTCAGTCGCGACATTGGAGACAGTGTCCAACTCATGGGCCACGGCCCGTCTCCACCAAGTCAGCACTCACCTTCGGGGATAACCAACCGTAGCAACCGATCCAGGACAGATCATTCTCTGGTCTGTTGTGACTTCCAACCCGTCCCGCTAGCCAGGTTTTGGCATGCATTCCATAGCATCCGAGAGGCAGGCAATCCACTTCTCGTTGCAGATTGCTTCCGATAGGCCACCACGCCTGTTGGTCTTCGAGAGACGGGCGATTCCGTCGCGATAGTTGCTTTTTATCGTAGGACCGCCGTGGTCTTTAGCGGAGAAATTCTGCTGAAGAGCCCTCCTACACCCACGCAAGTCCACTTTTTCAATTAAGTGACAAGGGCATTGGTCCGAAGTTGCCTGATGGGTAGTCCTCAAATGGCACACGAAGGATCGATATTTCCAGGGCGTGCGGCCGCCATTGAAAGCGCTGTTGGAGATTGAACATTCCTCTGTCTTCAATTCTGAAGACCATTTCCATATCTCAGGTGATCCGAGAAGTCGGGTTCGATAGCTCATTATTCTCTTGACAGATGCTGCGCCGTGCGGCAGTACTTCAGACGGTACTGCAAGAGGGCGGCGCCGTGATGTGGGAGACACCACCCTTGTTGCCCCCCATGGAGCCTCCTTTCCATTTCGACCACTCAGATATCTAATTGGCGATCCTGCAAAGCAAGCACAATCATCACACACTCCACTCCATGCAAGGAACACTCCGGCCCAGGAATTTTCAGACCAGATTCCAACGGCTTTGCCATTCTGATAAGATGGATCTGTTTCCATGCTTCTCCTTGGAACACAGTCTAGAAGTAGCAAGTAGCACGAGACGTTCCCTCGGCTCCGCTGGGCTAGAACAGGAAGCTCTCCAGTGACTGCCGAAGCGACCGTCACCCAGTAACGACTTCTTAATTATTCCGTTTCGTGCTGTCCCTATTCCCGCCCCATGTGCCCTGCATGCTGTAAGAGTGGTGTGGTTCCTGCATTCCCTTGATGAAATCTGAAATCTCTTCGGAGCCGAATAGCTCAGAAGTCATTCATGCTTAAAAGATTGCACAGATCCCCTCGCTCCTGAAAGTGCCCACTCCTGATCTTCATGGCTCTTTTTTGCTTCCGTTGCCGTCTTCTCCCTTTTACTAACGTGCGCCGCGTCTTTGACGCAGTCGCCTAGCATGTCTTCGACTTCGTCCACCACGGCTGTGGACTCGGCAAGAGCCGCGGAGAGCAACACCGCGATGATCTTGGCCGTGACAGGAACCTTCCATCTGATCGCACTCATCTTTGTCAGTCTACGAACGTACACCCGCGCGGCTATCGTGAAGACGATAGGGCTCGATGATTATATGATGATCATGGCTGCGGTATGGATACCCGGGAGATCTCGCGCCTTGGCGTCGGTGCTGACCCCCTTCAGCTTTGCGCATTGGGTGGAGGCATGGTTATTTTCATCATCCAGGCACAATATGGACTTGGAAAACATAGGGATACAATCAGCAAGCTCGACTATGTTGAATATTCCAAAGTCGGCTTCTTTCAGTCCATCATTTCCGCGATCGCCGCGCTGGCTTTCCTCAAGATTTCGATCGCGCTGTCCCTGCTGCGACTGAGCAAGAATCCCTGGTACTCGCGATCACTGTGGGCACTCATTGGTATCCAGTTACCTATCCTTTTTCGGCATAACACATGCTGATCACTTTCCAGTGTTTGTCGTCCTCTACACGATCATGGCGTGGTTGAGCTTCTTCTTGTACTGCAAGCCACTTGCCGGCTACTGGGATAAGAGCCTCAAGCCCACCACTTATGGCATCACGTTGTTTGTCAACTTTGCCCTCATCAACACAGGTATGCAGCTTGATCCAGCCTGCACTTGCTGCAATCTAACCAGCTATAGCATTCAATATCTTCACTGATGTCTGCTTCGCAACGTTGCCGATCCCCATCATTTGGGTATTGCAGATGAAACTGCGCACCCGAATCTATCTGATCGTCGTCTTGAGTCTCGGCTATTTGTAGGAAACTCTCTTTGTCTGTTGTATGCTACAACGAGCTAACCGATTCAGTGCCGTCATCATGGGAATCATCAAGGCCGTCTACCAGATTGCTCAGCCCGGTAACAAAGACGGAACCTTCTATCAGAGTGTCCAGTTCTGGGGATTGTAAGTGCCGCTGGGATTATCCTACGCTTCGCAGTTGCTGATTAAACTTCCCACAGTCTCCAGCTTAACCTCGGTATCATCGCTGCCTGCGCACCCGCACTCAAGCCTCTCGTGGGCAAGGCCCTTAAGATCTCCTCGAGTCGACGATACAACAGCAACAATCTTTACGAAAACCGATACCCGACCGGGCGTACCGGCAGAACTGGTAATGGCACATCGAACGCTCGAAGGCAAGGATACAGGGAGCAGGGTAGCCAAGGAGCACCTGACTTTGAGCTCGAGGACGGCCCTTTCTCCCCAAGCACGGAGATGTACCGAACAACCATCAAAGGGGGAAATCACCCGGCGGCGGTGGCAGTGTACCAGAACGGGCGCAGCTTTGAGGGGCGATCAGGAAGTGAAGAGTCTATTTTGGTCTCGGATCAGAAGCTCAATGATCATGGTATCATGAGGACTACAGAAGTTTCTATACAGCGATAGTATATTCTGAAATGATATGATTATGGTCATGGTTTTCCGTGTGCTCCGTAACAGGCTCTGTTCCTTTTCAAAGGAAAAGGAAGAAACTACATGTATCTACTCCACCGGCAGAGGCATGCTGCATACGCTCGACTCAATGCTTCGGGGGCGCATAGTCATCCTTCGGCTAGGCGAGATGCCGCGTTACATGCAAGTCATCTAGAATGAGGCACTGGTGGGCAGTTTGAGCTCTACTTCGGCGTATGAAGGCGTTGGAGCCCTCGGAACCATATCGCTCAGTACCCAAAACGCAATAGTAAACCCGTCAAACACCTCCGAACCTGTACGTCATGATCCGACCGATATGGAAGAAAATGGCCTTGGCTTCTTGGGGGATAAGAAAGTCGGCGAGAAAGTCGCCGAAAATGCGGCGAGATTCCGCGCCAAGACCGTTGGTTGGGGCTCATATCCTTCAATACATCATGTAAGCCAGACTCATTTTTCAGCGTTCAGTCAATCCGAGTGACTTCAACCTTTCATATTAGAAAATGCCAATTAATTTGAGTGAAAATGTCTCCGAGAAGAAAGACATAAAGCTGCAATGATCGAAAGGCTCCTAACACCTTATTTTACCGATACTTCTGTCTCTACCAAGGTAGACACAGTCTCAAGTTGATATTCTGAAATTCAACAATCAAATAACTGTTAAAACTGCTCCAGAATCATTCATTTATTCGAGCAATGGCATATCTTGCGAAAAACACTCTGTTTCTCTGGCTGAAGGGATTCTACCCTCGTCGAATTGTGTACTACCTGCTCCTCAAAGGCTTGGCCACTCCTGATGGCATCATGAAAGGCCAGAGCACCTCAATATCATTGAAGATCAACATCATCAACTACAACTCGAAGACCAACCGTCTCGAACCTGCCGATGTCGACGACCCAAAGCCAGCTGGCAAAAGCACCCCGTGCCTGCGAATCTTCGACGCAGACAAGGGGACCACCCAATGGATACACGAGAGTACCGCAATCCCGGAATACCTGGAAGACGCCTATCCCAATTTACTTCCTCTTCAGAGCCGCGATATCGTGGACCGAGCCATATTAGGCGACATCATGGCTGGCATCAACGCTACGCAAGACGATTTCAGCTACTATTTGCTCCACGCGTCGCCTGTCGCGTGCAAGTATATGGGGCTTGATGCAGCAGATAGAAGCCTCAAAGCAGCACTCAACGCCAAGGCTCAGATGCACAAATGCCTGCTAAAGGTGCAGGCATGGGCTTCGGAATCATTGGAGAAGACCGGGTGGCTGACACCTGGCATCGACAGACCGGGTCTCGCAGATATTTGTCTTGCAGGATGGCTCCGATACATTTGGCTATCGTATGAGTATGATGTTATCGAGGCAGAAGGCAAGGATGCACTGAGTGACTGGTGGGTGCGCTTTCGAAAGCTCCGATGGTGGGCAGAGGTGGAGGAGACTGGAGAGAGTCATCCGGAAAGTCTTCGATTCGGGAAGGAAAGTCGAGAGGTCTAAAACCCATCTCGAGGAAAAGGACTGAACCAGCGACTTTGCCTCAAGTCTCCTTTTCTTTCAAGGTGTTAGTATGCGCACGAAGCGTGTCTTTTTGACTTCGAAATGAAGTAACTGATTCTATAATTCAGAAGTGCCAGCACGTCAAAATTGCATACGGGCCTCTAATAAAAACAAACAATATTGTCGTATATTCAATGTCAAGCACCTTGTATCAATCACGACACGTAGCTAACCCATTGTATCTCCCTGTATACCTAGTACTGCATTTATAGTAGTCGATTCGGCCACGTTCTTGTCTGAAGGGGGCCGTCGACCGTTATTCTGGTGCCGGATTTGAACCCACTTTGATGAAGTTCAAGTTTATAGCCCACCCAGTATAAGGCTTGATAGTAGGAAAACACAGTAAAACCAGTTCTGTTAGTGCTCCATCCAGTAGCATCCCAGAGCTGTACGTTGATAAGAGTCTGATCGTCATCCTTCGTAAGAGGCCTGTTCAAGTTACTAGAATATGGCAAATCACTATCCAGCGGAGGAGAGAGCGGAGCGAGTTGCTGGAATCAATGCTCTTTTTCAGCATTCTGTTGCCTAATCCATGCAGCAAACCGGTCACATCACCCGAGGCGTTCCGGGAGGAAACATCACTTCATGCCACCGTCGTTCAGGATATTGCAGCTGTGCTCAAGACAACAGGTCAGTTTCAAGCATTGGCTGGATCCTCGAGGCCGATAAACTGCACCACAATTTCTTCAACTTCGCATCGCAAACCTGTTTGGGTGGCTTTGTATGGCAAAATGTTGCGCGATGTAGTCAATAGCCCTTTAGGTGGTCACTAAGGCAGACCTGACTAAGCTGAGTAGCGAAATCTCGGATCGTTGTCGTTACCATTTTTGACGTTATTTAATGAAAGCGATTTCCAGGGTAAAAGGCTGCTAGGACGTCAAATCCCACATCCCGTTCAGCGATAAACAGCGCCACCTTTTTAGGCCCGGTGGAATCCGGGTGTTTGCTCCCGGGTTGTGACCCACCCTTCCCGATATCCTTGCTATTCCGGCCCCGCAATCGGAGCCAAAGTGCGGACCTATCCGAATATCAACAGTTTGATATTCCGAGACGCTCATATCTCTGGCTGAAGTTTAAACTTATCGCTTGATGAAAATTTCCATCTCAAGGTGACGCATGTGCGGGAGCAAACCACTTTGTTCAATGCCGACAATATGCAACGCAACAGTGGCTGGTCCTCGGATACCGATGGCGTTATCGAGTAGCCTAATGTCGTTATGAACCCAAATCTGCCAGGGGCAGAATTTTACGTCTGCCATGCCTCCTTTCAGGAAGGTAACAAGCGTTTGTCAGTCCTGAATCAGACTGACTTTCGGGTCATCAACGGCACTTCTTTGGGCACTTAAGACGGCGTGTCCGCCCGCGCCCAGACCGACCCATTTTGGCCCGCAAATCCCGCCGCGCGTTCGAGGTCATGAAAACACCTCACTTAACCATGATTGCATACAAAATACTGTTGGCGCTAGACAAAATGTATCAAGCTACCACATCTGGTTTCCAAAGTTTGGTACGATTTTGGTCATCGACGTAAAGTCTTCGGCCTGATTTGGCTGTTGAGCCAAGCTTATGTATTTCCATACGATTATCTGCACCCTTCTCTTCCCAATCGTGTGATCACTGGCCTACATTCCTTTCACCGTGCATCAATGCAGAAGACAGACTAATCGCGTCTATCTCCTCGAATGATCGCGCATCAGAGAAGTACCTGCCATAGGTCAAGGAGCACTTAATTTTCAACTGGAAGCTCTCGATGGATTGTTGTCCAACAGCAACTGTCTCATTCTGAAGAATTCACATCCAAAAATGCGCCTGGAGTTTGGCTCAAGTCCAGTCATCCCTCATCCGGTTGCAACACAATGTATTTGAGCGAGCCATGTCGTCTTTCACGGTGGTTTGACTGTTTCTAGCAAATGTCGTCATTTGCCTTCGGTGTTACTCCATCGCAAACCTCCAACAGCTCCCCGTCAAATAGTGGGCTCCGCCGCGTGGGGGTGGATAACCCCAGCCAAAGCTGTCCAGTCTGGAGAGCTTTGGAGACACTAGGGATCAGCCGCGGTGGGAACACCGTCCCTGGAGGTCGTTCTCGACGCCTCGGCGGACGCGCCCGGTTCTTCCCTTTCGTGTAGCTGAGTGTCAAACCTGATCTGAATAAGACGTTACAACCGGCCAGTCCCAGCTGATGAGGCGTATGTGGCCAGTCCGTGCCGGTCAGGGTTCGAGGACCCCGATCGCGTGCTTGTTGGTGGTGAGGGTTTTGACGCCAAGAGACCAAGAAGGCAACGTCAAGCCAGCAAAAACATGGATCAGGAATTAAGCCAAGAGACAAGCAATTGTGTGATTTTACCCCATCGTATCGACGCCTGCAGACATGAGTCGGGTCACTCCCGCGGGCGGCATCAATCGGGATATATGAAGTCTCGACGCGTCTGCCACTGGATCGACCATTATGTCTACAACCCTCTTCGATCTTCGTTTTCTCGATAGGTCTGCTTGACATCTTCGCTCAGACATTGAGGCAGTCTGTCTCCAAAGGTTGTCAGTGCTTTCACTACTGCAACATAGTCAGACAGACAAACATGGTCTTCTCAAAGCTGTTCGGCGGCGGCGAGAAGTCCGAGCCCGAGTATCGGGTGGACCATGAGGCCAGCGACTCCGAGCCTTCAATCATCCACGATGGAAACCTCGCATATACTCGCCAGAAGGGAGGCAATGGCTCCAAGCCTTCGTATCAAGAAGCCGTCGGCGCGCCCGTGGAGTCCCAATCGCCCCTCGGATACCACGTGGGATGGGCTGCTGTCATCTTTCTGAATATCAACATGATGATAGGAACGGGTGTTTTCTCGACTCGTAAGTCCACGCAAAGCATTCAGACAAATATAGGAGCCCCAGAACCATATGTTTACTAAGTCTGTTACAGCGGCGAGTATCCTCAATCGCACCGGCTCCGTTGGTCTCGCACTTCTGTATTGGGTCATCGGATTCCTCATGGCGGCCGCTGGATTCAGCGTCTACCTGGAGCTTGCCAGTTACTTTCCCAACCGCAGCGGATCCGAAGTTGTCTACTTGGAACAGCAGTACCCTCGCCCGAAGCACTTCTTCCCCGTCGCTTTCGCCGTCCAATCGGTCATCTTGTCTTTTAGCAGTAGCAACGCCGTCGGTAAGTTTGAAGTCACGTAGCGCAGCCATACATGCGCCGTTAATCAGTCAGTAAACTCATGAACTGGTAGTCCTCTCGAGATATTTGTGGAGGATGGCCGACATCACCCCGTCGGAGTGGCAAATGCGGGGGGTTGCCATCGCTGCTTATACCCTTGCCGTCATCTGCGTCCTCGCGCACAACAGATACTCTCTGTGGCTTGTCAACTTCATTGGTGTTCTTAAGATCCTTACTCTGGTCTTGTGAGTCTCCTTCAATCACGGTCTAGTATCGATTGCGGGACTAACAAGATTTCAAACAGCATTAGCATAGCAGGCCTCGTAGTCCTTGGCGGCAACGTCAAGCACATCCCCGACCCCAAGGCCAACTTCCGAAATGCTTTTGAGGGTACCACCAACAACGGAAACGACCTTTCTAACGCTCTGGTCTCCATCATCTTCAGTTATGCCGGATACTACAACGCCTTCAACATGACCAATGAGATCAAGAACCCCATTCCCACCCTGAAGAAGAACGGCATCATCTCACTCGGTACTGTCGCGATCCTGTATATGCTTTGCAACATTGCGTACTTCGCCACAGTTTCCAAGGCTGAGTTTGCCGAAGCCAGCGAGATTGCTGCGGCCGTTTTCTTCTCCAAGCTTTTTGGCGAGAGCAAGGCTGCTGCGAACGTTCTCAACTTCCTCGTGCTGCTGAGTGCCTTTGGCAATCTGCTGGCCGTCTTGATCGGATCGTCGCGAATGATTCGTGAGATCGGCCGACAGGGTGTCTTGCCGTTCACCGAGTTCTGGGTTTCCACCAAGCCGTTCGGAACGCCGCTCGGTCCTTATCTTTTGAAGTGGGCCATGACGTTCATCATGATCGTTGCTCCTCCAGCCGGCGATGCATTTTCTTTTGGTATGTTTGCCCTTGAAACCATTGGCGATAAAATCGAACACAAAATGCTAACTAGCCTCCTCAGTTGTCGACCTTCAGACGTACCCGAGCGCGATGTTCAACTTCGCAATGACATACGGCGTCTTCATTCTGCGACGCAGACACAGACGCTCTGGCATTGGTCGCTCAGACTTCCAGGCCTGGGACTTCGTCGTTCTCTTCTTCCTGGCTATTCAAGTCTTCGTACTTGCTATGCCTTGGTGGCCGCCTAAGGGTGGCCCTTACGCTGGCAGCGTCAGCTTCTGGTACGCGACGTACTGTGTTGTTGGCATTGGAATGTGAGTGTTTTCAGCGCAAGCGCAGTTCACAACTTCTCCAGAATATTGTACTGACATTCGCTTAGCATGATTGTTTGCGGTCTCTACTACGTCTTCTGGATGTACCTGCTTCCCAAATGGATGGGATACGAGATTCGTACTGAGATCGTAGAAGTCGATAACGACGGAGCCAACACCCACCGCCTGGTCAAAGTTCCCAAGGCTGAAGTTGCACAATGGGATTCCGAGCATGACGAGGCGGGTAACCTGCGCCGAAGGAATGTCACGACTGTTGAGATCGAGTCGAGTGGGTCCAACGAGAAGACGGCCTAAAGTAGACCACATACTTTGAGCTTCATTTTAAGGACTTCTTTCTAGATTTCTTCTGTTGCCGCAACAAATCAGATTGCAGTAGACTTAATCCAAAGCAGGGGAATTCAGCACAATATGATCGTTAAGCGCTATATGAGAGGCTTGTAGATACAGCTGCCGCGCCACGTTGACTATCCGGCGATAATGAGATGACAGGCCTCGCCCACTTCACCGGTGGCACTCGGCGTTTCATTCGGTATCTTATGCATGATGTACTTCATCCAGGCAGCGAATCATAGTGCGTACCACCACGGACGCTGCTCCCTGAATCCACTACTAGATACTAGATCAGGGTCAATGGATCGGCGTACTGGCTTTATGAACGTCGATCTGGGGTTCGCGGCAAACACTGCAGCCGTCACATGGGGATCATGCGGTTACATGCAATCCATATCGTGTCATTGGTTCATAGACGCTCCGGAAAAACAAGCATAAATGAGTGAGACATTGGATCTGAGCATGGATGGAGGCTAGTGACGATCCACACAGATTCCAGTTATGATCCAAGAGGAAGATCTGATCGCCTTCATCCGCAAGCCAAAATTCACGTTTCTAGTTCCAAGATTCGAAAAGAAGGAACGAATAAATCACACACACCCCCCCCTCCCCCCTCAAATTGGTTAGTCGACTTCCACATAATGGCCGAAGCCTGAATCCATTATGATGATTACTTAGTTCTCAAGAGGTGAGCTCCACACCGATGCGATGAATCATAGTAGCCGACGCGAATTAAAGAGCCCGCACTTGTACTTGTATTCTGAAGAGGTATACATCAGCGTTATCGGATGCCTTCGTTTTATGTTCCACGTGATACACATGAACATCTACGGGATCAGAAGTGCAAGGGCGGTGATGACACCGTTGACTGACATCATCCATCAGACTCTTGCAAGCTAGAAAATAAGCTAGCAATTGATTATCTTCTTGGACCTTCTCTCCTCGTATTAATCATCAGTATTACTTGGGCTGTGCTGTCATGGGAATCGCATTGCTAAGGCTATGCATGCCAGATCCGGTTGACCGAAAGTCCCCATCAGAGTAATCGTCGCCTAGGCAAACGTCCGTCGACAACGGCAACCTGTTTATCAACAAATGTCAACCCTGTGAGTAAATTGATCCCATATCACGGACCAGTGACGGATCGCCGGAACCGGAACCTTCTCCAGGGGTTGGGAATGTTTCCCGCGTCTTATCTCCCGAGGCCAAGGATCCCCCGCCGGCCGACGAGTCATTCCTGCGCCTTTTGATCCAGTGCCCCGCAGAAACATGTCAACCCCACAGAATGCTACGGACTCTCAATAAGCTGCAGCAAGAGCCAGCCAATTCCCCGGGATTTCTTCATTACCATTCCGTAATCGCTCAATTGCCGTGTCCTAGCTATCAAGATAAGTCGCAGATAAGACCAAGAGAGCACTAACAGACAAGGGCCGACCCAGAGGTTGGTCAGTATGCGAAGTCGGTCAGTCCTTGCCGATGGCATTCAAGCTCATCTTTTTGCCGACTGATAAGCAAATCCCGACCGCACGGGTCCAGCGTTCGCCTAGCTCAATCACCTCCGGACCCCAACCACGTGCGATTGGGCACCTCCGTCGAGATAAGGTCGATATGTCAGGATGTTGGTCCGAAGTTACGATGAACTACGCGGATTCCATGGATTCTAGCTCGAGATCATCAGGCATGAACGAGGCATTTTCGAATTTGGTCGGATATTGGTTCCAAAATCGGACATGTTGTGTCTTATCCAGTCTTATCACCATGGCTTCACTGACGACAACCGGGAGAAGTCCGTCTTGATGTCAATAGTATAAGAGAACCCGTATGATCCATGAGAAACCCTTTCGGTTTTTTTCAGATCAGCGCAGAATTTTTAATCTCCTGCAAGCCGAAGCTGCCTCAAGACAAGCCCTTTCTTCCCAAGAAACATCAGCGCACCAATCAGTCAAGATGCAGACCCGCAACTTGTTCCTCGCCGCGTCGCAGCTGGCTCTCGGCCTTGCCGCTCCGGCCTCCATGCCCGGCTTCCCGGCCCACCGGCTTTCAACCCGCGAGACTCACTTCAATGCCAGCCTGCCCAACATTACCATCTTTGCCACGGGCGGTACCATTGCCGGCTCTGCATCATCCAACGCCCAGACTACCGGCTACCAGGCCGGTGCTCTCGGTGTCGACATCCTTATCGACGCCGTCCCTGAGCTGTGGAACGTTTCCAACGTCAAGGGTGTCCAGGTTGCCAACGTCGACTCCGGCAGCATCACCCCCGAGATCCTCCTCAACCTTACCCGCCTGGTCCAAGAGGCCCTCGATGATCCGTACTGCCAGGGCGCTGTCGTCACCCACGGCACTGACACCACGGAAGAGTCCGCTTTCTTCCTTGACCTGACCGTCAAGTCTGAGAAGCCCGTCGTCGTCGTCGGCGCCATGCGCCCTGCCACCGCCATCAGCGCCGATGGCCCCATCAACCTCCTTGAGGCCGTCACTCTCGCTGGTAACCCTGATGCCAAGGGCCGCGGCACCATGATCGTTCTCAACGACCGCATCGGCAGCGCCTTCTACACCACCAAGACGCACTCCAACTCCCTCGACACCTTCAAGGCCGTTGAGCAGGGCTACCTCGGTTTCTTCCTCGACATCAAGCCCATCTTCTACTACCCTGCCGTCCTCCCCTACGGCCGCGTCTACTTCAACGTCTCCGAGGCCACCGAGCTCCCCGAGGTCGACATTCTCTTCGGTCACCAGGCCCTGCAGCCCGCTCTCGCGACCGCTGCTGTTGAGGCCGGTGCCAAGGGTCTCGTTCTGGCCGGCATGGGTGCTGGTGGATGGACCACTCCCGGTCGCGACACCCTCAAGAAGCTTGCTGAGGAGCACGACACCCAGATTGTTGTCTCCAGCAGAACCATGGGTGGCTTTGTCGAGGACGACGATGCGCTCAACACCTACGGCGGCTGGAACCTGAACCCCCAGAAGTCCCGCATCATGTTGCAGCTTGCATTGTACGCTGGCTACACCTCTGAGCAGCTTGAGACCCTTTTCAAGTTCGCCTACTACTAAGATTAATGAGTTGAAGTTATGAGATCATGAGCACATAGATATCAATAATAGACCAAAAGTAATGTTTACCTAATGAAAGCCGAGTTACTCCAAGTGCCGAATTGTCACGAGCGACAGGAAGGATTAACCTTTTACACGCGCTGCATGCGAATGCCGCTCGCCTCGCCCTGCCAACGGAAAAGCGATGTCAATTGACTGAGGTGTTCTCTCATTTCAATATGATGTCACTCAGGAAGCGTCGCGGGTGTTGTTAGTGCGTCTTCTGATGCTACATCAACAGTTCGGCAATTACCTCGTTGCCCCTCTCCGCATGGCAGGTAGCATGCCTCGGCCTGGTCCGTGAAACCGTGATCGCCTACGCCGTAGCGAAACTTTGCAGGATACTATCCCCCGGAATACCTTTACGTCAGAGTCGTGCAATGATCCTCCAGGGGTTCATCCAAGCCCCAGTCTAGGCCGTTGACTGCAACGCAGAAGGTTCCATTGCAACCGTTATTTTCCCGAGCTGTTCAGCCCAATTTGCCGATACTACCGCACCAAGGCCGAAAAAGCAATTCATGCGGAATTCCACTATATGGCCTCAAGCTATGGGTGTATATCACAACGATATAATAGCGCACAGCTCCTAATGCGACAAAGACAACGGCTGATTGTGACAAAGGCGAACGCCAATGCAACAAAGGCGAAGGCTAATGCGACAACGCCCTCGACTAACGTCCAAGAATTCAGGAGCAGTAGGCTTGGACTGGTGATTTCCTAGCTTGGAAAGCTGAAAAGAATCCATCCAGTACAGTTTACTTATACGGCCTCATGTGCAACGCAATTCAATATCCTCTTCGTGTCCCCTTTGCATATTCCCCAACGGCAAGCCACTCGTTCAGTTCACCGTCTTCAGAACATCACCAAAATGTCCCAAGCATTCGCAGCTTTTACCACTAGGTGGCTAATGACCTTGATCGTCGCCATTGCCTTGCACTCCGCAAGCTTTGTTCACGGACTACCTGCCTCTAAAAGCGCCGACCTTCCAACGGATCTTCGAAGAGCGCCCACCGACAACTTCCATCTCGATTCGAGACAAGACATTCCTGATGCTTTGGCCAAGTTTCCATCCGGCCCGTTGAACCAATTCCTCAGACTCATCAGCACCCTCCCAGCAGGAGCCGCTGCCCTGGACGCAGTTGGTCTGGTTTTGACACCGTTGCAGCAAAGTCTTGCCGACTCCGTCGGTATTGACACGACCGAGAACGGCTTGGCGCCGAATGCTACCTGTGCCGATATCACTGTCATATTCGCCCGCGGAACCACCGAGCCTGGAAACGTCGGTCTCGTGACTGGCCCGCCTTTCTTCGATGCTCTGAAGAAACAAGCGGCTGGCAAGTCTATCAACATTCAAGGTGTTGCGTACCCTGCAACATTTGAAGGGTTCAATAACAATGGAACGGAAGGAGTGCCCAGCATGTAAGTGAGCTTTCAAAGGCGGGGTCTACTACGATTGGAGTTTTAACTCGGTCTTCTAAGGACGAACTTCATCAACAAAGCCATCACCAACTGCCCTAACTCCAAGATTGCCATATCCGGCTACTCTCAAGGGGCCCTAGTTGTCCGCAGCACGACGCAATCGCTTCCAGCTGCGACAATGGCTAGGATCAATTCGGTGTTGACCTTCGGCGACCCAGGATACCCGAACCCCATCCCTGGAGCAGATGGCAAGACCCAAATCATTTGCCACGACGATGATGCGGTTTGCAAGGGAGGTTTTATTACTGTGGACCATCTGACTTACGCCGAAAATGCAACGACGGCTGCGGAGTTTGTACTTCAGAAAGCGAACACTCAGTAGGACGTTTGACCGTTTCGACGGTGAGGCCTAGCATAATCAGTATGCAACTGGACAAATGAGAATCTTTTCGTAGTGTGGATGATGCTGTCAAATACAAGCTGTATCGACCAAAGACATATTAAGCCGGGCACCGACAACATCAATCGATAAGTTCTGGAAACAGTCGGCAAATGACAACGTGAGGAGATATGAGCATGATCACAAGGCCTTTTGCACTACAGTCAATACTAGGTTTCTGTACCCCTGAGCCTGCGATCAAAACATAGCCAACCGTCATCTAACATCTGTCCTCTGTCGGCCTGGCTTGCATCCCCAGACTCATTCCTCATGCGTATAGAAGACCTTGCTGGGGCTCATCGACTTTACCGCCCGAGAAAGAACAATGTCCCGGTCCCGTGTTTGACACCGCTACAACACCCCACTGGAGCGGTTTCTCCCAGGCATTGGGTTCGCCTAGCCCAGGATGACAAGCTGCAGATATTCCTGCACTACAACTCCCCACTACAGGTATCTCGCCGAACTTCAGAGGCCGCGATCCGACAATAATAAGATACACGACCATGAAAGATATTGAAAGAGCAACGATCATAACTCCAAAGCCAGACCAACCACATGATGTAAAGCTCTTTTCCGGGTAGGGGACCATAGCCATGACGTTTTCTGACGAAGGGCCGTATGACTCCATGCTGACAACGAAAATACTTTGCGAGATGAGCCAATGAATTAGACCCGAAAAGATCATTACCGGGATTGAGTATCTGAATGGAAGCTGCAAAAAGTAGGTTTGTCTTTGGGCCCCCTGAGGCTTTGCAGACACCCGGAGGCCTTTTCTGTGACTTCCGAACCTATCCCACTCGGTGACTAAAGATATGCTTGTGCATACAGCATTGAAATTGCAGTAAAGGATCGTTTGTACAACTTGGAATGTGTTGGCGACGATAACGTTGAGGATGAGAGACGTAGAGTCTTGGCCCATCCAGCTGGTCTTTAGAATCAGCTCCGCATGTGGTGAAGCCAGCCCTGCTGGTTTCAAACCTGTAAAGTCGCTCGGTCTCTTGAACATCAGCAGAAACACACAGCCGACAATTGAGGTAAAGTATCTAGGATTCCTCATTAATCAAAGTTTTATGGAACATTGTTCAAAGAAATGTTAACTTACCCAAGCACGCATATGTTCCATCGAATGGTACCAGTGGCTGAATCCTTGTATTGCAATCCATTTCCGAACTGTCGCGGCTTCCTGGTCCAGTCATTCTTGATAAAGTCCTGGTTTGACTTGAGACACATCTTTGTCGTGGTCTCATCAGGTTCTTCCATGAAAGAGGCAATGGCGTCTCCAACCGATAGCAATGGTCTTTCTCCGTTGCTAAAGGCAATGGACAGCATTAAAACAACCTTTAGAAGGTTGAGGTTGAAAGTAATGACGACCCAGCAAAGTACCTTGCTGTATAGCAGCTTGCAATGACCCTCAGTTCTCTGGCTGTGGCATTCTGTTATAGTTGTTTCATTCATCCCCCATCTGTCCAACTCCTCCGCACTGGCCCATTCAGAGCCTGAAGACATCGTGTCTCCTGTTATTTTTATTTCTTCGAAGTTGGCTGTATAATTTGTAAGCTCATCGTCTGCTGAAATCAAAAGCAAGCTGCCTTGGGAAGACTGGAACTCAGTCCCATACGCCCTGATACACTCATGGAAGCTAAGATACTCCAGTAAACCTTGATCATAGGCGCGATAGATGTCCGCTAGTGTTTCCTTGGCTTCTGATGGCGCTGGAGATACGTCACCTGTAGCCAGAAACCTTCTGTTTATTTTGAAAACCCAATACGCGTTTACCGAAGTTGATGCGAATATTGTAGAGTTGAAACTGCGAGGAAGTCAGTTTGATACGGAGAAGTATTGGTGCAGAACTACGATACAGTAAATGGAGAGGAAGAGAAGATATCAGGAAAAGGAGCCAAAGGACCCTTCTTTTCCATCTAATGCGCCAGAAATTGCGGATGCTAGGAATCCCAACATCCATCCATTCTTGTTTGGCATGGGATTCGTTGATCTCAGACCGTGTCGGTGCCATAAGACACTGCATGCAGTAGTTGCTGCCGGATAAAAGAACTGTGCTTAGAATATTTACGACAACGTGGATACCAGTGTTTATAGCTTTCGTCTCAGAACAAGTGTCTGGGAGTAGCAAAATGCCGATGCCATCTTTCGTATCCGCCGAGCGTGAGATAGTAGCCCAGATAATGAAGGTGAGGTTGATGATGAATGTAGAAAAGGCCGCAATGGCAAAGCTAAGAGCGGCTCTTTGCCATTTCGCCTGGGGGAGTATAGCTTTGGCTTTTGCAGCAAAGCTTGGCCGTTTTTGTTAGAAGACGAACCCCAAACCACACAGAATGCAGAAGGCGCAGATAGAGAACCATCGTCCTTGATCAATCCTGTGTACAATTGCACTGACGTACCGGTACGTGTAGAAGTGCAACGAATTGCAAGCCATCGCGATATACTTTGCTTCGCGCCCAAATTTTCGGAATTGATTGACCGTGGTTGTAGATGGACTGCGTTGACTAGTTTGCTGTCTGGGTGTATTATTTGACTCTGCCGAGCACCCCCTTGAATTCATTCTCGCAGTCGCTGAAGGCTAGTGGCGCGAGTCCACTGACTATGTATCTCTGCTCTTTTTCTGCCGCGATGTACCAAGATAGCTGACGCGCACCAAAAGCCTCAGCCACGACTAGCTATATGCAGTATCGCCGTCGATGAGTATTCAATCAGCCTTTCGCAAGAGGTAATTGGGTATATTTAGACTAGTTCAGCTATAGTTGACTAAGAACGACCTTGCACCGCGTGGCTTCCATCCCCAGCCACGCCGTCCACCAATCGCGATGACTGCGGAGACTTTGGTAAGAAGAAAAGACGAGGCACAGCATCTCAGCTGACATGCAGTGAACCAAGGTGAGACGTTACATCAGAGAGTCCATCTTTAATCCTGAAGCATTACTAGCCTTGAGTTGGCTCAAATCCAGTAACACACTATGAGGCCCTGTAGGGTACTTCACTTTTCTCAAAAGGGAAAGAAACTGTACAATACGAGCCCGATCTGTTGGTGCCTTTACCTGAGTCGCCCAGTTCTTTCTAAAACGACATTATGTTTTCTACAGATTTAAGCAGATACTGAACAGAAACACTTTTGTCCAGAACGCAGGTACACTACACTTAAAATTTGAAGGGGAAGCATTGTATGTAATAGTTCTTGGGTCTTCACAACAAGACCTCTTCGACAAGCGTCAAGACTATGGCCAGGACAATCTTAGTGACTATACCGAATCATCATTGGTTGTTTCTTTATTAATGCCAATAACACGCCCAGCCGATTCCCAAGTCCGCCACAAGCAAGGATGGTGGAGCCATGCATCAAGCAGGGGCTCAACATGTCGACGGAACAGCGTAAGAAGTAGCCAAGTCAGATTCAGAAGTGCGGAGTTGTGACATCACGGCTCCAGTCCGCCCGAAGTCCGCAAGCCCATTATGCAATGTAGGGAGGCGAGATATTCGGGTCCTCGAGGTTGTCCACATTTTCTATTTTGTTGGGGCCAGCTCATTCATGCTCCATACGGGACATGCGGCCTCCGACCGACGCCGATTGTGGGGCAACTATCAATCAGGCCGTCCGAGATGGAATCGGTACGATCACCGGGGCCCTCCGGACGCCGAGATGATGGACCAATCGAAACCTTCTCATATCAGAATGGAGGAATCGATAGCAGTGCGGATCTCTACGGTCACCGATTCGAGATGATATGACTTCTTTCCTTCAAATTGAGTCAGATCCAAGCTGTCCCCAAGTATTTAAACGCTCAGCACGTCTCATAAACATGTAAGCTGACTTCTCAAACAACAACAACAACTGATCACAAGCTTCATCCTTTATACTCGCCCATCACATCACAATGACTACAATCGTGAGAAACGTTGCACTCCTCGGTGTAAGATAGACCCTTGCTTGAAGCATGCATCCAGAGTTTCACGACTCTAATTACTTTTAGGCCACCGGGACATTGGGTCCTCACTTGCTGAAAGCATTGACTGGCGCTGGACACTCTGTCACCGTTATTCAGCGCAAGGAATCTACGAAGGAAGCACCTCAGGGCGTGAAGTCTGTCAAGGTTGACCTGAGCAACTTCGATGATCTTGTCTCCGTTTTCAAGGGGCAGGATGTCTTCGTCAGGTAGGCTCCATAAACCCTAAATCTCTGCTTTACTTTTCCCCATTTACTGACGCCGCATCAGCGCTGTTCCAAACCCGACTCTAGCTTCAGACAAGGTCATAATCGATGCCGCCATCGCAGCCTCGGTGAAGCGCATCATTCCCTCCGAGTTTACCACCAATCTCGACACCCCTCTTTCCCGCAAGCTGCCTCACGTCCTCGGCAAGGTCGAAGTTCGCGAGTATCTCGAATCTGTGGTCCCAACATCTCCGTCAACTACATGGACTTCCATCAATAATGGCGCGTTCCTCGAGTTGTGCCTAAAGTTTGGTATCCTCGGCCCCAACTTGATGCAAAAGACGGCGACTTTCCACGACGGCGGTGAAAAGGTTGTCGGTGCATCCCTGCTCCCTGACATCGGCACCGCGTTGGTCAAGATCCTTGAGCCGGGCCATTTTGAGGAGACCGCCAACAAGCCAGTCTATTTCTACTCCGCCGCCATCAGCGAGAAGATGCTTACCCGACTTGCGTCCGAGGCGACCGGTATCGACTTTGGCAGCGTCGAGGACGGCCGCATCCCAAATCTGAAGGTCGAGGATATGGTCCGCGACGCGAACGAGAGGCTGGCCAAGGGAGACAAGTCTGCGATGATCACTTACTACTTCCCGATGATGTACAGCGAGGGATACGGTGGCACTGACTTCAAGAAGCTTTCTTGGAATGAGAAGTTGGGTCTCAGGGTTTTGAGCGATGAAGATCTGAAGGAGCTCTTTAAACAGGCTGCGAAGGAGCTCGGAGTTCTCTAGGACAGGAGAAAGTTCTTCGGGTGATATCTCTAGATAAGGCGTCATCGTTGACATGTATGGCAACATCGCTGGGAATCCAAGTCAGATCGAAACAATCGTTGACTAGAATTCAAGTCAACTAGTGTTTGAGCAGTTTACAAACGAGAATGAAGATCCCATGTTTGCCACTTAAGGTCCGTGTTGAAGCAGTAAGGTCACCCATGTGTGTCACGGGAATGTAAGTGCACGGCGATCTGAACCACGGCCGTCGCGAGTTGCTCTCATGTCTTCAATATGGCAAGTCTCTCAAGCGCCCGCGCGGTTACTGTGGACAGCCTGTCAAGAGAATGCAGTTCGACAAGGACATGCCACAAACAGCCCAGCCGAGTCCGGCAGGTCGATTTTGTTGGTCCGTGTGACGTATGAACGTACTAGGATCGGCCCTCCTGTGTCACTTAGATTTGCGGATCATCATTGGAGGCGAGGTAGTATTCTATGCCGACGATTCTCTGCTTGGAACCGAGAGCTCGGTTAAAGGCTGGAGGGTATGGAAACCGGGGAATATCAGCAGGAATCACCAGTGAGAGTGCAAGTGATATATCCGAATTGTTCTGTAACCACGGACATACCCCCATTCACTGTCCTAATAGGGAAAATGGACCGGAAGTCTCTATCCATCGGCCGAAACTCAATAATAACCATATCCACGGACGCGGCCTGACTTGCACGCTGACGGCTCCACACTTGCGGTCAGCGTTCATCCGATCAGTAGTCACTTCCAAGGGAACCCAGGAAAACAGTATGATGTCCGAAGTCGATATATAAGAGACTCAGTTTCCCAAGTAATGGCCCAGAATCATAATCAGTTCACTCGACTTGACATTTCACTCCGCCCGTCTCTTTTAGAATTCCACACACATCTTCACCATGAAGTTCTCCATCATCGCCCTTATCGTCCCCCTCGTCGCCGGTGCCGCCATCCAAGAGCGCCAGGTCAGCCCCGAGTGCGAGAAATGGGGCTCTCTTGACCACCCGTACCCCTTTGCCACACAGTGGGGACAATACTTCCTCTGCTGCAACTACTTGGGACCAAACGACGTGAGTTTCCACCGTCCTTTCTACACGCTTATAACCACGACGACCTTACCTGCAGTTGCTGACTTGGTGGCATAGCTTTCTCAGGGCTGCTGTGATCCCGCTGGCGCCAATACGGGCAGCGGTGCTCCTGGATGCCCTTAAGAAGCAAGCAGGCAGTTGGGAAACGTCTACCGTTATTTGCAGCACGTACCTTCGATTCATCTACAGATATATCCAATGACAACACAAATTGTTTCATTATCTCCAAGTCTCCGTCTTCGCGTGTGAGAGGAATCCAATTGCAGTGTGGCTTTGTTACACGAACCCGCCAACCAGTGCTTTTGTTGCCTCGCCTTTCTACATCTCCACGACCAAACCCTGCCAGAAACTCATCACCCACTGCACAATGTCCATACGCATAGTTCTACCCCAGATCTAACGCCCGGGATGATTCAACTGCCCGAGAAACACTCAGGGGGCCTCCGGGGGCACCATCACCGGCCCCACACCATAGAGAGGGGTCATCCCGGCCTCCGCTTGCCCCTTAAGGAGATCACCTGGGCTTTGGATAAATGACGGTCTTCACAAGGTTTGTTTAGCGACCCGACTTGCCGCAGGCGAAGAATGCCTATTTCAACCACGGGCGAGTGTTTGGTTCAGAAAACAGGTTTTGGATTTCTTCTGTGGTAGCATGCACTCTCCTCCCTTCAACTTGTCTACAAATATTCCTCTGGTTTGGGTATGCGCTTCTCCCCCATACTCAACGGCATCTGCACAGAGCGTCAACACAAGATCCTCCATGTCAATCGCGATACGGGGACGGAACTTACCATAGCCGGCCTGGCCGCAGTCTCCCTCTCAAAAACGTCCATGACGATCTTCTTCCGACTCTCGCTCCTGTACGTCAACTTCACCGGCATATCGTCCGCAGGATTTCCGGGCAACTCGCCGGCGTAGTCAGCAAATTCTAACGTCGACTTGGTCCCTGGCGCCGGGGCGATATCAAACGCCCACAGGATGCGCATCATGGTGATCACAAACGACCGTTCAGCGACGTGATATCCCGGACCTAAAACACTCTTAGCAAAGCTTCCGGAGGAAAGTGTTTAATGGAGGGGACGGGGAAAGCGTACAACCGCGTCGGCCGGCCCCGAACGCAAAGTGATCCCTCTTCGTCGGGTCTTGGGCGTTCATGCTCTCCATCGTCGTGGTCTCGTCGTCCTTGAATCTCTCCGGCCAGAAGCGCTCTGGGTCCTCGTGTCTCGCGGGGTCGTGGCTGATGGCGCTGTATTATGTCAGATTCCTCTGGGCCTCGTCAAGGCCGACGTGGAGTGAGCATACTAGGCATTGATGTGAAGCCTCGCGCCTTTCGGCAGGCAATACTCCCCAACCTGGAGATCTCGCGCAGTGATGTGAGGATGGCCAAGCGCCACTGGCGGCCGCCATCTCCAGAGCTCCTTCATCATCATGCGGAGATAGGGGATGCTCTTGAGGTCATCGTAGACGGGTATCCTCTCGCCGACGACTCGATCTAAGTTCCCTCGTGCGTTAGCATTTGTCCCAAACGCTCGTAAGACGGGAGATAAAGTGACTTGCCAATATCTTCCCGTGCCTTGGCTTGTACCTCGGGAAACATCATCATCGCTTCCAGGAACGTCCACGTCGTCATCCGACTCTGGTAGAGCATTATCCTGATCAGTAACATTCACATAAATGGGGGTGGCAGGTGTCCAGCTCAGCTCACCGTATCCGCAGCTCCGACAATGAGCGACAACCCCAGAATGGCCACCTCTTCTTTGCATGACATCCCCCTCAGATCGTCGGACTGCAGAACCGAGCCCCAAAACGTGTTTTCCAAGGACGGATCGCCCTTTGCGAGGCGGTCTTGAGCAGCCTGCAACCCAAGTATCAGACGTGATTCTCAAGCATCGACCTTTTGATAGCACGGCGTACCTCGAGTCTCTTCATCGCCCAAGTCAAATCTCTACGATACCTCGCACGCCCCTTTCTCTCCCAAGGCTTCAAGAACATGGGTAGCTTTCCAAGGGACGGCATCAGGTCGATGACGTTCATGCCTGGAAACGTGTCTGAGATTGCGTGACTGTGGTCAGCTTCGTCGGCTCGAAAAGTCAATTCGTGCGCATGTTGGAGTACTCGTACTGATGATTTGCGTCTCAGCCTCTGCTTCAATGTTAGCATCAACACGGCAAACCAAAATGACGTTCAACTCACCCATGATGAACGGGATAACGGCGTCGTCCGTATCGGGAATCTAGGTCCATCGTCGCGTCAACAACCCCGTACCTTATAAGTCCACACGTGAAGAAGAACAGCCTTACATCCATGCCCATAAATGCCGTTGCAAAAGCGCTGTACGTGTATCTCCCAATCGCTTGATACAACCTCGCGCCAGCCAGACCGCCGTTCGCATCCGTAACATTCTCATGGAGGAACTTCAAAGTCTCGTATTCCAACAACCTGGCAAGGCCGCACGTAGTAAGCATCAAGATCTCTCCGTCTCGGCTCCGAGACACGCAGACTCACGGAATGATCTCGTCAGCCTTCTGGACATTCGTCACAAGCTGGTTGATAACCTTGCGTTGATTCTTCAACCACTCGTCAGCAAGCTACATCACCAAACATAACATCTTTCCCCGTAATCGTTGTTTTGCCGAAACTGCCTCCCTCAGGCTTGGCCACTTTCCACTCACCTTCCACGTCGGATCGCTCGCCTTCAAGAACAACACGTTGAAGTCGTTGTTCAGAATGGTGCTAGACATAATCCACGTCGGCCGGTCCGCCGTCTGCGCAGACTTCTTGTCGAATATTTCCTGCGCCCCAGTCAACAAAGCCCTTCCGCGCCTGAAAACAGACCATGCCGAACAACCAATATGTGGGTTGCTCACCCTGACCATCACATCAGAGTTGATATAATAATCAACAATATACCCCGACCTAACCCCGAATATCGGCCCGTACGTCCTCGCCCACTCGTTCAGCCGCAAATGCCACGTCCTCGTCTTGTTCTCGCGAATCAGCTCCGACAGGTGTCCGAGGACCGGTGTGGCGGGTGGTTGTGGCGGTAATCTCGCCGTCGACTTTCCTCTTCTTCGTACCCAAACAGCGAGTCCAAGAATGACTGCTCCCAAGATCGCGAGGGTGGGATTATTCAAGACCATCCCGACAACACGTGATTCCGCAACCGTAAGGCCCATCATTGTATGTAATGCTCGTGCCAATGTCGTTGGGATTGAGTTGAGTTGAGTTGAGTTAGTAACCAGTTTACGAAACTCAACATCAATCTTCTCAGTTGCTGCACGAGCAAACAACTTTATTCATCAACGTCGATAGCACAGCAACGCCTCACACCCGGGTTTTCCGACCACGACGCGGACCGGATCGGTGCCTCCTGTCGCCGTCGTGGTAGTCGAACAGCCCTACTGCCGTGCGGCGTACCAGCCTCCCCCCACCGGCAATGCCGCACGTCCGCCGGAAAGTGCGGGGGAGGGCAGCCTGAGCTTTCCCCCAGACTTCCCCAGACCACACTATCTCACGGCATTTGGAATAGAGTGATTCTAATTTGAAGGAAGAGGCGCTGTCCATATTAGATAGCACTTGTAGAGGCCATGCCATGGTCTTGATAGTCTACCCCACGAGGCATCATCCAATCGTTCTGCTAGCTACAACCTCTACATAGCACGAGGCTCAGGTTTTGTTACTGGTACTCATCGGTGGAATCGGCGTCGAAAGCGCCGTGTCGACTCGGATGTTCCGGTCAGCTGCCATCTCATGCTCGGGCTGCTTGACCATTGTTGAACTGAAGGAGAAGGTCGTACTGAGGCAGTGGCATTGAAGTAAAAATACCACCTATTTTACGCAAAATTCGTCACTGTTCAAGTTGCTCATGCTACTTTCTCTGGACACAAACTCCCTCATCCCCAAAATGTCCGACTGCTGGTGATTTGGAAGTCGAAGGAATATTGACCCAAATGAGAGACTCGGGTCACCGTGTTGCTAACCAGATGCACCAAGCAATACGAAGACGAATCACCAACCCATATTTCTGACTCAGAAACCTACGCTCAGAAGACCTCAATCCCTCAGTGGAAGCATCTCACCTTGGAAATACGAGACGCACACCGAACGTCACCTCAGCCACTCAGTCACCCACCCGATACCGCTCCTGATCACATCCGGAGAAAGGTGGTGCTGAGTGAGACCACCGCCGGGATTCAAAACCTTCGGAAACGGCCAGGCACCCACCTTGAACAACACCAATCAATTGGAAAAGCTTATTTGCCAGCAGCGACTGTCCCAAAAGCCGAATGCGCAAGGGCAGCCCAATTTCGGCAGCATCGGACCACGGAGCTTTTTAGGACCCCGCTGACATATCCGGAATGCTGCCGGGAGGGTCCCGTCCCGCCGCCTCCGAATTCGAAAAGTCATTTTGGATTTTCAGCCTTATCGCCGATCAATTTGTCAGAACCTCGCCGTCCGGACGAAGTGTTTGCAGACGGTCAACGTTGATAATATCGCGAGTGATAGGATAATAAATTGCCGCAGGATCACGACCAGCGGCCAGGTCGGCAGGCCGGTATGGCCCAACGGCGCCGTTGGGAGGTAATCAAAGTTGCGGGGGACAGAACCACTCTACACGTCACAGATCAGCCGAGTGCCACACCCGTTAGAGAAGTCGATTTGCAGGGGTGGGAAAGCGAGAATGCCGTCCAAACTCCGAGGGAGGAGGGTAGGAAAGTCCGCCGCAAGGTATCCGGTCGGATACGGCCCTCGATGTTGCGCGGGCTTCCAAGGCACAGAGTCTTAGAAATGGTGTCACCCGTTTATTCGGCCGTATGTTGTGGAACTCTGCCTGCCGTTGTCGCCAGATGGCCAAGGCAGATCTTGCTTTGCCGTGCCCTTGGAACAATTAGAAAAAACATGAGATTCTGCAGGGCGTCACGCATGCAAATCACGTTGCCAAACATGAGCCGCTGCGGCCTTGAATGAGCCTGATTGCTGGTTGCGAGTGGCTGGGGCGGGATCGAAGCCTCACCGAGTGGACCGTGCCCGCACCGGTGTTCCGGAAACCGGCGGAAGAGATTCCGGAGGGGCCCACATAATGGAAATCGTGATGCCGCAAGGCCATAAGGCCAAAACACCACCCAGGGCTTGCTTGGTCGGTGCACTGATCGCCGGTCGCGTGAGAAACGCCATCGTTTCGGCTGGTTTGATTCCCATTCACCACCTTTGGTAGTGATTCTGGCAGATCTGCACAGGGCGGGGTCGGCGCAATTCCGAGGACATGCGCATTCCTCGGGCGCCCGCCCGCAAGGACCCGGGTGATCCAGCAGTGAATGTTGCATCCGTTCCGATGGCCATCAGTCTTCTGGCACTCTGCTCAGAAAGCCATTGAGCCTCCATGAAGAGAAGACAACATCCCGCGAGACTGACAGAGCCCAGAGGTACCGCCGAGTGAGTGCCGGGCAAATCCCGTGATACCACGTCCGTGAAAGCCAAGGAGGATTACGCGCCGGGGCTACGTGCATATCAACCAAGACAATACGGGGCAGAAGAGCGAGACCAAGGCGGAGGTGTGTTGGAAAATGACATCAACTCCGGGCGCTCTGCCTCTGAGCAGAGCTTCCGTATGGGGGCCAACAGGGGCAGGGAAAAGTGGACGCTACCTCCGGGAAAGACGGAGCGAGGAAGCGTGGCGTCGTCAGCGACCATCAGCTTACGGGTTCCCTACGGACATGCGGTTGACGGTGACCTGCTCCAAGCCCCCCTAGGCCCGGGTCTTGACCGCCTGAGGACCAACAAGCGTTTGTAAATAGCGCACCGCAGCGCTGAACGCCTCCCAATGGCATGACGGTGGGCTGCTCCGGTCGCTGGCGCCTCCGTCGGCACGTCCACGGCTTTGGGTATCCAGAACATGCGGACGGGTGGCCGATGGAACTGTTGTCTGTTTCTGAACGAACACTGGGGGAAACGCCCGAGCAGGTCACACAATCCAGAGCACCGTGTCGGATGTTGGGTTTCAGATGACGCTGCGGAAGGGCTCATCAGGTCTCACTCGTTTTGTTTGTGCCGCGGACCGCTGCGTTGAAATGGGCTGAACGAACCGCACTGGCTGGCACGCCCACGGGTCGGCGCGGCTTCTGGAGGGAGGCAACCGCATTGGCCAAGCTGCCGGGAGTGCTACGGCAGCTGCCCCAGAAGAAACAATTTTCTTCGGAGGGCGGAAGCGAAGGTACATGTCCGAAATCGCACGAACGAAGCGCGCCGCCAAGAACAATCTGGCCCCAGATGCTGGAGCAAGGCGGTCCGGTGATAATTGTCGCCATTCTCGCCAGCCGAGGATGAACTCGGAATCAAACAGGCGCTGCGTTGAAGAAGAACCTGAAAACCCCTTGTCTCTGCATCTGCCGAGTTCATCTCCAATAGGCTTTTGTTCGGTCGCCGGGCAAGACATCAGACGTCCCGCATCGTGGGATATGACGCCCGGCCGAGCAAGAGTAACGTCGCGAGGCCCCAAGAAGGAGGGGGGCAGACATATGGGGCGTCCCAACCAGCTGGACGACCTGTAGTAATGGCCATGGTGCAGCATTTTGGCCCTTCTGAATCAATTTTTCCTTCCCTCAACTGTTCTCTGTTCAACTGCGTGGACTATCGGAAGCCCCCAGCCAGCGTACCAGGAGCCCTAAAGTACGCTGTAAGCACCGAGCCCTACAGCGCGGATAAAGGCTGAAGCTTGTCTGCGTGGGCTTTGGGTTTTCCCGTCTGGGGGGTTGCAACTGCGGCACACTCGGCTTGGCCCCCTATTCGACGGGCGACAGTGCGCAGGGGCTTGCTCCGAGGGCAGCGAGCCGAGCGCTCCAGGTAGGTTGATGTCGCCGGTGTTCCCACTTTCCGATACCTCCTGCACGGCGACGGCCTCGCGATTGGCGGCGGGTTCGCTTTCGTGAGGGTAACAGCAGGTTGATGCACACTTCTGCGAGAAATCGAACCAGTTTGGGTCTGAGACTTGTGTTGAATTTGCCGTGAGGGTAGCCGTAGATGATGAATCTCGCGAGAATCAGTTGCGTGCTTGCCATGGACGGCAGGGGTGGGTCGCAATGCGCGAGTCCGCTCTCAGCACGGGCGGGTAAAGCAAAGGCCCAGGCCCGGGGCAGCGCGAGTTTGATTAAAGAGAAATTTGGCGTGTCGCCGGAACGAGATGGCGCTGAACGCTCTCGGGATTGTTGCTCCATTTTCGAAAATTGGGTGAGGGGAAAGGGTGGGTGCCCCCGGAGCGAAGGCGGAACAAGGTGCCTAGCTGGCCCGGACTGGACGGCAGCGTTTGCCGTGGGTGATTTCGGGCACAGCGCTGGCTTGCCTCTGTAATTAACCTGCCGAGCTGCTTGAACAGTGTTGTTTCAAGCTGATGCCAGGCGGAGGGTTCACTGAAAGGCCTGATGGAATAGCTGTCAGGAGGAACCATATGTCGCTGTAGGAAGCTCGCGCCCAGCAGTGAGGTCTGCAGATGCCAGGCGCATTCGGGTGCCGATGTCGACTTGAGCCGGCCATCAGCGCCAGCAGCCTGGTGGTCAACAGCATGCCAGTTTACCCAGTCCAGACCAGTCCGAAGCATCAGGTTCGCGGATGATGGGGAATCAACTGGATTGTCACCAGAGTCCCTGGAATGATGCGCACATTTGTTGAAGCAGCGACGGACAGAATGGAGGCCACGGTCCGACAAGTGCCATGGTCGCCGGAGGAGGCCCAGCTGGCAGCCACCGGCCCCGCCCCAGATGAAAGCATACTTGTTGTACTAAGCATGCATGTTATATAGCTACGCTTTTGCTCGCCGTACCAGCGGTCGACGCCTCCGCATGCTGCGGGCATTCAGAAAAAAAGGGGATGGGCGAAGTGAAGAGTGATGTTCGTTATTGCACGGGATCCGGCCCCCCTTGATCTTCGGTCGGTAGGCCGCGCCGCAAATGAAAGTCGATAGGCACGGGCGAAGGGCGTTCTCTCAGGTCAGCAGGCCGTGCCGTTCCACTGGAGTGAGGTATGAAGGCGCACTTCCGGCAAAGGTTGGCGCCGTGTTGATCCTGAACGAGAAAGGACAGACAGGCAAGCCCCAGGACGTGTTGCCGCCGGCGTTGGAGCAGGGCGACCCGCGGAATCTTCAGGGCAATAACGGGCGACGGCAGCGCGTATGGAGCAAAGCTTGTGCTGTTGAAGGCGGGAGACGGAGGGACTCCCAGGGTGGAGGTGCGCACCGTGACCGAGAGAGAAGGGGAAAACCAGGGGGGCGCGGCCATTCTAGGCCCGCCCGACGGCGTTTGTCGTCCACGCCCCCATGTCATGGACAATCTGACCAATGCTGTCGAGTCGTTCCAGTCGGCGGTTTGCGTTGCAAGAGAGTCAAGAAGTGGAATGGCCCGATCGCTCAGTCCGCGCTTCTGATGTCGTTGGGTGGGCCAGAGCCCGGTGCGCGGCGGGCATGTCAGGGTTTGTGACTCTGTGGTGCCGAGGTGAAAAGTGCTGTAGCAATCGGCGGGCCCGGGGGCGTCGCAGGCTGGTGACAGGCGCTGCCGGTCGGGTCCGATTGATATTGCCTCGGAGATTCGTAGACTGCTGTTGCGGAGGGTCTTTTTGCGTGTCTGGTGCGAGAGATTCAGGTTGTAGAGTATCTCGGGCCTTGTAGACGATGGCAGCAGACATCGCACAGTATTGAGATGCGAAATAGCACGAGCGACAGCAGAGGATGAGCGATTGTCGCGCCGCGGGCATCGCAGTCTCTCGCAAACGGGAGGCGTCGGTCGGCGGCGGTTGGTAAGGCAGAGGACGGATGGATGCGAGACACGAGATGTGTCGGGGAGGTCTGCCGGCTACACTGTGCCGCACTGTAGTCGTTGGCTACCACTGTTCAGGCGTCGTTGGGCAGAGGTGTCATTGGTGATTGTGATGATGGATGAAGAGCAGCAGACTCGGATTTATTTGATTAACTCTCACGAAAATTCTGATGAGGGCAATGGGCTCTTCGACAGCAACTGGGCTGGCTGGCAGGCAGATATCCCAAAGGCAGCGGGAAGGAGAGCAGGAGCAGCGGTGCATCTGGAGGCAGGTGCGTCTTGCCGCGCATAGGTAGGTGAGGTGCTTGCTTCCCCAGAGAGTGTCAGGCAGGCGCGCACACGCGCTGCGGCAGGTACAAACGAGCAGCAAGCATTGCGAAGGCAGGAGGTGTCCTGGTACGCGGTGCTGCATGTATCGGTACTTTCACCATGCAGAGAGACAGGTTGTGGGCGAAGTACATCTACTCTGACCCACTACCGTGGAGGGCACCGAGTTCAAGGCAGAAAAGCAGGCGCTCAGCAGGCAAAGTGGATACGTTGGCTCCTGGTTTCCCTCCGTACCTCCTCATTCAGCTCCGGCACCGCCAGCCGATCCGCCCGTAAAACCTCAGGGCAAGTGACGGCAGAACGGTGGGGAGGCAGGACGTGACTTGCCCAAACTTCAGGACAGCAAGAGCACAGCACAGGTCTGCCTGGCCCCGTCGCTCCCCCTTCCACGTCCCCTTGCTCTTCCCTTTTCCCCTCCTGCCTCGACGCGACTCACTGATGAGGAGGTAGGTAGGCAGGCACCCAGGGTTTTCGTCGCTGCCGGCTTTTTTCGTTTTCTTTATTGCGCCTGCGGTTCTGTGTGGTGGTGGTGGTGGTGGTGGTCCCGTACTCCTCCTCCTTCTCCTGGTGGTCCGCCTCGTTTCTTCCGTCCATTTCCACTTGTTCTTTCGGCACACACCCCTAGACCCGCCGACGACACCCGCACCCGACCGCGCCGCGCATGCCCAGCCCTGAGGCACAACTGAACTGCCCTGGCCTTGGGGGGGACTGCCATCAGCAGGCAGGAGACGACAGTGCATCAGAAGCAGCATCAGAATTCGCATGAGACGGACGTACGGATACTCTGTAGAAATAGAACCATCGTAATTCTTTAGTGCCTGTGTCAACCCAAACAGACGGAGTTCTTTCCTGTTCTTTTGTCCCTGTCCGGTTCATTCTTTCCCCCGGCCGCCCACTCCTGCCCTACCTTTTGGCTTTCCTTTGGAGTTTGGGGCAGCTACCTAGGTACCGACCCTGCCTGCCTGCCTGCCTGGCCTGGCCTTGCCTTGCCTTGCCTTGCCTTCACTCTTTCCCCCAGGTCCCGTCTGCCGCACAAAAAAAAAAAAAAAAGGTACATCCCCTTTGTACCTCCGTACCTCTTTCTCTCTCTTTTTCTTTCCTGTCCCTCCTCCTTCCTCCACACCCCCCCAAGCTCCATCCACCGAAACGGGCACCAAAACCACCGCCCGGATTTTTCGCCCACCACCGAGAAATCGCGGCCGCCCGTGTCCTTCCTCCTCCTCCGATTCTCCCTCCTCGCTCCATCAGCATCACCAACGAAAAAAAGTCTGCATCTCCCTTCGTGCATCCTCTTCAGATTCATCATCGGTCTGCTCCGACACCGCTCCGGAGACGTCTGCTCGCCCGCGTCATTTCAAGCCGGCACCTGCGCGTCCTACACGCCCATCGCCCGCCCGCCCCCGCCCCCTGGGCACCGTGTCGCCTCTGGAGCCACCGCTGCCACCGCTGGCACCCTTCACCTTGAGGCTCCATAATCTCGGCGCGACGGGTCGTCTTTTCTCTGCGTCACCCGGCCCCAAAACTCTCTTCTCTTCCGGAGCCCGCCCCCCTCAACAAAACACACCACCTCCCGCTCCCCTTCCCCCTTCCGATCTCTTCCTCCTTTTCTCCTCTGTCCATCCAACCTCATCTGTTGCACTCCTCCGGGACACTTCGCAACCCAGCCCGACACCGCCGTCATCCATCACGGTCGCTGTCGCTGTCCTCGTCGTCGCATCCAGCACAGTACACTCTCGCTGCCGCAAACACCGTCTGCTTTGATCGCGTCGCGCGCACAATCCCGCAACACCGACGCGACTCCGGACTCGTCATCCAACCCCCAAGCTGTACTGTCTTGTCGCATACTACCTATTGATTCTTTGCGACATTTGATCACCACACCGACACACCGTCGCCTCTTTCCACAGCATCGCATCACCCACAATGTCGACGGGTGTTGTGCGGTCTACCGCCCTCAGAGCCGGCGGCGCCTGTGTGCGCTGCCGCAAGGGCAAGACCAAGTGCGTTTACGAGAATGGCCGCGCGCCATGCAAGAACTGCGCCAAGGGCATGCACGAATGCTATCTGCCCTCCGAGTCCATGGCCCATCACCACGGCCAGTCGCCTGCTCGCCATACCACTGCCCATCGCCCTGCTCGCGAGAGCCTGCCTGCCTCGGTCCCGGCCGGCGATGCGCGCGCCGCCAACCCGGCCTCCGCTGCCTCTAGGCACATTCAGCCGCCCGAGAAGTAAGTCGCACATTCTCCTCATCATCCTGCTCGCCAACAGCAGCTTCACCATCTTCCTTCCTTTTCTCTCCCATCGTTGCCCCCGTTTGCCCTCCCCTTCTCCCCCCGAGAATCAGCTGCCGCGCCCCGTGTGCACCGGCGTTCTATTCTGGTCATCGGCTGTGTCGCCGCCCATCACCGCCGACCAGGGAGGGAGCTCGGCCCCTTCTGCATGCGGCCTGGGCGCGGTGGCTTGTCCCCCTTCTCATCACACATTTCACACACGCTTGTTCCCCCTTTCTGCCCGAGTTGGAGAAGAGTCTATGGCTTTGCGCTGGGAGGACACCCCCGAGACCCCAAGATTGCTCTGCCATGCCCTCGATCTCCCGAAGGCGGCCGTCATCTCCAACCGCCGGCGGCATCTTCCACCTCCGCTAGCGTCGCCGCGGAGCCGCTGTTTAGCTTTCTGCCCCCATCCCCTTGCCTCCACAGCCCTTTTTCGTGCGCCATCGCATCCTCATTTCCCGAGTCGTATCCCGATCCTCTCCACCCTGGCCTCTGATCCCCATACATCCGGGCCTCGTGCCGGCTCTTCCTCCCACTGTTTCTGCCTTTCCGCGGGACGCGTCTGCCCCAAGAAACAAATCGAGAGAGGAATGCTGACATAACTCTGCAATCAGGCTCACTCCCGAGCTCATCCAGGAATGCGAGCGCGTCATTTCCAAGACCTATCCGGCTTGCGTCGCCTTCCACAAGCCTTCGTTCATCCAGCAACTCAAGAACGCTTCGCTCGACCCGGCCCTCATTTACGCGCTGTTGACCTGTGCTGCTCGGTACGTACTCCCACCTGATGGGCTGTTTTGCAGCTGTTCCCGATCCTCATCTCCTCCCTGCCCTTGTGTGTTTCACCACCTCCCCCGCAATGTCCGAAATTTTGTGGGTGGCGCGGCCCTCCGGTCGGGTGTGTCGTGTCGGCTCGCTAAGCCCCAAATGTCCGGACTTGGCCCGAAGCGTCCTTCTGCACTCTTTTAGACTTTCGGCCGACTCAGTGTCGTGCCGCTCAGTGGATTCAGCGGACTGGCCCCGCTAACTCGTTCGTCACAGGAGCTCCCCGAACTTGATTCGCCGCTATGGAGGTCAGTCCGGCGCAACCGGTGCCGCCGAGCACTTCGCCGCCAAGGCTATGGGTATCATCAACCAGAACTTGGACACCCCCAGCTTGGCGGAGATTCAAGCCATTTGCCTGATCATCATTCACGAATGGGGCTCCCGCAACGCTGTTCGTGCCTACATCTACCTCGGCCAAGCCAGCCGCATGGTCCAGATGTACCGCATCTTGCACAGTCACCATGCCGCTGTCAGTGAGGCCGACCGCTTCCTCCAGGAGGAGTCCTTCCGCCGTGTCCTCTGGTTGCTGTACATTCTCGACTGCCTGCTTACCAGCACGCCCGGCCGTCACCCGGCTCTCTCGACCAACGACACCAACGATGTCTCGTTGCCGTGCTCTGACATGAACTTCGCTTTCGGCAACGCCGTCTTTGTTCAGACTATCAACCTGACGGACCCGTCCCGCCTGCCTGCTGGCACCCGCGTCGACGACATTGGCGAGTTCGGCCAGATTGTCCTGGCTACCCGCATCTGGCGCGATGTCGTCCACATGCTCATGACTACCACCACTGAGACCTTTAACGATGGTGTCTGCACTGGTCTCATGAATGAGATTGAGCGTCTCAGAAATTCTCTGTCTATGCAGTACGTGGACAAGCCCGGCCAGATCAACCTCCATATCACGATGGGATCCGGCTTCACCTACGCCATGCTTCACTGCATGCTCCACTGTGCCTCGATTTTCATCAACCGCCGCCGCCTGCTGCAGTATGTCACAGCACCCGGTTTCAGTGTTGAGAGCTGGCGCCTGTCCCCCCAGTGCCACGAGATCATCGACAGGCTCTTTACTTCGTGCCACAGCACCATCGCCATGCTGACGGCGCTGGAGAATGGTTCCGATAAGGATGGCATCATTTGTTTCCCCATCTTCATGCTCTTCTCCTCCTTTACCGCCAGCGCCACGGTCGCGTACCTGTCCCTCAAGGGCCTTACACCGAATAACGCCGTGGAGACCGCTGGACACATTGTTCGCGACGGCCTTCACTTCATGCAAGACAGTGTCGACACTTGGCCCTTGATTAGCTCTTGGCTGAGGCACCTCGCCGTCATGCACCGTGTCCTGGGCAACGATGCTGGCTCCAGCAGCCCTGCTGCTCGCACCTCCGTTCCTCCTGCCAACCCGCCTGTCGCCGACCAGGCGTCCGTCAAGGACGAGGCCGCCAGCAACGCCGACACCAACCCCGACGCCATGGACTACGACCAGGCCGTTCCTCAGCCCCAGCAGGCTCCTGTCAACAATGGCACTGCTCCCGTCAGCGAGAGCGGCCGCGACAGCGAGCCTCCTGCTCCTCAGCCCCGCCGCCCTGGTGTCGCCACTATCAATGGCGGTTCCGTCTCCGGAACGCCGGCTTCCGTCAGCCCTCCGCCCCAGCAGCCGGAGGTCAAGGCTTCACCCGAGGCCGTCCCTCAGCCTCCTGTTGGCAACGGCACTGCTCCCAGCGCCGAGCCTTCCGTTCCTGTGCCTCAGGACATGACCGCGAGCGAGCTCTGCTCCGCATTTGAGCGCCAGCTGTTGGAGTTAGACGACCTTGCTGCCTTCATGGGCGGCGGTGTTTAAGTGGTGAATCTCAGAACTCATGGTGGGAGCAAGTCTTTTCGAACAATCGGTGCAACTTTTCAAAACATATTTCGGACCGGCAACTGTACAGTACGACTATACCCTGCGACTGAATTTTCGGCATGATTACGGTGCCGTGTCCACATTGGGACCATCTTGCTACGGCCTGGGACGGTACACGAATTGGAGGGCGTTGGCAAGAAGGGCCTCATCTCTCCCACTGAGCAGTTGACGAGCGCGGCTCTGGTGTAGAGTAATTGAAGCTTGGCTCTGGCGTTGGAGGTCGGTCAACGGTCATGACTGACCAGCTCTACGGAGACGTTGACATTTGTTTTTGATGCAATGCGTGGTATATCCAAAGGGGGGTTTAGGCTGCTTGCCATATGGTGCCCATTCTACCAAATCAGGGCAGACGGCGTTTAGGAACATTGCTTGATAACTTTTAATCGTACAACCTCTGTGGCACATACTGTCTCGTAAGATGCTCTCTGCAACGTGATACGAAAGATTGCTGAAGCCTGTCTGCTTCGTCGTGGGAAGATACCTACCTCCTGGACAGGGCTCACCTGTATATGTTGTGAAGGAAGTGTCTTCCTTTACAGAGTAAATTCGAAAACTGTTTCATTGTCATCCCTTCGTCCAACATTTCCAAATGAGGTGAACCGCAACAAAAAGCATCGCCCTTTGTGTGACTGCCAGCGGCGGACTTCGGATTTCGGCTCAATCCTATTCCCGTTCCACATCCGTGCGTCCCCCAACCCAAACACCAAGCTACTGCAAAAAAAGTAGGTCATCACTAATCCTGCCGGGCGGGGTTGGCCTCATTCACGTCCAAATCCGCCTGTCCACGCTACTTATGCGTCAACGTCCCTCGAGACCCAGCCCCCAACCCCGGCGGAATTCGCTCTGCGTTCATTGTTCTGCTAATTCCTCACCTTGCTCGATTTCCCACCATTCCCCTTTTCCCTCTCCTGCAGCAAGCGCTCTTCGAAGGTGGTTTGAACGGCATTTGTGGAACAACATCGACTCTGAAGCCCGGTTTTTTGTGGTGACGCTGCGTTGGGGCGTATTGTATCATCAATCACCAGTCAGGAACGTCTGGTTAGGGGTAACACATCCTGCGGCCACAAAGCTTGGCTGCGAGCGAGCGCGGAATCCAGGGTGCGTTTGGTCGACCGCAAACCCGCCGCCGGGGACATTCGATTCCGCTGAGGTCCTGGGGGTGTGACGGCATTCCCGGCCCGCTCCCGACGAACAGGGTAAAAAAGAAAGAGACCACACTTACTTACTTATTTCCCCCAATCCCGGATGCCGACGGGGGATGTTCACGGCGACGCCGGGCCCCATCCGGCCGGGGCCGCCGGCGGAGGAGGAGGAGGGATCGCCGCGCCGTACGGCCGCGCGTGTACCAACTGCTCGCGCGCAAAGTGCAAATGCATCCTCCGCCCCGCGGGCGGCGCCTGCGAGCGGTGCCACCGGCTCAACAAGACGTGCCAGCCGAGCAACCCGCAGCGCAAGCGCAGCAAGAAGCCGCCCTCGAGCCGGACGGCGCAGCTCGAGGAGAAGCTGGATGGGTTGGTGACGCTGCTGCGGCAATCTGGCGGGCGGCCGGAGCTCGTTGACATGGCTAACATCTCTGGCGTTGTCGGCGGCGGCGGTGTGGCGGGGGTTGCTGCGTCGGCGTCGTCGAGTAGTCAAGACGAAGCTTCGGGTGCCGTGGATGGACGGTATGCCGACCGGGGCAGCAGGGACGACGGAGCTGGGGTAGCTGGGGTAGCTGGGGTAGCTGGGGCAGCGAGGGGCACCTCGTTGCCGACGCCGACGCAGACGGCCAGTCCTGAGGGAACGGGGTACGGCGACGGGGACGATTTCCTGCCGTCGCCGGACGAGGCGGAGGCGCTGTTCGAGTCGTTCCGGGGCCAGAACCTGCGGTACTTCCCGTTCTTGCACTTCCGGCCGACGATGACGGCGCGGGAGCTGCGGAGCGAGAAGCCGTTTCTTTGGATTTGCATCATGACTGTCGCGTCGCGGGTGGCGAGCCAGCAGCTTGCGCTGGGGACGCGGGTGAGGCAGATTGTGGGGCAGAAGCTGCTCGTTGAGAACGAGAGGAGTATTGACTACTTGCTTGGCTTGCTGGTGGTCTTGGGATGGTGAGTGTTGCCTCCATTTTGGTGATTGACTGATGCTGATGTATCACAGGGCGAATCATCAGCTGGGAAACAAGCCGTTCATGTGCCTGTTCTGCCAGATTGCCATCGGCCTCGTCTTCGACCTAGGCCTGAACAAGGACCCCGTCGACGGGATGAACCCCTTCCTCTGCTGGAAAGCCGCCCAGGAAAGGGCCGACAGGGAGAAAAACGGGTCCACGGCGCCGTCCAGCCTCTTCCTCAAGAACCAGCAGCCTCGCACGATGGAGCAGCGGAGGGCTGTTCTCGCGTGCTACATGGTCACCTCCAAGTATGTATCTCCTGAACTCCTCACGATTATGCTAACAACGCACAGTGTCGCCAGCTTCCTTGGCAAGATGGACCCCCTGCGCTGGACGCCACACATGGACGAGTGCCTCCAAATCCTCGACAGCCATGTCACAGTCCCCTCCGACCAGGCCCTCGTCGCCCTCGTCAGGATGCAGCTACTCAAGGAAGAAGCAGGTCGTCTATCATGGCGGCCCGAGGTAACCTACGACGCAACCGACGGCTCACGCACACCGCCGTCAATGTACGTCAAACTCCTCCAAGGCCAACTGCAAAAGATTCTGCAAAACCTCCCCACCGAACTCCAGAGCTCAGGTTAGTATCCCATCCCCGTCCTCCCACTCTAAACTAACACAATCATAAAGACACAATAATCTCCCAGCTCCACTGCGCCGAGCTCTCCATTCAAGAAATCGCCCTCTCCTCCAAAACAAACGCCTGCGTCCCCGCCAACCTCCCCGACGTTGCGCGCCTCGACATCCTCTACGCCTGCCTGCACGCCGTCAAGGCCTGGTTCGAGCACTTCTTCACCCTCCCGCCCGCCGCGTACTACGCCATCCCCTTCACCTTCTTCGCGCAGCTCTCGCAGTGCGTCATCGCCCTCTACCGCCTCACCATCTTCGAGGACCCCGTCTGGGACCGCACCAGCGTGCGCAACACCATCGACCTCATCGCCACCCTCGACGAGGTCGGCGACCGCTTTATGAGGGTCTGCAGCGAGGCCGGGCTGAATATAGATGTGGAGGAAGGCAATGCGTTTGCCAAGGCCGTCAAGACGATCCGCGGGCTGAGGGGCAACTGGGAGAGCACGTTGGGTCCGTTTGTCAACCCCGCGACGGCGGCGGCGGCGGCGGCTGTGGGGCCGGTGCTTGGCGCGGGGGTGCCGGCGGGGGTCGGGGAGGTGGAGCTGGGGCAGTTTGGGATGGATTTGATGGACAACCGGTGGTTTACGGACATCTTTACGCCGTTTGATTTCTAATCCGGGGGAATTGGCATTTTTGCACGGGCGATGCTTTTGTATGAGTACACGCGGGACGCGGACTTGGGGGCGTTGAATTTGGGTAATGAGACGAACATGCATACGCCGCTCAACGGGCCGGCTTTGGGGGCGGCGGAGACATGGACATAAGCCCGGGGTTGTGAAATGGGGTATTCATGGGTTAGTAATTGGGAAATGCGATATTATCCGGGACAAAAGTCCCCTTCTGCTTTCTGTCATTGGGTCTTATCAATCTTATCCCGCTGCACGTTGGTGGGCGTGAGGCATTGGCTTGCTGACCCGACGGAGTTCACCCGAAAGCCGCATCTCAATCCCATACGCCCGTCCGCCTGTCAGTCAGTCATTCCGTCGCCCGCTCCTCTAAAAAAAACAGTCATACCAAGAACAATTTCGGAAAATGCCAACAAAGACCGGAGCTAAGATCCAAACCTGATGCCTAGCGGCTGTGTTGTTGCTGCACCAGTCGTAAATCTGGTGCCAAAAGATCTCGTAAGCTAGCAACGTTCCGTCGAGCCAATAGCGTGCGTGACTCACCCACACCTTCCACACCAACATGGGCCGATGTTCAGATGGGTTGGGGTTCGTTCAGCGCTGCAGGGCTGGACTAAAGGCCGGGGTTAGGATGAACCCCGCAGGTGCATGCGGCACGGCACAGGGGGGTGGTCAGGGGCCCTTATCCATGTGTTGTTGGGGCGGAAGAACGGCGTGTTGGTGTGGGTGTTGTTTGTCCGCTCCCATGTTAGCCTGTTCGTGAACGATTGGATATTTGTTTCCATTTTCGCGTGCGTACGGGTTTGGGGCGGAGTTGGGAGGAGGACCTTGCAGTAGCATTTAGGCAGGCCAGGCTTATATTTCACGCATCGTATCCGTGTTGGCTTGGCTATTCTTGTCCTCCGTCACTGGTGTTTGTCTTTCCTGCGGCATTGAGTTCTGTTCAGGCGCGGGTTCTGAGACTATCGACATGGATCGACCTATTTCGCGCGGCTCCGTCAAGGAGCAAGACTTGAGGGACGGTTCTGCCGCAGATACGTCACTGGAGGAGAAGAACTCGACAAAGATTTCACCGCATCGGTCTCATGAACAGGTCACAGAAATGAAGGATGACGGGGGAAGCACGACAGCCGATGAAGGGGCCATCGAAGGTGAAAAGGAGGGGACGACGAAAGCTGCCAACGGCAGTGACGAGGCGCCAAAGGACGAGGAGTACGTTACCGGCATCAAGCTATTGCTTGTTCTTGCTGCGTTGACAGGCACTACGTTTTTGATCCTGTTGGATATGTCCATCGTTGTTACAGTAAGTGTCTTTTTTCTCACTGACGAGGAGTTGGTTGCTGACCTGTCCAGGCTGTGCCGCAAATCACCACGACATTCAACTCCCTCGCCGATGTAGGCTGGTACGGCGCAGCATACAACCTGTGCAGGTGAGTAATCTGTATGATCCTACTCCATCTCAGTCTCAGCCTAACACGTCCAGCGCTGCGCTACAACCCTTCGCGGGAAAGCTCTACACGCACCTCCGCTCAAAATGGATTTACCTCTCCTGCCTATTCCTCTTTGAACTCGGCTCCCTAATCTGCGGTGTCGCGAAATCTTCCAACATGCTCATCGTCGGGCGCGCCGTCTCAGGCATGGGCTCCGCAGGTCTCTACAACGGCGCGTTGACCATTATCGGGAACACGGTGCCCCTGGCAAAAAGGCCCATGATCATTGGAATCTTGATCGGACTCGCCAACATGGGACTCGTGATCGGGCCCCTGGTCGGAGGCGCCTTGACGGAGTACTCTACCTGGCGGTGGTGTAAGCCCCCCTTCGCCATATTTCACATCCGAGTTACTGACAATGAACGCAGGCTTCTACCTCAACCTCCCCATCGGTGGCGTCGTCGCCGTTCTCCTCGCCCTCATCCACATCCCCGACAGAATCTCCGCCCCCCTTCCGCTGCTCGAAGTCCCCCGTCACCTCGATCTGCCCGGCTGCGTTCTCTTCATCCCATCAGCACTGATGCTTCTGCTTGCGTTGCAGTTCGGCGGCAATGACTACGCGTGGAATTCGTCCGTCGTCATCGGCCTTTTTGTCGGTTCTGGTGTCATGGCCATCCTCTTCGTCCTCTGGGAGCATCACGTCGGTGACGAAAAGGCGATGATCCCGCTGGGTATGCTCAAGAAGCGCGTCGTCTGCACTAGCGCGTTGGTAGGCGGAATCAACATGAGTGTCACCTTGGTGGGAAGCTACTATTTGCCTATGTACTTCCAGAGTGTCAAGGGGGAGACTCCGTTTAAGGGTGGTGTGGATTACTTGCCTACGATTCTAGCGCAGCTGATTTCTGCTGTGACGTCTGGGGCTCTTGGTAAGTTCTTTTCGTCAAACTAGAATAGGAGAAATGCTGACTTGATGTGCAGTTGGAAGGATGGGATACTACCTCCCGTGGGTTTTCATCGGCGCCGGCTTTTCTGCGGTTGGAAGCGGACTCATCTCGACTTGGGTGCCTACGACATCAACCGGTATTTGGATCGGATACCAGATCATTCTCGGTATTGGACGTGGTTCGAGCATGCAAATGGTGAGCATTCTAGTCGAGTTTCTAAGGAGGCCCCTAGCTAATGACAATTTCCAGCACATCATCGCAATCCAGGCCAACCTACCTCCCTCGTTGCTGTCCGTCTCAATGGCGACGCTGGTCTTCGCTCAAACGCTCAGCGGCGCAGTCTTCCTTACTTTTGCCGAGCTCATCTTCACCGAAGGGCTGGGCAAGAACCTCGAAAAGTATGCGCCGTCTGTCGACGCCAAGACGATTTTGGCTGCTGGAGGCACAGGATTCAGGGGAGTTATCAGTGCTAGCGAGCTTCCTGGAGTGGTGATGGCATATTCCAAAAGCATCAGCGAGGTGTTTTATCTGTGTGTTGCACTGTCAGGCTGTGTTTTCATTCTGGGATGGGGCATGGGTTGGGTCGATATTCGGAAGAAGAAGGCAGAGAAGAAAGGGGACGTGTGAGAGTGATTGAAATGTTTGGCATCGCATTCTGATCGCGTCGGAAAAGGATACCACAAGTATTTGCATGGGTGGCGTGGGGATGGGTTAGACCATTTGCATTAGACACGGATAAAAGGCGAATGCATCGCGCCACAGCATCTCCTATCTATTATTAATGTAATTATGCCCACTCTAAAACTTTTGTTTCGAGTCCCCCAAGCATGACTTAGGAGCTTTTTAATATTCTGTCTGGTCTTTCCAATGATGCCACTGCTGAACTCAGAGCTTCTTCTTCTCCGCGCCACTCTTGATCGTCTTCAACGCCGCAAAGGCCCTCTTCACCTCGACCGAGCTCTTGACCAACAAAAACAACGGGATGACGATCCAGAAGGCGTTCATCAGGATGTAGTAGCAGTAAAAGTAGTAGTCTTCAGGGCGGCAGTACACGAGTTTCTCGACAACCTTGTCGAACGTGCAGGTGGCGTAGTAGAGCACATCGCCGTACAGCTGTCCTAGGCTGATGATCATCTGGAACGGGTGTCGGAGCGGGTGGTCGGTGGCGATGAAGTAGGCGCAGGCGAAGGACATGGGGCCCCAGAAGAGTGCGGTGATGGACTCCATACAGACCACGAAGGAGTCCTGGGTCAGGTAGCGCGAGTCGGACTTGGAGTACTCTTTCCAGAGCTCGCCGAAGATGTCGGTCATGCGGGGCATGTGGGATTGGTTGTAGGCGAAGTAGCCTGGCGGTCAAGTCAGTATTGCTACATGATGTGATGCCGGAGAGGTGGGCAAGAAACCTTCAAAGAAGAAGTGGATGAAGCCGCAGAGGACAAACCACAACGCCGTAGCAATCTCGCCATTGGAGAGACGCGGGTTTGTCCTTCGGATGATGTTGTGCGTCGGAGCGAGGATGGCAATCGTGCCGGCTGCGAAGGTGCTGCAGAGAGCCAGGGCTCCGAGCTTGTTCTCGACGTAGTCCTTGAGGGGGGCATCCAGGGGGAAATACGGATGCAGGGGCATCGTAGCATTGATGATGGCTTCGGCGGCCATTTTGTCTCGTGTCGTGGTTGGTTTTCTGACTCTTGTTACTCGTAACGATGATGCAGCTAGAGTTTGACCGGTGGGATGGATGATGGATGTTGTTGTTGAGATGTCGTCGGGTACAAATACCGTTGAGAAAACGAAGGAACACCACGACTGACGACTGCAATTCGGAGCGCGGAAGGGGACCCACTTTGGCGCGTCCGGGAAGCTGCGTTCCCGGATCGGCCCATCAGCTCTTTCCCTCGGGCGGTTGCCAAGTGTTTGTTAAACGGACAATTTCATTGGCTGAGAAGCGGTGGCTCAACAAGCGAAATTGCATCGCTCGTCGTATTCGTGTCAGAAAATGCCTTGACCAGCTGAATCACCAAAGATCTTTTGGTCCCGGGGTGCGGAATTTGTTCAATCGGGGGCCCGAGAGCCCGCAATCCGGGGTTCACTGCCGAAAGGCCGGATGCCGAGTGACGCGCCCGGCGCGGAGGATTCCCCGTGAACTGCTTCATCACGGGCTGCTCCGAACAACGGGCCGGGCGAGCAGAGTAGTATTTGAGTGGCAAGAATCTTGTTACGCAGCCAGAGGAGGCGGTGTCACCGATTTCGCGACAGGCTTCTTATCGCCGATTTGTACGTCATCTGTGGTCCCAAAAATTGCCTTTCTTGGCCGCTTAGCAAGGCATCAACGGTCGACTGTGTTTATAGGCCGCAGGTAAGATGGGCTTAAAAGGCAGTCTGTGCATTTCCGAATTATGTGCTTTTCCAGAGATCACCATGCAGCATTCGTCATTTAACAAACACATAATATGCAAGCCGTGGAGGGGCTCATTCCTTTCCATCACGAGTCATTTCCCAGTGGCTTTCACTCTCAAACTTGGTACAAGATCATTGGTGACAGAAACAGCGATCATACTCCTCTCATTGTGCTCCATGGAGGGCCTGGTTACACTCACCACTACCTGAAGCCTACCTTCGGACTGTTTGCTCGCCAGACGTCGACGCTTGTCATCTTCTACGACCAGATTGGTAATGGCAACAGTACCCATATTCGAGACAGAAGGCTGGACGAAGCTTTCTGGAATGTTGACCTGTTTGTTGCCGAACTACAAAATCTAGTGGCCAAATTAGGCCTTGAGGGAGGCTTTTCGCTGTATGGTCATAGCTGGGGAGCCATGCTAGCTTTGAAATACGTGGCTACGCGCCAGCCGCAAGGACTTCAAAAGATCGTCCTCGGGAGTGGTCCTGCAAGCATGGCCCTGTGGAAGAATGCGGCCAGAGATTGGATATCGGCTCTCCCTCCACGCCAAGCAGCGTTGCTCGAGGAGTACCGGATGGGAAGCATACAAGGCAGCACCGAAGTTGATCATGCTTTGGAGGAGCTGGACAAGCTCACGACTCTGATGAAGGAGCCTTTCCCTCGTGGGTTGCGGGAGAGCCTCAAATGGCTTAAAGAAGACAACACTGTTCTTCTCTCCACTAACGGGCCCAACGACTTGTGCGACGAGGGGAGTATGAGAGGTTGGTCTCCAGTACCTTCAGGTGGGTACCCACCAGCTGATAAGTTGTGACGTTAGACCTCGACGTATCTGACGACTGTGTCTCAATTCAAGTTCCGGTCCTGATGATTAGCGGTGATCAAGATGGGGCTACGTCAGCAACGATCACACCTCTTTATGAGAAGCTGCCAACTGTGAAATGGGTAGGCATTCCTGGAGGATCACACATGGTTCACCTCGAACAACCCGAAAGCTATGTGAGTTATATTCAGAGACATATATGCCAGACTTTCTAGAGTAAATAATGAGACCGACGAACCCCGGGTACTGATCAACTGCCTTACGGGCGTATATGGCTGGAGTAATCCGGGACCACTGAGGACTACTCCGTGTTACGCCTATTGCAGTCGATCCCTGTAGGCATATGGCTGCATAGCGCGGAGCAGGGGACAGGGGTGCCGGAGTCACCATTACCGAGACTTTTGTCTTGTGATGCATCTAGTTCCCCTGATCTGCTCGTAAAACTCGGCCAGCCCGGTGAGATGAGAGCGTTAAACTGGCAGTTAAGTAGAACTTATAACGGTCGGCCCAGGCTTGGCGCGACGGTCGGATGTGAAGGCCCTCAGACAGGGCCATAAGTAGGCATAGCTAGTTGTATGGGGCGTTGAAGTTGGAATGCTGACGTATGTGTTCTCTTCGCTTGTATGAGAAGCTAATGCTAAAGACACTGAAGCGGGACCTTGCAGATATCTCTGAGTATCCATTGACCACCGAAGGGAAGAATAAGATTCACGCCGTGTTCAATAGCCTTGTATGACTTGTCGAGTCAGGCGCAGGGCAACAAGATGAACTGTTTTCTATGTCTGTGCCTTTCCATGAGTTGTAGCTCGGATAAGTTGCACTGTTAAATCGAAATAGAACCATCCGTTCAAGGTTTGGTGACCCCCCACACGTTCGTCTCAAGGCAAATCTATATGACACGCGTGTCACACAGTCAAATTAATCAACCGTGATATAAGGCGAAAGCTTCAATATTACTATCGGTGCTTGAAGTATTGTGGCGAAGGGAAGGTGAGATATAAGAACCGAGAAGCCCTCGCAGTAGACTACAGTTGTTAATCACTCCCAAGCACTTCCCACAGCAGTTTATCCGCTTTGCAACATCAATCAACGTACAGTTCAACCCCTCAGAATGCAGTTTACAAGTCTCTTGTTTCCTCTCTTGGGCGCATCACTTGTGTCAGCCGGCTGCAAGACTTGCCTCGGCATCAGTGGCACGGTAGCGTGTGTGAACGGCAAGGACGATACATGTCTGGTCGGCAGAATAAGTAGCAATATTCCTTTCGGCTGGAAGATTTGCTGCGACGATCCGACATATAGCATTGTTAGCTGCAACAAGTCGTGTTAAGGTATGCGATGCACAACTTCCAGCAATGCGCCAAAGACGGAGGAACTGACACGAAAGTACGTTTAGCGCGGCGCACGACATTGGTGACGTTGTGGTCGGCTATCCGACAGCAGGGTCTGTTGACAGATGTTGGGAATTCATGGTGTGAATCAGTTACCTATCGGACGTTTCTGAACTTAGTTTTTGTGCACAGAAAGACCAGGTGTCAACGGTTGTCGTTATCACTCATAGAACAGAAAGTGTAAATTGGCGATAGAGGGCAAATGGAAAGTATTCCAAATAGCAATCAGGTGGTTTCCGAAGTTCCAGAGTTCTCATTTCGAGTGCAGTTCAATACAAGTCCTGAACAACCATTCCTATGTATCTTTATTTTCATACGTTGCCTTGGAATGAAGTCCACCAAGATTCCATTCTCATGTTTGGTCATGCACAGGTTTATATAACCGTCGTGATGCTCTCATGGTCTGAAAAGCCCTTGAATTTGTTGAGCTCGTCGCAATTTCGCAAGCCGCCACCCCTACTTCCACAATCCTCCGAACATGCGGAACGGGAGTGACCATATCGCGTCAGGCCTGCATCGGCACCTCCAAGTCGGAGCCAACACCCTATCAACAATCCATCAATACTCCTGTGCCTTAACAAGGCCGCCCGGTCTGGCCTGTTCATTATTTGTACTATTGTACCCTCATCTAAGCAGGAATTCCCAAACCAACTATCGACTTGCAACACGGAGAGCAGCGCCTCCACGAGGGCAAGTAAATTGACAACGCAAATAACCTAACCAAGCAAAGGGAGGCCATCGCCACTACCCAATCGATCAATCCGACACCCCTCAATTGAATTAAAATATTTAATGTCTTATACTCTAGCCAATAGGAGGCCTTACATAGGCTATAGCCCCACTTATAGGTATACCCAGCCCATAGGTATAAGTGAGGGTATATGTGAGGGGCCCCCTTAGGGGGGTCGGGGGGGTGGGAGGGCTTGAGGGTCCCTCTAAAGAGCCCTCTAAGGGGCCCTCTAAGGGGCCTAAGGGGCCCTCTGAGGGCCTACGAGAGGGCTTATGAGGCTGTAGATATCCTTAAAATTACCCGATTAGGTAGTCTATATGACGTCATTTTATATAGTGATTGATTTGTTTTATTTGCAAGTTAGCCAAGTAATTAAAAACACTAAAAAAAAGAGCCAAGTTAACAAGTATGGGGGTCAAAATTGCTTTGATTGCCCTTGTGGAGGCGCTGACGGAGAGATCGTTGCATACCCCATCTTGTCACTAGACTAGTACAAGACTCTCATAGACGGCGAAAAAAGAGAAGAAGAAGCTTTAGGATGAGTCCAGAGATCAAGATTTCAAGCTAGCGCGCTGTTGGACCAGTGCATAATTGAAAGCCTGCAGAACACGATTTACCGATGAGGCGTTCCTGCTGAAATTTCTGGGAAAACATTCATGTATGCCGGAGAATCTGACGGAGTTTGACACGCTAATAGATGCAAACTTGCGGGAAAAAGCTGATTTGGTAACTCAGCTCCGAATCCTTCTTGATCAGCGTACATGTAGTGATAGATAGCGAGTTACCCCTGCATGATGCGTTGCCTGATTTTGTGCTTCCCCACGATTTCCCTTTTCGGGCCACCCAATTGCAGGCAGCTGTAGAAAAAGCAATGGTGATTCAGAATCTGGACTGTATTCCCAGATCGCCATTGGTTGGTTTCACCTCTCAGCGGGTCTGACAGCTCGCTAGTAGTCCGCAGTTGCTATCATATGACGACTTTGTGGTGGCCTCCGCAAGGCTCCCGATAGAAATTTGAGGGAAATTAAAAACAGAACAACCGCAGTATCCGTGGCCAAATCAACCGGTTCTGTCGTAAGCATCGTCTTCATAGTCACCCCCACTCACTCATCTCCATCCCAAAACTGAGCAATGACAGGAGGTTGTCTTGGAGGGTCGGACTTCATGGCATGACAAACCGAACGACTCTAAGCAGGAATACATGCACGGAGTCAAATTGTCTCACCATACTCCTCCTGCGCGATGATTCCCGACGGCTTTAGCTGCCCTGAGGACAGCAACTCGACCGACTGTCTCCTGCGGACTTTGCTGCAGTTTCTGAACGAGCAGCACCGAGAGGAAGATGCCCAAACTAACTGGGATCCAATCACGTTCTGGTTCACAGTTCCCGTCGGTGTGCTTGCCACTGTGTTCGCCGTTACCATGATCCTGCAGGCTGTTTTTGCGGCTGCGAAAGGGCGACGAAAGACCAATGAACGAGCCATTGGAAGGTGGTCTCGGAAGACCAAGAAGGGATGGAGTTGGTCGGAAATGGGCTTCGAAGTAACAGCACGGACTCCGATATTGCGAACAGGAACTCTGCTAGAGCACGTCATGGCCCGACAATCAATCTTTGAGGGGATGGATCCAGACAGTAGGACGTTAGACGGTAGCGTGGAAACGATGAGTAAAGGCGAAACAGGCGAAGCTGATGCCTTGACACAGGTAATACAGAGACGGAGAGGAATTATAAGAAAAAAAGAGCATATTAAACTGACCTCACCCAGGTGCACTGGTGGCAAAACATTCAAAGGATATGGAGCGACAGCACTGGAACAACTTACCGGAAATCCTCATCTTTATCGACACTACAGACTCCACTAGGTTCAGGAAACCAACGCTGGACTTCCTATAGCGATCTGGCTTATTCAACCACACGAGCCAGGAGTTGGTTCCGTTCCGTCTCCGAGGACACCTCTGCGGCTGCTTGGATTGGCCTCTTCGCGGAAATTGGCCTGGACCGGGTTGAGCTAAACCTGGTAGACATGGGCAACGGCCTCCGTTGAGTTACAGCCGATTACCTCCCAGATGATATTGTGGCAGCGCCAGCGTACGCAGAGCTGGGAATTATTGTATCGCTCCTCGCGACGACAGGGGTCAGTTTTGGAGCCGTGGATGAATCTTCAAGATATCCTACCATTGTTGGCCGAGGATTTCAGTTCGACTTTCGTCAACACCCCATACTCGGCGTCGTTGGCGCCTATTCACGACACGAGAGGAAGGATAAGAGAACAGCGACTTCAGATCTCAAGGCTATTCGCATGGCATTGCTGAACGGAAACGGAATTATATACACAGCAGGTGGACTTCTGCTAGCTCGGGATGAGTCCGAGTATGGTCCCATTTACACCACTACCACTGTCCATGGATCGCAAGTACGATATGGTCTGAACTTGCTTCGACCATCGCATTTCGAACGCAAGATCATTTCAACTCACATGCAGAAAGTTGCGAATAGACATTTCAACAAACAGGACTCCTTTCCACAAGGTCGAAATGTCATTCCAAGCGGCAAATTGCCAGTCGTCAGTCTCTTTCTAGCTGGCACACCGGACCACCCTCCTGCCATATTCCCCAACTCCACCCTGGGGAGGGACCATGATTTAACAGCTCTTGCACTCAATGGAAGTTACTGGCCAAAGGTACTACTGAGTGAGGCGAAGGAATTGAAACTCTCACAGTGGCGACTGTCCAGCGATCCCCCATCATGGAGCCACTTCGTTTGGTTCAATTTCAGCATCCCTGATAGAACAATTGCAGACAGTCCTGGGGAGCTCGCCAGAATTGCACGGGTAGTACAATGGGCTTTTGATGATAAGAAGCTACGTGTCAAAGAAGCAAGAAACCTTGAGTATCGTAAAGCCGAACAAATCACCAAGAACAAGCACAAAGCAGAGGAAGCGGCCAGAATGACAGCAAAATTGGTTCAAGGAAGAAATCAACGCCATGCTATGCTTAAGGCACAAAGAGCTGCCGAAGAAACAGCTTTGGCTGAGAAGATCAAAGCTGAAGCCTCCGCAGCACTACAAGCTGCTGACTTGGAGTCCAAGGAACCCATCAAAGGCTATCTTTTGGTTCTTCAATTGTGTCTCAAGTTACTTCACAGCCCGCAAAAGCTTAGACAATGGTTCTTCAGGTTCCCAATTGGATTACAGAAGGCTTTGCGATGGGTAGTTCTTCAGCAAATGAAGGACGTCGACAAATGGCTTCAAGACAGTGGAAGGGATGATGTCGAGTTCCGCGCTGTGGTACTATGCAGCACGACATTGCTCTTACTGCACGCTGAGGAAATGGTCAATAATGTCCAAGATTGTGGCCCTGTCACCAATTCCAGCTGTTGCCCCTTTGATGGGCACGACTCTGGCCAGGCTACGACACACACTGCAAACCAGCCACATTGCAGACATGACACGGCTCGTTGTAGGCACTCAAAGACCCTACAAGCACTTGCAAACCTACTGAAGAGCTTCAACCTGGGTGAGAACATCTACGAGGCTCTGAACCCAGCATATGACAGGGAAGATAATCATGACGTAGTCAGTCCCGGGCCGGAGATCGCCAGCGGCAATGAGAAACTCCTTCATCTACACCTATTTGCTGAGAAAGCAAGGCAACATGGACGCCATTTGAAACACCTTACAGGGTTTGATTTCGAAGAAGGCTCTGACGTTGCCGGTTTGTATCAACTGTTGGATAGACTGCGAGCAATTTTGGTTCAAAATTCTGCTTCAAAGAGCGATTGGTCTTCTTGGGACCAAGATCATGCCCATAGAGACCAGAACACAAGGGATGTCGACGATGTTATCATTTATCGATGTCTAATGGTAGCCTTTCTCTTTCGAACCGCCTCAGATAGTACCAAGATACTCGAGTCGGGTCTTTGGGAACATGTTGTGCCTCTCATATAAGGTCAGCTAGGTGTAATTAAGCTAGGTTTTGTTTTCATCGGTTGAATTTCAAGTTCTGTGACCAGCTGTTCGTTGTGCAAGATGGCTCATGCAAAGGGCCAATACGCCAACTCGAAGACGAATCCCGTTGTCATCTTCGCATGCTGGAGTGCGTGATCGAAGGAAACATGCTCAATCGTATCGTTGGGGGTATGAATGTATGGGTTGTGGTTTCCAAAAGGCGCCTCAAAGATGAACGATGAAGGATATCCGTTGCGGTTGGCCGACGCATGATCAGAGCAAGCATATCCGCAGACGGTCTCCTCATACGGGATGTCGGTGTACTGCATACCATTAGTCCTTCGTCACCACAAGTCTAGTCGACAGACTTACCGTATCAATCACCCGTTTCATGAACGCGACCTGATCAAGATCAACCCAGTCCGTGACGACACCGAATCTCTCGACCCCATCTCGGCCAACGTATCCGACCATGTCCTGGTTGAGCATGGCGACAACCTGACGGCGGCTTGCATTGTACTGCGTAAAAATGTCCTGGCTACCAAGTAGTCCGGCCTCCTCGGCGCCATACCAGTGGAACTCAACGGTGTTCAGCAACTCTCCCGCCGCGATCCTTGGATCCGTCAAGGCGACTCTCAGCACCTCGAGAATCATCACGCTGCCGGATCCGTTGTCATCGGCTCCGGGTGCACGTCCTGCACCTCTATCCCCAGATATCACGGAGTCCAGATGGGCGCCAACTACAACGGTCCGTTGGTTCTGGCCAGGGATCGTGACAATGATGCTGGGCTGCGACCAAGCAGTATGTCTCACGTAACGGACATTGGCGGTAGGATGTCCCGCGGCATCAACGATGGCGGAGATCTGGCCAAACAGCCACTCGGCAGACTCGACGCCTGTGCGAGAGAGGTAATATCTGTTGTGGAAGGCCGAGAAACGCTCCAGATGGGCTTGCATGCGCGACTTGTCGAGCTTGGGGATGAGCGCGTTGACGTGGCTTGTCTGGTTCATTTCAGTCGGGAACGGGAGAGCCGCCGCCAATCTGAAATCTTTAGTTGATGCCGCAGGGGCGTCAGGCCATTCCGTGATGTCGAAGAAGTGGATGCGTTTCTGGAAGTGTCAATAAAGACATGTCAGAGAGACATGCGGCTACGTACGTCCATCATCTCCCACTTCTCCTCTTCTGTGACAGTGACCGTTTCGCCGGGCGCGGTCTCCAAGGTGAAGAGCTTGGAGGCATCGCGCGCAATGGACTCTGCCGCAGTAGAGGCAGCGAGACCCGCAAGAAAGATTGTAACGCGCATTGTGACGACCGCGTTGAGCGGAGAACGAGATTCAGAATGGACGACGTCGGGCGGCTGTTACTTCAGATGATGCCGTCGCAGCTTTGGTCGATGATCTGGCCCAGGAAATGAAAGTGGGAGGAGGATGAAAGGTAGAAATATCCACTCAAGCCCAGCCTGAACCCTGATGAGCTTACATCCGTGTGAGCCATGCGGTGGTCAAAAGCCCTAAAACTCAATTCAATCTATCGATCGTCTGTAATGGACGTTCGCTTGGCGGCTGGGATATTCGTACTCTGAGCTGCATGTAAGACTTGGTGGTTGCCCGAACCCCTCACCGTAACCATCTCCCCGCGCGATTTCGTCCTTGGCTAAAAGTCACCTTCCGAATACAATCAGTCTTGGCACCTCAGAAAAAGTGCCCGACGTTGGCGAGCAACATGATGTTTGTTCAAAACATAAAAACAGGCAAGTGTTTATCCGTAAGCCAAATCATTCGTAGTTCCGAGTGAAGAGGGCAGAGATTACTGAAAGTTCATAATAGCAAATCTTGCACATAATCAATCGAATGCGTCGCGAAGTTAAGACGGCGGGGAACCCAACGTAGATGGCAGATCATTCCAAGCGCTCGGAAGCCCGGGCCAAGAAACTCACGCTCTTGGCTACACAGGACCACCTCATTGGGTACACAACATCCGTACCTGCAGATCTCCCAACCACAATCTCGAGCATCCTCTTGATTCCGTTGATAACAGCTGACCGTGGATGTCTCGGGAAGCTGCCGAGTATCACCTCCTCATCCAAGGCCCCGGCGCGCTTAGCGCTGCATCAGCATTCAAACGTCCCAGTCCCCCTTACGAAAGGCATTCGCAATCTTTCTCACCGTGGATTCAGCACGCGCACCTCGCTCAAATTCATTACTAACGGCAAGACACCGGCTCCAAATCGGCTACCTACCTCTGAGACATTCCATCTCGAGTGTGTGGAGAGCTCGGGGCGTACTTAAGCTGAACATACCAGATATTTAACTCATTAGGTCCGTTCATAAGAGCTTTAGCTTGACCAGGTTCATTGAACAGGCACATTAAAGTAATGGATATTTGGAAGCCGTGTGCTGAAGAATGATAAACTTGTACATTCGTGTAGGATCTCCCCGCAAATTGAATCGCATAGAAAACCTTGCTTTATTCCTTGCTTCGTCAGAGTATTTTTCAACTCATAGTCAATCAAGCTTGCCACCTTTCATTCACCTATGCAGCCTGCCCACCCAGCTTTCCGGTTAGTTCCTCCTCTTTAGGTCAAGTTCAACAGTCGGTCAACATCTTCAAGGCTTCAGTGGAAGCTTCTCCCATAACAGAGTCTGACTGAGGTCCGTAAAGGTATCCTCGATAACTCGGATGGTGCGGTTGATTATCTCATCAATATCGCTCTCAGTCACGATGTAGGGTGGACAGATGAGGAAGTGGTCCCCGGCATAGCCGTCATATGTTCCACCGGCATGGAATAGGGAGATGTCGTATCCAGGCTGGAGACCTTTGGCGTGGAGTAGGTTGTTGACATCCAGGTTGGGAGGGAATGGAGCTTTTGTCGTCTTTTCCGAAACGAATTCAACAGCCCAAAATAGCCCACGGCCACGCACATCTCCTACAAACGGGAGAGGAAGAATCCGGTCTTTGAGCTGTTGTTCGAGATACTTCCCCACTTTTGCCACATTACTGGCGAGGTTGTGCTCCCGGATAATCTGCTGCGTTTTCAGGGCCGCGGCCACGGCCAATGGATAGGCCATGTATGCTTGACCGTGTGGAAAGGGCTTTCCAGCCCTCTTGAACGAGCTGACAAGGTCAGAGTTGACCAGAACAGCCGAGATCGCACCATATCCAGCGCCCAGGCCTTTCCCCACGGCCTGGATGTCTGGAGCTACTCCTTCCTGCTCCCATGCATGTAGAGATCCGGTGCGCCCCATACCGCACATGATCTCGTCGAGAATCAGAAGCGCACCGTACTTTTGGCAAACAGCCTTCATCGCTCTGAAGTAGCCGGGAACCGGAATTGCGCAACCACTCGCCTAACGTTCCAGTCAGTCTTGCGGAGCAGCACAGGCAAAGTGACGGAGACTCACACTTCCTCCAACTGTTTCAGCCACGAAGGCACAAACCTTTTCTGGACCGACTCTTTGGAACTCGTCGTCCAGCTCCTGAGCAAGTCTTTCGACATAAGCTTCTTCTGTCTCCCCATGCCGCAGCCCGCGATAGGTGCTACAGGCCGAGACATGCGTCGTGATTTTGGGGACTATAGAGTTGAAAGGATCCTTCCGAGGTTTCCAGTCTCCAAGTGCCAGCGAGCCCAGGGTCGCACCATGGTAAGATCGGACTCTCGCGATGAATCTCGTACGTTCGGGCTCGGGGGTGGCCAGATGCGTGAAATGGGTCTTGGCTAGCTTCATCGTGACTTCCATTGCCTCAGATCCTAGAATGCAAGCTAATCAAAGTCTGTCGAAAAGGGTGCTAAGATAAACCTCGAGGCATTTAGAAATACTTACCAGATCCGCACAGAATTGCCTTACCCATGTGCCCATGTGTCGATTGAACTAACAGCGAGGCAAGTTCTTCCGCTACTTTCGTCTGGTAGAAACCAGGATGGCAATAGGGGATATTCAAAAGTTGTTCAATAACCGCCAGCTTCACTTGCTGATTGTCGAACCCAAGACACGAGACAGCAGCCCCAGAAGTGGCGTCGAGTATTTTGCGACCATCTTCGGTTTCGAGGTAGATGCCCTTTCCCGAAGTAATTACCAGAGCAGGATTCTTTTCAAAGTGTTTGTATAGAAGGCTGTAATTGGATTTCTTTCCGTTCATGTGGACTGGATTCTTCATGATGCAGAGATGAAAGAATTGTTGGCTGTGTGAATGAGTCTAAGGAGGGTTTATGACTCTGCAGTGGTGACGAGGAAAGAAGTGATTGGGAAATTGAATCGGGACGATGGGAAGACTTTGGCAAAGTTATGAGACATTTATTATAGCAGTTGAAGCCCGAGGCCTGTGTTCAAGATCTTGCTTCCGATATTCTCACCTTTCCAATGTTAACACTAAGAATCATCAATAATTTTATGATGCCCTTTGCAGAGGCTCATACCAATGCTATTCATGATTCTTGTACTGCTCTGCTAACAAATCTAATAATATACAGGAAACACTTATCTTCCCAATGTGCCAACACATTTGTTGCACCGACGATGGCTTGGACGAGGTATTTCATACTCACCCCCGACGGTCCAAGGCGCATCTCGATTGGAAACAAAACATTAGAGTGGTGCCAATATCGTCCAATGTGAATGCTAGAAGACTAACCACATGACAGGACTATGTGCAACATCAACTTCATTGCTTTCGTGAGGGGTAGGGCATTCCACTTCCAATCGTAGACGATTACTGCATATACCTACTTTTCATCGTCATCGTAGTGTACGGACCGAGGCTCATACTCAATCACAAGCCTTTGCCGTCTTCAGCCTCTCGGTAGTCATCTGCACAAGAGTGGCTGTTGTTGCACAGTTGTTTCTCTCGACTAGCCTTGCAAGCTGTCTGTGGCTAGTGTGCTCTCACCCCACTCACGTCATGAATGTTCCATACTTTCAACACATCTTCAACGTTTCCGAAGTCATTGGTTCTGTACTCCGCCTCCGGGAATATCTCTTTCCGAACATCTCCCGCGACACGGGAGACGTGGAGATAACTGCGCTAACCCAAGGAACAACGAATGGCGTAGGTTATCGATGGTTAAACGAAACGTCGTTGTCAGACAGTCGCTCAAGCCCCAAAAGTTGTACATGGTAGCAGTCCGCCCGAGCGGTCCGGCTGCGATCCCCAGATCCGAGAGTTCGCTGGTGAAAATCTACGGCGATGACGCTGACATCATTATTGACCGACCGAGAAAGTAGGACAACACGTTCTACCATATGTTGATGTCGCACACTGACACTCCTGACCTGTCAACAAAAAGAGGAGCTTAAGCTCCATGGCATTCCTTTTTATCCCAGGCTTGCACCATCGCCTCTGGTGCGCATCCCGAACGACCATGCCTACCAATGTCTGGACGGTAGTCTGCTCAATTGACGACATAACAAAAGAGGCAGTTTAGCGCGCAGTGGCGAGGGGACCTGCAACGTGGCATGCGGTAGTTTCTCGCTCATCTTCCGGTCGTCAACGGCTCGGAAGTGGTTGAATGCGTTACCCGAAACCACGAAATCCCACAATTATCTGATATGATCGATCCCTAAAACTCACACCCCAAAACATGAAAGACTGATACACCCTGAAAAGTATCGGATGTTGCACCTAACGGAAGCTAAGCGGGGAGGGAACTGGTGGAACATTGGTCTAAACAAGAATCCTCACAAACCTTTCGTCCGCGACAGATCCCGATCAGAAAATGGCATCCGTCGACGTCATGCCTCTCAAACTGCAAATGCCATGTTACATGAGTTGCAGAATACGGGCCCCCTTCAAATTCCACTTCCATCAGGAGGAACCCAAAAGCGGCTTCTTTGGAGACCATCATCTCCAAAGGTTGCCAGGAGACACAACTTGTCGACAGAGGCGGCGGAAATATCAATAGCATATTTGACAAAGCCTGAAGCCGTTGATCTTCATGCGTAAAAATAGATGCATAGCATACGGCGACACTGTCTTGATTGTGGATTTGTATCTTGACGCGCCTGAGTTTAGCAATGCCCTTGCAGGCCTTCTCATGACATTGTTAGTTAGCTATCCTGCCGTCAGCTTCTTGCGCACCTTAGTTGGCAATACCGGCCAAGATGGCCTTTGGCAACATCCGTCAAGGTTGTAGAAATGTCTGCGTACCTTACCTAGGCAGTGTGAGAGGTCACGGTATGTCCGTGCAGACGGCCATCCATGATTTGGATTGTAGAAATTTGCTGTAGAAATTTGCTGTTGCTAGGAAAAGCAAAAAGCTGTCAACCTCTACTATAACAAAAATAGTCCCACCAAAGAACCAGACTCTTTCCGCTTCGGAGATCATCACCAAATCGTCAAAATGTGGGGATTGCTTCCCAGTGAGTTGAGACTCCAAATCCTGGAATATCTCCTTGCCCTGAAACCTGAACGCTTAGCCCCATACACCACGTTCTGTCGACCATGGCAACACCGTATCGAGCCTATCCTATTCGAGGAAGTCACGCTTTACGTGACAACCGCCAACATTTTGTCAGGCAAAACGACTCCATCAACACTCGCCGACATCATCCGCGGTCCAAGGATACAGGACCTCAAAAAGCTGAGCATTGTCATAGACTTTGATCCGTCAAGTTTCACCATCGTCACGGATGGCCCGAGGCGCCAAATGCAACTCGGCGCTGCCTTTGCGGATGTCATCGACGGCACCTTCAACGCGATACGTGGCTGGAGACGCGACCAAATATATGTCCATCTTGAGATCCACGAGAAGCGATCATGCGGCCATCATCTGATACACCACGGAAGCAAGCTCGCAGATCTGCAGGGGAAGACCATCGACTGCGTGTGGTTTATTCGACACCTGGAATACATCGTCGATAGATGTCGTTGCTGCTCGCTTAGAGGACTCCCGGCGATGATTTGCTCGACAATGTCGACAGATTTGTGGGATATCGAGTACGGATCTGATAGGCGCGAAATCAGGAACCCGTCGATGTTCGAGGAGGAATTCAATTTTTTAACTTGGGGGTTGAAGTCGCTTACTGTGAGAAACATGGCCTCGAGCGGCTATAACCCATATGATCGAAGATACGATTGGTTCTATCCGTGTTCTTCGTCAATTGTCAAAGTCAGCCAGAACTTGGAGACCCTCCAATTTTCGGATCCCGTTGAAAATATCTTGGGTGGTAATTTTCCACGGTGGCCGAACCTCAAGTCCCTCTCCGTGACATCAACACGGCTGAGAGACTTTGCGTACAATGCCCAAGCTGAACTGGATTATATGGCAGAGGTCGCCCAGAGAATGCAACAACTGCGACGGCTCGAACTTTGGTGTTTCGGAGCCAATCGCCCGCACCTGGACAACGCTGGCCGCCTCCTTTACACGGTGAATGAGAACAGTGCTCATCTTTCGTGGCAGGCTGGCGGGACCTTCAGTTACCGATTACGCATATTTCCTTCGCGCAAGGTGGCTAGCTTTCATGGCAAGACGCTAAAGATCACAAAATTCCGGGTTGGAACATACGGATGGGAGCGATCTATCTCCTTACATCAGCGTTGATGGAATTCTTCGAAACGCGTCTGTGTTATGGGAAAGAGGTGCAGAAAGACGAGTAAGAGACACTGATCGACACGAGACTGGACTAGCGAGGTGAGATATTGATATCAACGACGGATAGTTGCAATATTCTGAAGGGCCACAAGCTGCGAGGTCGTTGGCAGAAAAATTCGATACGTAGTCACCGAAAGACTAAGAAGAGAAGTGAACATCGTGTAGTTAATAGCTCTATACCGAGAATTCGTCTCCATGCGACGCTCGCATACATGTCGTAGCTGTTAGCGATTTGTGTATGAAAGGGCTTCACCCGAGTTGTGTGACTGAACTATCACCAAGGCTTACAGGCCGGAGACGTTGTTAGGTGATAGCAGAAGCACCATGTAGATATTGCCAAAATGGTGGCCTTTTCCATTTTTTGCAAGTCCACATTTATATTGTGCCTGATTTGATGTCGTGAACCGTCAGGTCCACATCAATGACGCCCGGACATGACCTTTTTGTCCCGGAACTTTGCACACCGTCGGAGTGAAAGCGAGAAGATGGGATTCCATGTGAATTCCATGTGAATTATTAAGATGAGTAAGGGGCGCTTATGGCCGAAGTCAACCTTGAGAACAGTGTCATCCTGGTGTCAGCCTTTGTCGAGGCAACTTCATGTCACCTGCGACTTCCTCAAACCTCCTCATTCACGACCTGCCTGCCTGGCACTGTACTTTCCACATGGAGGCATGAAGGCATCTCGGTAAGTTAAGGTACTAAGGTAGGCAGGTACTTGCCTTACGTAGGCTGCATCCTCTGTCAATGGCAAGTACTACTGCCATTCCAGCGCTACGTCTGGTGCTTGCTGGAGCAGGTGCAGGTATATGCTCCTGCCTCTCGGGCTAGATGCTCTTGCTTATCTAGAGATTTCATCAGTTTGTTAGTGAAAGACGAGGAGGGCAAGACCGACAGCAGCAGGTGCGAAATATTACGTTGACTGCCAACCAGAGAACATTTAAGTAGCCGTCCGTCCCGGCACCTCACTCCATCTTTGGACAACTCCAACCAAACAACATTACATTCAAGTAGGCATCTGTCCCGGCACTCCACGCAATCTTTTGACAGCCCAAACCACACAAAATCGTCTCAACGCCAACGAAAAATGAAGTTCCCTACTCTCATCGCCGCCACCATCCTCCTCGGCCTGGGCGCTAACGCGGCTGCCGTCACCGACACCGACGCAGCGATGGCTGCCGGCATTGGTGGAAACAAGCACTACGGCGTAAGTGATACCCTCAGCCGCCTTGACACACACACAGCCGAAGTGACCGCTGACACCGACTGCCAGAAATGCCTCAAAGGCCCGAACCAGTGTGTACTCAACCAGAAGCACGGAGAGCGCAGAATCGACTGCAGGAAACCGGTATGTGGACCCTTCGAACCACTTCCTTGCGAGATTCCCTATCCTGACTTGCGAAATCACTAGTGTTCAAAAGATGGTGCGCGCTGCAGAGAGGCACGTGTTCGTCACCAGGCGCATTGCTGGTGAGCGACCAGAATCTCCCATCAGACCTGGCTGGCCGTCTACATGGGGCCTTGGCAAGAATATTGGAATGCATGGAGAGGTTCGTGGGAAGGCACGACAACGTGGCTGGCATCTTAGAAACAAAAGGCTTCCGTACCGAACGCAGGATGGAAGGGAACTGGCTGAACAAGGGGAAAGTGCTTTGAGGCCGAGTAATGATGTCGAGTATCGATAATTAGTAGCTGAATACAACAAAAATTACCTCCTACTCCCATTCTCGCCCAAGTGCTCTTGTTGGCATCACGATTCTATCCTGACAGCAAAGGTTGCGTCTCCGTATCCCTATGGTTTGGTGCTGATCTCATTTGGGTAGTCCACAGAAGCATGCCCTGGACGATAGAAAACAGACCGCTGTTGACCACTGGCCACCCAACCAGACGGTACCATCCGTCATAGGAGGGCGAGTACGGAGGATACCTGACGCGGACCATCCACGAGATTGCCAATGCCGCGAAGACAACGGTATGCGTGGCGAAGCCTGGTACACTGATAGCCCCAGGGCTTGACTGGCGCTGTATCTCTCGAGCTTGCGGGATGGCAGAAGCGAGGACTAGTATGCTCGACACGGGGAGCAGGATGAGGTAATGCCCCATGATAAAGAGGTCGCGACCCCAGTTCCTCGGTTCGGAGCGCGAGTCCGGGAAGATGGCGTCGAAGATGGCCGGGACGAGGGAAATCAGGATGAAAACCACGTAGATGGCGCCGACGCTGTGCCTCGTCGCTTGACGGCCGGCGTTTGATGCCGAGTAACGGAGGCTTAGAAGCAGTCTGCCCACATGTTAGTTACCTGACGTCTCCAAGAAGCAAGGGATGCTTGGAAGTCTGCTTACAGAGAAAGGGAGCACAGCCAGACAACGACGAGCTGGATGAAGTTGAGCCAGTCGCCTGCTGTTACGGGGTCGTTGACAAAGGCATCGCCCCGAAGTCTGCCCGTGTCGTTGACGTTGAGAAAGAATCCGAGGGTGAGCTGCTCCGTGGCGCTGATGAGGTTGCAGAGGACGTAGTACAATGACAGACCGTCGCAGTGGCCCTGTTCGAGGATGCGGTGGTACTGGGGAAGGTACGACGCGATGGTTGCGATGCTCAAGGCTCTGGGAGAAGTCAGCATTCGTCCTGGGTGCAAAGTGGGAGGTCTCGATGTTGCGACGAGCGGTCAACGGAATGCGTGACTCACATTCTGGCCCAGTTTGGGAGAATATTTGGCACCATGGCTTCGCAATTCCTCGCGGTTGCAGGTCAAAAAGCGGTTGCTTGGGTCGAGCACGGGTTTGGCGATGCGACCGACGGCGGTTGAATGACACTAGCGGCGGTCGATGGCTTGTCCAACGAGCTCAGAAACGGCAATCGCACTGCAACAGAGGATAGCCTGGACGCAATAGACAAACAAAGATCCAAAGTTGGCTGCCTGTCGCGGGGCAAAATATTCTCGTGATGGTGGTTGATCCTGTAGGATTCCTTCATTCCGCCACGTGGGCGGGCGAATCAGAGCAACTCCGCCAAGAAGTCGGGGAACCGGTGATCGGTGGGTCGTTTGCCTCTCTCGAAGCTCGCATTTTCTCCAACGTGATCGAAATTGGCCAGATACAAGCGGAAATCATCGCGACTTTGATGTGTTTATCTGACAATAATAAGGCAGGTGCAAAGAGACCTTGGATGGCCGTGGTCGCGACTGCCCCGCTTCGGCCGAGCAGAGGGCAGGCTTTGAAGCGATCGTGGAAGAAAACACCCAAAAACATCATCACGAGTCAAGTCAACACGAGAGAAATGTTGCGTTGCATAAGCCGTACGCATTATCGGGCTACCTATTAAAGACTGCTGCATAATCTGCCCTATGACCACCTCGCGAAGCCACTGATACAATGAATCATCTCTGCAAGTCTGAATCTCTCTCTGCCCGTCCGTCTCGAAAACCTCAAAAGTCCGTGTCTCAAACCACTAATACCACTCCAGACCCTGACCGGAAGAACGATCCAGCAAACCCATCCGAAAGAAAGAACCGAATCTCTCTAGGGGTAGATCTGCCAGGCGCCGTGGGCCTTGTTGCCGAACTGCTCCTCGAGGTCGCAGCCGATGTTGCCCCAGCCGCGCATGCGACCGTGGGTGTTGTCGAGGTGCTCGATGGCGCCCTCGAGCAGACGCTCAATGTCCATGTTGCCGATGACGCTGAAGTAGCGCGGGCCGTAGGCGAAGTGGCACGTCTGGTACTTGATGATCGGGGTCAGGTCGCCGACGCGCGCGGCGCGCACCTCGTCCGCGTTGAACATCCAGAACTTGCGGTGCTCTCGGATGTAGATCATGAGCGTCTTGCAGTCCTCGATGAGCGCCGAGTCCTTGTGAGCGCCGCCCATCCAGATCGTCTTGCCGCTGCAGCGCTTCGAGGGGCCGAGGGGCGTGATGACCGTCTCGGATTTGCCGCCGAGGCTCTTGACCTCGGACCGGACGTTGCCGTTGACCTGGAAGGTGGCGTTGTTGCCGTTCTTGTTAAGGACGGCGACGTCGACCCAGGTGACGTGGGCGGGGTCGTCGGCGGGGGCCTTGGGCTCGGTGGCGTTGGCCTCGACGAGCTTGATGTTGCTGTAGTCGGGGGTCTTGAAGGCCTCGGCATCGATGTCGTTGTCGCGGCGGTCGAGCTCGCCGGAGGGAAGGTTGGGGTTGCGCCAGAAGAGGCTGAACTCGCCGTTGTGGATGGGTCTGCTTCCGTCGAGAATGCACCAGACGCCCATCTTGCCGGTGACGCCGCCGTCGTCGGTGTTGCACTCCTCCCAGCGGATGACATTGTCGACGAAGCGGAGCATGTCTCTGTTGGTGACGACGATGCCGGGCTTGGTGGTCTTGAACATGATGCCGCAGGTGCCGTGGGCGGCGAACTTGGCCCAGTAGCCAACGTCACGGTCCTTAAACTTGACGCGGGCACTATTGTTCTGGACGAACTTGGCGAGGCGCTCGCAGTCGACCTTGCGGGGGATGTTGGACTCGGACCAGGAGGATGTCAGCCAGGTGGGCTTGCAGTAGGGGCCCTCCATGTCGCCGCCGGTGGTGAGCAGGAAGCGCTTGGCGAGGGTGGTGTCGCTGGCCGTGGTGTTGGCGAGGGTGCTGTTGCTGGCCGTGACGTTGGCGAGGGCGCCCAGGTTGGTGTCGATGGGGATTCTGTCGTTCATGATGTAGGCGGACGTGTCCTTGGGGATCATGTCGGCCGTCTTGACGACGAGAGGGCCCAGGGCCTTGGCGTCACGAATGTCGAGGGCGTTGTCGCCGGCCAGGGACTCGGTGGCGGCGCGCTCCTGGAGACGCCAGAACATGGGAGCCCAGCCAAGCTCGCCGTCGACAACGGCGCAGTCAGCTTCACTAGAGGCGGAGAGGCGGCCATCGACAGTCCAGGCGCGGCGGTTGAGCGCGCTCTCGAGGAAGCGCGTGACATCGGCGTTGCTGAAGACGACGTCGCGGTTGAAGGTCTGGCTGCGGAAGGCACAGGTTCCGACCCAGAAAACCTCGGCCCAGCGAGCAAGGTCGGCGTCGTGGTCCTCGAAGTAGACCAGGGCGTTGTGGGCCTTGACGTAGTCGTGGAGAGCCTGGCAGTCGTCGCGACGAGGCATGCCGGCGCCGGCTCTCTTGGTGGCGCGGATGGTGCAGAGCTCGGCGTAGCCCTTGGCGGGCTCGATCTTGATGTGCTTGGCGAGGGCCGGGGAAGACTTGTTGCGCATGTCCTCGACCATGGCGAAGCCCTTGCCGATGTTGAGGATCACGTCAGAGCCATTGGATGCCTTGAACGTGATCTCGCTGGCGGCGACGGGGGCCTGGTGGGAAGCACTGGCGACGTCGACGGGGATGACGACTGCACCGGCTTGGGCGGCCAGAACCGCGATGGGAGCGAGAGCTTTGCGCATCGCGAGATTGGGGAATGGTGATGCTTGGAGTGAATTGACTTGGAGGAAGCAACGAGAGGAGGAGATCCCGAAGGAGAAGAGACGCAAAGAGCGCGAATCGCAGCAAGTAGAGGCGTGATTGGGATGAAAATTTCCTTCCAAGGAGACGCGAGGCCCTGAGCTTGGTGTGGAAGAAAATTGAGAGTGGTGTGGGAGGAGGAGAAATTTTTGCTGTGTGGCCTTGGGAAAGATGAAAGGTGAAAGGTGAAGGTGAATCGGGGCTGAGGGGGGTGGTTTGAGGGACGCAGGGCGGCACCACCACAACACAATATTCGCTTCTTTTTGGCTGTGAAAGCGGAAAGATCGCCAGGAAGCGTATTAAAACTTTTCCGAGGAATCTCAGGAGGGAAGTCAGGCAGATGAAGACTCGAAGGGCCAGGCTGAGCTATGTTGAGTTCGTTTTCAGGGGCTGCCAAGACCTGAGGCGAGGCAAGGTGAGAAGCAAGGTGAGATGCGTCGATGTTAGGAAGCCACAACTGGAAGAGATTTTACCACTTCCTTCTGAATTCAGCTGGAGGTTTCACCTTGCTGCATGAAAACTCTGAATATTGAGTATCAGTATCCTGGGCGTGGGCGTGGGTGGTGACGCGGGTCCTAGGGTTCATCCCGTGCGGCTGGTGATGGTTGCATGCTGGTGCGGCTTGGTGGTGATGAGGTATGGGTCCGCTTGACGACTCAGCGTTCAGTTGATCACATGGCAGAAAGGGATGTGCGTGCTACGCATGGTCACTTGGGACCAGCAGCAAGGAGGCGCAAAATAAGCCGGCAAAAGGATGTGAACAAGTTGGATGTGCGAGGTACAAAGCCACCCATGGATACTTATGCATCCAAGACTAAGTCAATCAGACTCCTGGATTCATGGATCAAAGCTGAGGCCTGCATCAGAAGAAGAGTTAGTGTTCACGCAAAGTGAGAATTGGAGCTGAGTCTGCCAGCTAATGAGTTGAGTATAGAAGTCGAGATACTCATCACATTAGATCTGTAGGCATGAAATTGAAAACATATAAAATTGGACAGGGCCTTTTAGACTTCCACAGCCAACAAAAGTCTGACAAGGAGTCAAAGATGATATCAAAGAAAACAGAATTGCAAAAGATATCGTTCGTTGTACAACTCCAAACTCTTCAATTCAAACAAAGGACTACTCTCTCAGGGCCTACTCTAATTGCAACGTTTCTTCCAGTTTGACATCCCCTGCAGAGAAGCCTACCATAAAGTGATATAGGCCCTCCACGAACCTTTCGCCGCGTATTTTCTGGTCCCAGATCTTCAGATCATTCTTGGAAACAACCAATTCCACATCTTTACTGCTGCCAGCTGGGACCTCCACCTTGGCGAAAGCCTTCAACAGCTTGGGCGGCTCCTTTGCCTCGTCAGGATATCCAACATACAGCTGCACAACCTCTTGTGCGTCCATCGCACCTTCGTTGGTCAATGTGACTGTAGAGATGACGGTGCTCTCATTGCTAGAAATCTTGAGACCGCTCAGGCTGAAGTTGGAGTATGTCAAGCCGTGTCCAAACGGGAAAAGGGGCTCGACACCACTCTTGTCGAAGGCCTTGTAACCGACGTACAGCCCCTCAGCGTAAGGAACATCGATGGCAGTGTTGATCTGGATGGTGTCGTTCAGCTTGGCTGGAAATGTCATCGGCAGCTTTCCGCTGGGGCTAATATCGCCGAAGAGGAGACGCTCCAGAGCCAGGCCGACTTGCTGACCGGGGTACCAGATGTCCATCACCGCCTCCACATCCTCGATCCAAGGCATGAGAATAGCAGAGTTGGTGTTCAGAACGACAACCGTCTTTTTCGACTTTCCAGCAACCCGGCTGATGAGCGTGTCTTGGTCACCTGGAAGCGTCATACCAAGCCCACTGTCAGCGCCCTCGGACAACCGATCGGAGGCAAAGATAATGCTGATATCAGCCCATTGAGCAAGCTTGTCGGCATCTGAGTCTCTTGTCTGGTTGCCAACGTCCACGCCAAGAGTGATTCCGTATCCCCCGGTCGAGAGCGAGTAGCCCATGTCGTATTTCAACGTGAGCTTGACTTCGGTTCCGGCCTTGAGATCCGCCGTGCCTTGAACGAAGTTGCCGAAATTGGCATACGACATGTTCGCGACGAGGACTTCATCCAAGTAAAGAAGGGCAGTTCCCTGGCCGTACATGGAAAAGTGGTGGGTGCCGGTCGTGTTAGGGAGGAAGGTTCCCTCATAAATGACGGAGAAGACATCTGGGTATGCCTGCCACAGCTGCGAGGGATAGCTCGCAATGGTGATGTTGGAGATGAACTCGGTCGCACTCACAGGCCCCGTGAAGTCGGTTGTTTTGTAGTAGGTCGCGTTCACGCCGCCGTCCTTGAACATTGATGACGGTATGGTGGGAAACTGCCCCGTGCCGGGATACGCTTCTGAGTACTTGACCGTGATGTTCTCCGCACTCCCACGTCGAGATAGTGCATCGAATGGTGCTTGAACAACCATGGTGGAATCAATGACAAAACCTCCGTGGTTCTCAGAGACTTGGTTTTCGGTCGTCGCACCGATGCCAAAGACAGCAATCTTGGTGTACTTCTCAGGTGATAGAGGCAATGTGCTGTCCTCGTTCTTGAGAAGCACTGCACCCTCTTCCACCATTTTCTGTGCAAGGTCCAGGTGCTCTTGTGTGCGAACATGAGCCGTCGAGTCGCCATTGACGGGGTTGTCAACCTGTCCCAATTTGAACATGTACCTCCAGAGCCTCTTGACCATATCATCAATGCGCTCTCTCGGAACAGATCCGTTGTTGACAGCTTGCACAAGCAGATCTCCATAGTATGCAGGGAAGCCATAACTGTCCGTCAAATCCCCACCAGGCATGGAGATATCCAACCCGGCCATGACGGCAGGGACCGTACTCCTCGTCGAAAAATACCAGTCCGCGACCACGAAGCCTTCAAAGCCCCATTCCTGGCGCAGCGTGGTGTTGAGAAGCCAATCATTCTCGCAGGTGAAGTCGCCGTTCAGTCGGTTGTACGAACACATCACACAAGCCGCGTCCGCCTCTTGCACACTCGCCTTGAAAGCAGGCAGATACAGCTCGTGCATCGTCCGCTCGTCGACGACCGCGTTCACCGTGACCCATTCAGGGCCCAGGCCGAACCGGTTGGTATCCTGGTTGTACGCCGCAAAATGCTTCGGACAGGCCAGCGCCCCCTGGCTCTGGATGCCCTGCGTCACCGCAACGGCCAAACGAGCAGTCAACCAGGGGTCCTCGGAGAGGGTCTCGGCCGCGCGAGCCCACAGCGGAGAGCGGAGGATGTTGATCGTCGGGGCGAGGACGATGTTGCGTCCTTTGCCCATGTGCTCTTGTGCGAGAGCCTGGCCGTAGTCGTACTGGATGGAGGTGTTCCACGACGATGCGGCCATGACAGGGGCTGGGAAGGCCGTGACGTTGTTGAGAGAGTTGCCGACTCCTGCCGGGCCATCGCCCATGCAGATGTCCGGGATGCCGAGGGTCGAGTTGCCTTGAATGTGGCCGATGCAAGCGTTGACGCCAGTTCCATTGTCGGTAAGCTTTGATGTTGTCAGTATCATGAGGAGAAGACAGCGGATGATGTAGGCTTACCTCCGTGTCGCCTTGGACCATGGCATGCTTCTGAGTGTCATTGAGCTGCGCGATGAATAACTCAAGACGCTCTTCAAATGGGAGTGTCTTGTCCAGCCATGGCTGCACAGCCAGAGAAGTTGACGCCCATGAGGCGAGTAATAGCGTTGACGAGGCCCTCATGATGCCGTCTGTGAACCGCGCAGATATTCGCAGAACGCCAGTAACTTGACAATCTGGGGGTGGACCAAAGGTGGCTCCATGGACTCGAATTCCGACTCCTGCATGAGGTTTGCATTGCATATATGGTGCCTGCTATCATCCATACGTTGTTTAATTTGACCCTGTTTGACCTCGTGATCCTTCGGACCAGGTTTGAGGGGCGGTGTGCGGGTTGGTCCCCGCGCCGGCCTCTTAGTTGCAGCTGTCACTATCGTAGAAGACCGGCCATTGCAACCCTAACATTCGGCATCGCCATGAGCATATCGGACGTCAACTCCACTGATAAACATGGAAGATAGGACTCCGGCTAAATGCGATTTGCAGTCCGCGTCCCCGGGGAACGGAGTTGATGCGTTGCTCGCATGGGGATCCTGGCTTTCTCAAATCGGTTTTACCAGTGCTACGGCCTCGGGAACATCATCGGCAAGATTGGGGTTTCCATAGCCAAAGATTGAGTGCTATTATCCAGTATCTCAAATAGAAGACGGGGTAAAATGAAGTTAATTAGTCAAAGCTGTCCAGGCTACGCTGCTCAGGCTTGGGCTACAGAGTCTAGCGATATTCTCCACCGCAGTCGCCCATGTCCTCAAACATCTCCATCCTCTTGCTTCTCTTCAAAATCTGTTCAATCGAGGTTCGATCATCTTCATCCAGAGACCAGCCGAGCGCAGCCGTGTTCTCGTCCGCATGCTCACTAATACCCATACGAGCACCCACAATGACGGCGCCGACGTAGGGGAAGTCCAGTACCCAGCGAATCGCGACCGTAGATAGACTCACACCGTGCTTGGAGCTCACCAATTCCAACGTGCGCAGAAGCTCTTGGAATAGCTCCCATCCACCCCAGCTTTTGATCATGGCGTAGTACTTGCGTTGGCTTGGGGTGATCGTCTCGGCGTAAAGATCAGGTTCGTCTTTACCAAGCCACTTCTCGGCAAGGAAACCGCCACACTGTAATTGGACAATTAGCGCCCATTTGGTGAAGAGTGATGTACTTATCCCAGTAAGACTCACCAAAGTCCCGTATGTGAGAAGCTTTACATTGTGCTTCTCACACACCTCGGCCATACGCACGACTGGCCTGGAATCAATAAGGGAGAACTAAGAGCACATTAGCTCACTAAACATCGTTGACTGGAGATTGGGCTTCATTACCTGGACCTGATTTGAATGAATCTTGATATTATGAGAAAGAATATTCCCCATGTGGTGCGTATCAAAGTTGCAAAGACCCAAAGTACCAACTCGTGGATCTTCCGCCAAGAACTGCAATGCCTCGATGTATTGAGGGTCCTCGTACTGTGTATTGGTCAGGCGTTGGACTTCGATAACATGCTCATGACGGGTTTAGACTCACGAATTGCCAGTGGAATTGCAGCAAGTCAATCCTGTCCGTCTGCAGTCGCCTGCATCTCTCGGATACGTTGGCCTTAACAGCCTCACGAGTGACGGTCATGGGGTTGAACACGCAGTACTTGGTGCCGGCGAATGTCGTCCCCTTAACAGGATACGAAGAGTTGAAACGTCCCTGGAAATAATGTTCAGCTTTTCGATTTGATCAAAGACTCTCGAGTCAACTCACAAAGACGATTTCCGCATCGCCGTAGTGATCGGCCATGTCGAAAGCAACCAATCCAGAGCTGACGTATTGGGAGAACTGGGCAATGATTTTGGAAGCTGGTGCTGAACCCCACGATGGGCTCGACATTTGCCAGAGACCCGAGAAGATTCTGGGGAGTCCGCGCCCGTTCATCTCGAAGGTCTCCTTGGCTTCGGGAAGAGCGACCTGCAGGTTGTTGTCTGGCGTGTTGATGTCATCGAAGGCTGGGATCGGGACTTCCAGGAGGATGCAAGTCGCCGTCAATGCCCGTGTGTAAGGATAATCGAGACCTTTCTCGTTTGTGGTTGCCTTACAGTCAAGCAGGGCTTGGTGTAGGCTGTCCAGGAGTTTCCGCTCCTCGTCCAGAAGTTTAGAGCGCCCAGCTGAGAGCAGGGTCTTTTCTATCGCAGTTATCAGCTGCACAACATCTCCGTCGATGGATGCTAGAAACTCTTCCGTGCTCGTCCCTTGGCTGAGGAGTAGATCGACACCCTGCATAGTCAAGTTGCCCATGAGGGTGATGCTCTCGTGACTGAGGCCGCATCCCATCATGCACCGAATTGTCTTCTGAGTCGCTTTCAATGACGACGTATCCAGACCTCTAGACTGAGCCTGGATTTTCGGAAGTGCCACGTCTTGAATGTAGCTTCTGGTCTCTGTTTCGAATGTGGACGTAATTTCTTGATGAGAAGCCAACAATGAGCGCATGATAACCCGCATTCCCTCAGGCGTCATATTCGTAATGATGCTGTCGGTCATCATGTTGACATGGGCCGTCTTGACCCTGCGGGCCCCTGAGCCTGCTGCCATATCGACGGTCAAAGTTGGTAGTGAATTGTCCAAGGAAACGATACGATAGTCGATGCAGTGCCCGGCGTCACGATATTGCCAAATGGCGTCGTACAAACACAATCTCGACTCAGATGCAAGTGTTGTCGTCACAGCGCGGGAATAAGCCAATGTCGTTAAGGACTCCCGTCGCCGGCGTTCAAACCGGCCTGTGGAATGCCGGCGAGAGCTTGTTATCGGAGTTGGCAGGGAGCCAGTGGGAAGCGGGGAAGCGGAGGGGACGTTTTGGGAGTAGCGCCGATAAGTTATCATGAGACATGACCGCGGGGACCCTGTGTTGAAGAGCCGACGAGATACCGCGGGTGGGGTTTTCCGAAATTGGACCGGGCTTCATCTGATCAATAAGACACCGACGGCAGCAACTATCGCCAGGTCGTGGACCGCACAGCTCAATCCAATCAATCGACGTTGCCCGGCCGGAAAGAGACTATGGAGGCCCTCAGTGAGGCGCCGCGGGGCCCAAAGTCCGTGTAAGCTTCTCGGGTATGACACAATGCGTCAATGCGCAAATGCTGATGAGTTGATGGCCAATTCAAGTGTGAAGGCGTGCTTGCCGTGCAGAACTGTTAAGATGCGATGTGTTGTTGAGGAGAATGAGACAATATGTGCGCGTTGTTCGCGCAAGTCGCTCAATTGCGTTTTTCAGGATCATCGCCGAGGAAGGAAGCCCGGAACACGGTGCGTTGCGTCGTTCGAACAGTCACACCACACCAAATCATGTAGTTGACGCTCAATTTGGGGTTACAGGATTGCGAAGAGACACAGCGCCTCATCGAGGCACCTCGCCAGTACCCCTCCACCTGAACAGACGAGTTCAACTGAACAACCGTATGATGACTCTACTGCAGCGACAGCAGTTCAAAAAAGTCCCGACTGGGATAACGGTACGCTCCAACCAGCCGGTATATTCAAGAGTCAAACTACAAGAAGGGGGTTTTGTCTGGGAAGCATCTTGAACGCGTCGGATATAACAATACCAGAGACTAGAGAAGACGATCCGGCAATTCCTTCTGATGATCCTATCCAACTTGGCTTGGTCAATCTGTCCATTGCTTCGTCCCTGTTTGAGAAGTAGTGGCTCCATTTAGACCTGTGAAACCTCTCACTGACAATACATACAGTTTCATGGTCACTCTTAACCCATATATCAGCCAGCTAGATCCGCATCTACACAGTTTCAGTCGCGTGAGGAAGAAATCTGCTTTTCTTCTGACTGTCATACTTGCCGCGGCAGCCAAGGCTTTCAATCCTGCTCTCAACAAGAAGCTCCGGGATCATGCAGAGGATATGCTTGCCGACAGTTTTCGTAGAGGCTCGAAGTCGATCGAGACGGCTCAAGCAATCATGATCATGACTTACTGGAAAGACCCCGAAGATACGCGTGCGTGGATGTACTTGGGATACATCATCAGAATGGGAATGGAGTTGGGCTGGCACCGGCTTGCCCCGTATAGCCTCAAAACTTCCGATATCGGGACTGATCACGAAATTCGGGAAGCGAGAAATATTGAGAGAACATGGCTTGTCCTGTTCGTATATGACCGGAGGTGAGTGTGCTAGCTAGAGCGGTGGACAACGCGACAACTGACCAACTTCTACCAGCATGAGTCTACAAACTGGAAAGCCGTGGATGATTGAGAGGAGTGGGTTCATTGAGTCTGTGGAGGCGTGGTGCAAAGACCCTACGGCTATCTCAAATGATCGTCTCCTCGGTGCTTTAGTTACCCTGCGACTTCTTAGTTCAGAAGTCTTTCGCTTACTGGGTTCGAGATCAAATAGGGCTCGTGCAGGCCAGCTCCATACGCTCGAGTCCCTTCTCGCCATCATCAACGGGAGAATAGAAGAATGGGAGGGAAGATGGCTAAAGCTGGCCGATCAAGGTCAGATGGGCCACAATAACTCCAGGGCTTGAGTGCCGCTAACATTTCCACACAGACAGCTGTCATCCTTTCTTGATCCAATTCTACGGGACCCATCTCCGGCTACAGCTCTTCTCGTTACCCCTGCAAGAGACTCTAGACCAGCCGGATGAAGGATCCTCACACCGCATGGAAGCGCTATGGGTCAGCTACTCGAGCGCCTTGGAAATGCTGCATCTCATATGCCGTCATTCATCTTGGCTGTATTTTGCCCAAGATTCGGTTCATGTGATGACAGCGTACAGCGCCGCTTTCCTAATCAAGGTACTATCATAGCTCATGCGACGAGGCACGATGCTAACAACGAGACACGCAGCTCTTGATGTCTGCGCCTGAGTCAGTAACCCGTCAAATTGAACCTGCCATTAGAAGCGCCATTTCTGGCGCAGCCGTGGTGTTCTCTCAGCAGGCTGCCCCGCCAGGTTCGAGTTGTGCATTACAAGCCAAGTTTCTCGACAACATCACTACCAAATTTCCGAAAGAAAGGTCATACGTCCATGGCAGGGGACAAGATCAGAGTATTGCGGTTCAAGCAGGCGAACGTTTCACGATATCAAGCACGCAGCCAAACTGTGACGACTCGCGATGGGATTCTAGCGAGACAGCCAGTTTCATTGCACCGATAAGGGGCGCAAACATTGCTGGGACAGGGCTGACTTTCGAGTCTGCAGAAGAAGCTACTTGGGCGAGTCTCATCGCAGAAGCTGGATTCAGTGCCCAAGATGGGGTTTTCTTTGGATGAAAATAGCTGATAAGCTCAGTTGAATTTTTAAAAAAACCGCTGGTTGACTACATGTCTATTTCACCATTCGTTGTCTCCCCTACAAGCTTGAAGCCTCCTTTAACTTCATGAATTGCCCGTCAAGGGCACAGCTGTTGTCTCGGAATGACGGAAAGTTCGGATTCCCTCTCGGATGATCTTTAGCTGAGAGGGGCAACAAGGATCAGGGCAAGCAATCAAGGCGTCGCTGGTCATCCAGTCATGTTTGTGGGTGACTCTTTGCTTGGCCGCGAGAAGTGGCAGTACGGATGCTGTACCCATCATTATTCACTGCACTACCATCCCCCATTCTCTGGAAACTAGACTTACCTAAGCTGTATATGCTGATTCCTTGGTCCGGAGGCAGATACAACATCTCGCCTTTCAGGGTGAAATGGTCGCCCTCCTTTGCCCCACACATGATTCGCTTGCCTGGCGGACAAACAACTTCGACCCGAAGGTCAAAGAGTTGGAACTCATCGGGTGCCGCTGATTCAGATGTCATTGCTTGCTTTTGGCGAGATTCAACAAAAAGCTAGCTAACAAAGCATTCGACAACAACTCTCTGCGCGTCGTCTTATCTAAGGGGCCAATTTGCCGATGGCAAGTCCCTGCAAATCGTGCCCCGCGGTGTCGGCCGGCGTTCTAAAAGACCAATCGAGCCCCGCACCGGCGTCCTAAAAGTCGGTAAACCCCCGACTATCTTGATAGGCCGTGGATACTAGCAGATAAGTTCGTCCGGTGATCCCCAATGCAGCAGTCCCCTGGCCCGGTAGCAACGCCATGCCGGTTGTTTAACTCAGGGTCAAAGACACAACTGCGGATATAACATGGCTAACCACGCCTGACCCGCTGCCGGGTCGCATGGTTAACAGTGCATGCTGTGCATTCGAGCGAAACACAACTCATCTCATAGTGAGCCCCAAAATTCAAAGTCTGTGGCTTCGAAATCACCTCGTATGCAATGGAGGGGAAAGAGAAGTACGATGCAGCGTCAGACACGGCCCCGGTGCCAGACGTGGACGGTGGGCAGAATGTGTCTGTGTCAGACGCAGAGGGCGGGATTAAGCGCGACTTGAGCTCCCGGCATATCAATATGATTGCGATTGCAGGAATGATCGTGAGTTGTTGGTGTTCTGTTAAAGCTTTGGCTATTTTGCTGACATTTAACGCAAGGGAACTGGTCTATTCCTCAGCTCAGGCTCGGTGATTGCAACTGCAGGACCCGCAGGTGCACTGCTAGCCTATATTGTAATGGGATTCGTTACGGCAGGCGTTTCCTACACCACGGGCGAGATCACATCTTTCATGCCGGCGACTGGCGGCTTTATCCGACATGCGACGAAGTTTGTAGAGCCAGCTCTGGGCGCTGCGACCGGATGGAACTTTTGTGAGTTGTAGAGTTCTGCAGACTTGAGAATAGCCTAACTGATGCTTCGGGATTAGGGTACACCATGGCAATTTCGGTGCCGGCTGAGATCAGTGCGGCGGCAACTCTTGTTCAATTCTGGAACACCTCAGTCAACCCAGCTGTTTGGATTACTGTCTTTCTCTTTTTCATCATCGTCGTGAACTTTGCCGGGGTCAGGCTTTATGGCGAAACTGAAGTTGTGTTTGCTTCTCTCAAGATAATGACCATCATTGGCCTCATCATCGGCGGACTAGTGATCAACCTCGGCGGCGGGCCCAATCATGAGCGTCTTGGTTTCCGTTACTGGCAAGACCCCGGAGCCTTCAACAGCTATATTGTTCCTGGCTCAGCTGGAGGCTTCCTGGCTTTCTGGAAAGTGTTGCTATCTGCTGCCTTCAGCTACGGCAACATCCAAGTTGTGGCTATTTCTGGCTCTGAGACTCGCCATCCGAGGAAGATTATTCCTGCTGCGACTAGAAAGACCTTCTTTCGAGTCTTTGTCTTCTATGTTCTCAGCATTCTCATTGTTGGGATGATTGTGTAAGTTGCTTTGTTGAGCCTCATTCGCAATCTTGAAGCTGACTGAATTGTAGTCCATCCAACGACCCTGCTCTGAGCGTCTCAACTGGCACAGCTCAACAATCCCCATTCGTCATCGCCTTCACTCGCTCTGGCGTGTCTGTCTTGCCATCGATCATCAACGCTGTCGTCTGCACATCTGCAATCAGCAGTGGATCAGCCTGCGTCTTCATTGCCTCTAGAACGCTTTATGGCCTCAGCTGCGACGGTCATGCCCCCAGGATCCTCCAACGCTGCAACCGGTTTGGAACGCCGTATGTCGCTGTGGCTTTGACATGCGTCTTATTTCCGCTTGTGTACCTGAATGTTGGAAACAACACATCCGTTGTGTTTGGTTGGTTCGTGAACATCACAACAGTCGCTGGTCTTATTGGCTGGATTGTAATCGAGGTCACCTACCTCCGATTCTATGCAGGACTGAAGGCACAAGGATATTCTCGGAAAGGTAAGACCCCAGTACCGCATCAATCTCCGAGACCATTCGCTGACGTTCCGATCGCAGATCTCCCCTATCGAAGCCCTGGCCAGCCTTACGTGTCATGGGTCACGCTAGTTGTTGTTGTTCTGGTTGTCTTCTTCTCCGGCTTTGACGTCTTCACCACCGGAAATTTCACGGCCTCCGGATTTCTGACCTGTTATCTGAACGTCTTCATCTTTGCTGGTAAAACGTTTCCCATTGCCTACTGTTATTTGTCAGCGAGCTAATCAGTGTGCAGCGTTGTACGTGTTCTTTAAGTTTTACCTCAAGTCTCGGGTCATCTCACCTTCCCAAATGGATTTCGAGACGGAGTTTGCATCGATCCGACAAGAGAAAGCGGAGTCGGAAGTATTTGACACGAGGGAAACCGGACTTAAGTCGTCATTTCGCAAACTCATTCACTCCGTTTAGACATTCTTCAGCAGTTGAGAGTCAGCGGAATTAAGATAAGGTTTCATCAGTTGCCTTGCTTCATGTATGCCAAGTCTCCCTCTGCAACGTCTCGTGATAAGCCCTTGCCTACGTGATTGGAGGACCTTCCAGTTTCCTCCTTGGACAGCTCGATCGGCCAGGAAATAGCCATTTTGAAGAATTGCGTACAACATCGGTAAGGGGCCAAGACTGATGAAACATGCGCCGTGAAATCTGGCAATGCACTCGCCAACTCGGCTTAATTGTCGCTTAAGTCGCTTGATCGTGAACCCGTATGGTCTGACGTTGATTTCATTGACGTGTCCGGACCCAAGGAACTGTCGCCGCGTGTTCTCAGACATTGTCGTCTGAACCAGTCTCAGTTCCACGAGGTGTTCGTCTCACTTAGCGCGTGGGGGCCTTTGGAACGGGACCTTTCCTCCGATTATTGACCATCTCCATCTCATGTATGTAAGAGGGTACTTTTCGCCCGGCGGGCTGGCCTCACCCGCGGACGCCGCCCACCTGCGTGTACCCCGCATCGCCAGAGCAACATGAAATGATGGCCAACCACTAGTGTCAGATCCTAGCCAGGGGTCCTTAGGCGGGTGCTCCCGGGTCGTCGCGTGGCGACAGCTCGGAGGGCTGGCTGTCAGCATCGGGATCTCTGCCTGTGCTTCCAGTTGGGGGGCTGCAAGATTGACTTTGGTCCGTGACAACGTGGCTCACGACCGTGCGATGATGATGACTTCTCTATCCTCACTTCTCTGTTTCGTTGTCTTCTTCAAGAGAGATCAATTGTCTTCCCCGGTTGCCAAGAAGATCCGAGAGCTCACTGAATTGAGACATCGTGCGTTCCTTGCCTGTGATCTGGTCCAATGAATAAGCAATTATATCTCAAGATGGGCATCTGCCGGGCTTGGCGGTATTAGTGTCGGATAAAAGGCCAACAAGGTGGGATCGCAACTCGCGTCGCCTTCTACCATTCAAAGCACGTAAGTAATCTGCCGAGAGCGGGGGGTTGGACTTTGCCCAGGCCAACTGTCTGGATACACGTATCTGGCTAAACTTGGATATTGCAATAGGGACGATAGTTTCTTCTTCGCTCTTTTTGGGGCTGGCTGAGACCACGATGCGGCTTTTTGTGGAAGTGATAAGAGCCAAGAAAAATGGTGCAATCCTACGCCCTGCATGCGACGGATCGTATCCGATTGAGTATAGTGAGACACGAAACGGAGCCAAAAGATGCGCGGTCGCGGCGCGAAGTTGCCATCGCCTACAGGGCAAGCTATTTGGTCGAGTTCCCACTTTTGATACGGAGTAGGCGCCGAAGGAGCTCTGTTCCTCTCTGGAAATGGCCAAGAGAGCTCCTCCAAGCTGCGAGGAAGCTGTCATGGCCTATTGTTTTCAGCGTTAGTCTGGCCGGCGCAGCCACACATGTGATATGGGGACAGGTGCCGATTGGACCGAGACCCCGCACGACTGCATGAAACTCTAGTGTAGGTCTCACTCTATGGAGACAGTGTTAATCTACAACAATGTGGAAGGAGGATAAGACATGATGAGATGTGGGCGGGTATGTTTACGCCGTGGCAGCGTTGGCTGATCGTGAGGGGCAAATGCTGTGCCAGTAGCGCGCCTATGCAAGAGCTCTCGTATCCAGGGTCTAGTCCTCTTGGGCGAGAGCTTATAAAAAGGAGGGGTCGGGAGCTCTCACAAGAACTTGAACGCGAAAGAGCTTTTGTCCATCTTCAAAGCTGTTCTCACTGACTCCAGCGCTCCACGGAATATCCCCATCTTTCAACTCCATCTCCTCTTAAGGTTATCTCAACATACATCATGGGTGTCTCCACCGAAGTCCCGCAGACCGTCGAGTGGGCGGGGAAGCGCGTCCCCATCTACCCCATGGAGACCGTCGACTTCGGACGAGTCCTTTCCCAGGAGCCCGCTGAGCTCGAAAACCTGCTCCGATGCTGTCGCGAGTCCGGCTTCTTCTACCTGGACCTCGACAGCCTCGATGGCCAGAGATTCCTCGATGACCAGCACCAGACGCTGAAGATGATGCACCGCTACTTCGACCACCCCATTGAGGAGAAGAACGAGCTCGGCCTCGTCACCGCACACCTTGGGTAAGTCGCATATGCTCAACCCGCAAACGATAACCATGGTTAGACTAACAAGCCAATTAGCTACGAGGGCGTCGGCTCCCGCACCGGCGGTCTTCCCAACACCAGAGACGGATATGAGATGTTCAAGGTGAGATCGGCATCATCCCCGCTCCGCCACTTACGCAAGTCACTTACATACCCCAAAGGTCTCCAGAGACGAGATCCAGCGCAAGGACCCCAAGTTCCCCGCCATCCTCAAGAACGACACCGACAAGCGCGTCCTCCGCAATGCCATCTCCGGCTCCAACATCGTCACCAAGGCGATCCTCTCCGGTCTCTCCTCCGCGATGGGCCTCACCGGCGCCTCCCGCTACGAGAACGCCCACCGCAACGACCGCCCCTCCACCTCCACCCTGGCCATGATGCACTACGTCCCGGCCGACCCTCTCAAGGACAAGGAGATCGGCCACCAGAAGCACACCGATATCTCCTCCCTGACCCTCCTCTTCGCCGAGGAGTGGGGCCTGCAGATCCGCCCTCCCGGAACCAAGGAGTTCGGCTTCGTCGCCCCCAAGCCCGGCTGCGCCATCATCAACGTCGGCGACTCGCTGCGCTTTGCTAGTGGCCACACCTTCATGTCCTGCATCCACCGTGTCGTGCCCTTCCGCCCGGATGAGCACCGCTACTCCATTGCTTACTTCCTCCGTGCCGAGAACGACACCATGTTCAAGGACAGCGAGGGCCGCTACATCACTGCTGGCCAGTGGCACGACGAGAAGTTCTTCCTGTTCAAGGCAACCCCTGATATCCAGGCTCTTGCCCCGCCGTCTATGCTGTACGGTGGCATGTCTGCCGATGAGGAGTGGACCCCGTACTCCCAGCCTGAGCTGGCCAAGGCGAAGGTTGAGGACGTCCAGAAGGAGCCCTTGGTGAAGGAGGCCCTGGTCGAGGCTCACTAAGCAAAGCATTCACAAATGAGGGGCATTGAAACTGGACCTTTTCTTGGCCTTAAACAATACAAATAGTCAAATGAATACACGCACATTGTTTGTGTAAAAACATCATGTTCAATCATTGATTTCTTGGAAGCAAAGCTACCAGATGATGCGACCGTGACGCCAATGACCCCACACTCTTCTATGGTTTTGGACACGGCCGAGATGTACCGGAAGAACAGAGCAATCGATGTTGACGTTGCTTTACGATTGACCAAAGCGCCCCAGTGACAGCGGCTCAGAACAATAGGCATTCAGTCCATACACATACACGTTCGATCCTCGATCACTGACGAAACGAGGATTTCTCGACCCCTCCTCCAACATGCCGAACTCCGCTCAACTGGCCTGGATTCTCTTAGCTCACTTAGTCTAGCTGTAGGCGAGCTCTTCCGTCACCAACATCCCTGTCTTCCAGGGGGTCCAGCCCCTCAAGGTGCTCGTATCGAACACCATCCCGCTGAAATAAACATGCCCGTCCCTCGACCTTTCAGTGGCCCTGTCGTCCACATCGAACTGTCCGATCAGACGAATCTGCCATCGAATCAGCAGCCCATGTACGCCGGAAAGAATGAGCTTCCTCCCTATAGCGCCATTGGCGAAAACCCCGCCGCCAGCTCTGTGAGGGGTTCGAAATCCCGTCTCCAATTACCCCGCAGGTCGCGATTCCTGCGCGTGTTTGGCCTAGCTTGCCTCGCGTTCATCGTCTACGCGCAATGGCGGCAAATATCACCCATTGGACGGTCTTCAATCTCAGAATCCAACTTGCATGGCCTCTCAGTCGCGCAACTCAAAGACGATCTTGGAACATGCGCCAAACTGCACCACAAACCGGTGGATCCCACCGGGTACGGGCGGGCAAGGAACTCCCGATATGTTGACGGCCACCGGCCCACCCTCATCAGGAACGCGACGGTTTGGACCGGGGAGCCGGTCAAGGAGAAAGCGAACTTCAGCTGGATACAAGCAGATGTCTTTGTCGAATTTGGTCTCATCAAGAACGTCGCTGAAACGATTTCGGTGAAAGAATTGCCTGAGGATGTTTTGGTTTACGACGCTAAAGGCCGCCCCCTCACTGCCGGCATCATCGATATGCACAGCCATGCCGCTGTACACTCTCTACCGACCATACACGGCAATGAGGATGTCAGCGAACTTTCGAAGGACATCACGCCCTATGTCAGGATAATTGACGGCATCCAGCCGACGGATCATCAGCTTCAGGTCATCAAGTCCGGGGGCGTGACGACGTCACTGATCCTCCCTGGCTCCAGCAACAACATCGGTGGAGAGGCCTTCCCAATCAAGCATGCTGTCGGACAACAGGATGGGCGAAACGAAACAAGTGTTACCGATATGTTGGCAGACCCGGATCGGACGTGGCGGTACATCAAGATGGCCTGCGGTGAAAACGCTAAGCAGATCCACGGGAAAGTTGGCGAGCGTGGTCCGTACAGTCGCCTGGGCGAAAGCTGGGAGCTTCGCCAAGCTTTTGAGCACGCCACGAAGTTGAAGCGCGAGCAAGATGATTGGTGCCGAAATGCTGCCCATGGGCTGGATAATGTCAAGACGTATCTCCCTTTCGAGCTCGAATGGGAAGGCTTGGTAGCTCTCTTAAGAGGGCAGGTCCACGTTCACACCCACTGTTACACCATCAACGACCTTGAAGCATTCGTTGACCATACGAATGAGTTCAAATTCCCAATCAGGGCTTTTCATCACGCTCACCAAACTCATCTTGTGCCCGACGTGAGTCCACTTTTGCATCCGTAAGATGGACTACAACTGACTTGGCTTGGTCTTACAGATACTGAAGCGGGCTTGGGGTGACGATCCACCGGCATCAGCCCTCTTCGCCGATAACATGTGGTATAAGGCCGAAGCCGCCATAGGTTCCGAATATGCTGGCAAGCATCTCTATGATGCGGGTCTCGTTCCCATCTACGTCAGCGATAACCCGGTTCTGAACGCCCAGCATGTCGTCTTCGAAGCCGCTAAAGCCTACAAATATGGACTACCATACCACGCGGCGCTTGCATCGGTGACAACGGCCCCGGCAGAGCGACTCGGTCTTGGTGAGCGCCTAGGTAAGATCAAGTCTGGCTATGACGCCGATATCGTCGTATGGGACAGCGATCCTTTGAGTGTTGGTGCGACCCCGGTTCAGGTCTGGATTGATGGCACAGCTCAGTATGAGAGTCCATTCGAACTGCAGAAGCTATTTGAAGGGACGCTTGTACCGGATGAGGATCTCGGAAATATAGGGGACGAGTCAGCTGTTATCAGCGGCGACGTGGTCTTCACTGGTATCTCAAAGGTTCTCATGTCTGTCGGAAAAGCAGGCGTTGCCGCTGATGGAGACAACTACAATGTGGCCGTCTCCAATGGCAGGATTACTTGTGTCGGAATCTGCGACCGTGAGCTCAAGACCGCGTCCAAGGTCAAGGGTGCCGTGATCGACGTCAAGAACGGGCATCTCTCACCATCCTTTACCGCCTTTGGCTCGACGTTGGGTCTGAATTATATTGAGACCGAGAGTGTCACGGACAACGGAGCGGATGGGGGTCGCTTCAGTCGCGGGGTCGACGGCCTCGCACTCGACACAGAGAAACTACATGTGGCCCATCGATACGGTGTTACAAGGGCCATCTCGGCCCCGAAGTTCGCCGGCATCGCGACCCACCACGGCACAAGTGCGGGGTTCCTGGCCGGAGCGGAGACGGTACTTGACTCTGGGGCCGTCTTTGCTCGAGATGCCGCGCTACACTACACGCTCGACCTCTCAGCTAAACGGGGAGTTGATGGAATCTCGTCTATGTCTGCAGCCGTCGGTGACCTGTGCAACAAACTCTTGAGAGCCGTGGCCTCCCTTGCGTCTGAAAAGCCCATCAACTTTGAAGAGAAGTTTTCAGAGGCTTCATTCCTTCGTGCGGTGATACAGGGAAAGATGGCTCTCGCGGTTACTGTTCATAGCGCCGATACCATCGCAGCCTTGTTGGATGTGAAGTCCTCAATTGAGGACACCATCAAAGAGGCCCATCTGGGTGACAGTCGTTTAAGACTTGTCGTTGTCGGCGGTGCGGAATCGCATCTCGTTGCCGAACAGCTAGCGTCAGCTGGCGTGGGTGTCATCCTCGCCCCGTCGCAATCTTTTGCAGTTTCGTGGGATCAACGAAGGGCCCTTACAGGAGCACCTCTGACCAACGGGACGGCGATCGATGTTCTCGTCAACGCGGGGGTACTGACGGCCATCGGCCTCGAGGAAGATTGGCTCATTCGGGACTTAGGACTTCTCGCCGGGGTTGCATACGCCAATGGGGGACACAGGATAAGTGAGACGGCGGCACTTGATCTGATCAGCCGCAACATTTATGACATGCTAGGCTTGGCAGACGAGGAACGAGACCATTTCATGATATCATCGGGCCATCCACTTGAGATTGGTTCCAGAGTAAAAGCTGTTGGAAACGGACAAAGTTGTTGGCGTGTATGAGTATGAAGGTCATCTATTCTGCTTTACGAATATTTTTCATTCACAAAATCCCGTTGCATTCCTGGATACACGGCTGCTGCAGAACCGCACCTCGTCCTCTGCTCTCAGGTCGAACTCGTGTTACGGGCTTTGAGACGTGCTCCGACGTGGCCCGAAGGATGCAGAGTTCCCAGGCCAAAGGTTCTCAAGCTCATACCCGTCTCTCCACGCACCGCCTTATCAGAAGTGATCTCACAATCATATAAGGTAATGAAATGAGCAACGCATCCTATCAGAATGCGCTTCGCGAGGAATCGTCCTGGGCACATGTGCGCTCCGCCTCCGAATGGCAGCCACGATCCCGACTTGCCGTTGATGCTGTAGACAAACTCTCCGCTACTAGTCTTCTCAGGCAAGAGGAACCTCCCTGGCCAAAACTCCTCGGGCGGGTGGCTTCTGGCAGCCCCAGTGCACCAAACAGATGGGTTCATGTGCTCAGTAGTCGAGTTGACGAAGAATAGCCGATGCCCGGGAACAAGGGAACCCCGCACGTTCACTCCATCGACAGGTGTTTTGCGAGGGATGATACCGTGGACTCTCAGGCGAAGGGTCTCGGCAAAGACGGCTTGCAAGAACGGCTTCTTCAAGAGTTTCTCCATGTCGAAACGAGGTCCGCCATCGACATCCGCGATGCGACAGTCTGCCACCTCTTCTTTCACTACACGCATAAGCTCTGGATCGCGGCATATCTCCAGGATGGCCCAGAAAGCGGCCGGTGAGGAGTTTGCTGTGCCTCTGCGAAATAGTCAGTGTCACGAAATTTGGTATGAGAAGGGACACGGGAGACTTGTACATACCCCCAGAGAAGCCCCAGGTTGTGAGCTGCGATAGAAGAGAAAGGAAATCGGTCGACATCGATGTACATGGCTGTACGATCGCGGAAGAACGCGTGGCCCCAGTAAGGATCGAATCCGTCTTCTGAGATGGTGTCGGGGTGGAAGTTCGCAACTGCCCACTCGTTCCATTCTTGAACAGCACGGAGGCACCTATCTCGAGCTTGGTATATGCGACTCATGAGGAAGTTAGGAAGGCGAAGAAACAGAAGGGTAATGTTGTCGTGGACGTATTGCCAGTCCTCCAAAAACATGGGGTTCTCCTTCAGCAAGTAAGGCCCACATAGAGTGTCGATGAAAGACCGCACAATCTCCATGTCCAACGACTCCTTCAGATCATGGAGCTCGTGTTCCGTGTTGCCCGCGGCCAGGTTTCGCATGTTCTTTGCCAACGCTTCGTCGAAACGGTCATTGAAACCCTTGGTCCCTGGACCAGAGAGGAGGTTGCTGATGTGGTGATGACTGCGAGCTCCGAAGTCATTGCGGACCTCTTCTTCACCATGCTTGGATGGGCCATCTTCTTTTGCCTCTTCTTCTTCTGTCCAGAAGAGGCCGAGGTCTTTCTTAGGCAACAGAAAGACGCGATGGACGAAGATGCCCTGGAAGAAGAATGTCGAGAGGGACTTGTTCTGGAAGGTGCTTCGGATGTTGCTTGCACCTTGAACGATGTAGCAGCTGAAGTTGAACCACTTGATTTGAAGTGGTGAGGCTCGATGAAAGAGGTCGCTGAACATCAGAAGGATTAGCCTTGCCTACTATTGATGGGCCTCTACACAAGTGAAAGGCACATACGACACGGTGAGGAACTTCAGGACGTCGAAGACCCCTCTCAAGTGAGACCAAGTAAGAGGAATGAGGCTCGATCCCTTTGCAGGCTTCTTGCCAGAGCTGATGTGTGGTCGGAATGGGATATTGGGAAACGCGTATGGCAGAAGGAGGAAGATGAACGAGATTGCAACTATGGTCAAAGCCTTATTTGACTCGACCGGGGGCAGAAACCCACCAAGTGTGGTCGAGTTCTGGGCGATGATGGGCAGCCCAGTCCCTCCAGGCGCCACTGAAGCCATAACGTAAAGTTGCAAGGCCTTTCAGGGGATACCAGTTCACAGGACAGAGCGCACTTTCCCACTCCTTGCGTTCAAACATCAACCATTTCATTTTATATATACATCACATGCCGTCGCCTACCTGCGCAACTGTCGGGGCCCGATCCATCAATGAGTCCTGCGATTGCTGAAGAAAATCCTGTTCTCGTTTTGTAATGTTAACAAGGGTTCATGAATGAGGGGCACTGTATGCTGCCAAGATGTTTCGACTGCCAAGATGCCTGCAAAAAATGCTTCGTCGGGACTTGAAAGGAAGAAGCCGGCGCGGCTTTCCCACCCCGCGCGGAAGATCGTGAAGACGGGCTGGAGACAGAGCTCAATGCGGTAAGTTCTCCATCTTATCAATCAAATTTGATCTTATCAGATGGGGATCAATGTAACGGTTCCCATCATTACTCGCAATTGCTCCACAACAAAGTCTTTAGGCTCGCAGAATGGTCTCTAGTGATAGCGTCTGCGATAGCGTACCTACGTCAATGCATCTCGATTTGAGTCTGGCCCATGTCAGTTACTGCTGAAGACCATTTAATCCTCAAATGAGGTGGTATCAAGCTCATCTGGCCCGCATGGAAGCTGAAATACGCGAGTATTGACTTGTCGCTCATTGGCGGTTACTAGAAAATTTAGCCCTTGCCCTTGAAGGGCCATGCAAGGTTAATGCGCCTAAGGCTAATGTCAAGACGATCATCCGTGAAATTTTCTTGGTTTCTTGAAGCTTCATGTTAACAACAGAGTATTCTGCGTCCCGGGTGAAGGTGGAGGCCACTCGCTCAGAAGACAATGAAGTCGGAAATGTAACCCGATGTCTCAACGGAGGACTTTTGGCATCAGACTTTTCAACTTCGCATCCCGCGCATCCCGACGAGCAGAAAGTCGAAGAGGCTGGATTTACCCGTTGAAGAAGTTCGTCTTCGCTCGGATTCAACTTTCCGCTGCAAGCTGACGAAATGATGGAACTGGTGACAGCAATGGCCTGGCATAGGCTGATGTTTGCTGTCGGTGCCATCTCAGCCTTTGCCGTGATTGTCCGCTTCATATATCGAGGATATCAACAACGACGCTTCCATCGAAATTTGGTGAGTCAACAGCGTGGGCTAGAATGGTAATTGTCAAAGACTAAGATTGGTCACAGCCAGGACCGCCTCACAGCTGGTTACTCGGCCATCTCAAAGCAGTTGGTGACGTAGCTGGGATACTACCATCCAATTGTCATCCGCAAGCGTACTACACCGAGCTCGCACGGCGACACAACCTCGATGGAATTTTCTACCTCGACCTCTGGCCAATCGGCCCACCAAGCGTAATCTTGACACGGCCTGAGTTGTGCGACCAGCCTGCCATCATCAAGTGCGCTGTTCGGCACCCTGTCGCGGACGACACACTCACGCCAGTGGTTGGCCACGGTGGCATCGCAAACTCGAACGGGCCTTTGTGGAAGAAGTCGCACACCACGTTACTGCCGGCCTTCTCTTGGGCAAATATCCGCTCCCTGGCGAGCTTGATGGCTGAAGAGTGTATGCCATTTCGGAGTCTGCTGAGTAGGCTGTCTCAAACCGGGGACGGATTTTCCCTGGAAGATGTAGCAGCGAAGCTTGTCTTCGATATCATCTTTCGTATCATCTTCAACTTCCCCCTCAACGCTCAGACAGATGGAAGCCAGGACCTTGATGATCTGCGAGAGTTGATGGCATTCGCGGAAAGCCAGAGCGACCCGGCTGTCATGCTAAACCCGTTCGCCCGTTTGAAGATTTGGTGGAGAAGGAAGAAAATCTCCAAGCAGCTTGACATTTCAATGACCAGGAAAATCCGAGAACGCTTTATGGCATTGCCTCAAGACGAAATTATATCATCCCGACGAAGTGCACAGTCCATCTTGGACTTGATGCTGCGCGAGCACCTCCCGACTCCATCAGCAGCAAGCAAAGAACGACCAAATGGTTGGAATCTGTCAGAGATTGATGAGGCTGTGATTCTATCTAAGTGAGTGAGAACCTGCTGTATCGGTACAAGTACTGGCTAATTCATGGTTAGCATCAAGAATCTGCTCGTAGGGGGGCATGGAACGACAACAGACAGCATTTGTGTAAGCTCAATAAGATCCTCCAAACACTATGGAGCTCAACCTTCTCACAGCAGCCTCCCAGTTTTCCTTTATGCTTCTTTCTGAGGCACCGACGGTGGTCGAAACCATGCTTCAGGAGCACAGAGATATCCTAGGATCCGACTTTGACAGCATCGTGAGCTCCATTGCAAACAACCCAGAAAGATTGCAGACGCTGCCATACACCGAGGCTGTTATCAAAGAGATCTTGAGGCTATTTCCAATTGGATTCACGGTTAGACAGGCCGCCCCACAAGCAACGGTGAGCCATAATGGCGAGACATTCCCGATAGATAACGGCTTGATGGTTTGCATGAACGGCCATGATCTACACTACAATCCCCAGTTCTTCCCGAACCCCTCAAAATTCTCACCAGAACGGTGGCTAGGTCCCAATGAGATTCCAAGATCGCAGTTTAGAACCTTTGGGAGAGGTTTGAGGTCATGTATGGGAGAAAACCTTGCCATGAATGAGTTGAAGATCATCTTTTCGCTGATCTTGGTGGACTTTTCCTTCAAATGCTACGGGTTGGCGCCTTCTACAAAACCAACAACTTCATACACGGATTTGGATCAGACGTACGGAGATATTATCTTTCAAGAGCTAGGACTAGAGGCAAAGCCTCGAGGTGGGATGATGATGACTGTTCAAAGACGATAATAGGATTACGTTATCTGAAAAGCTGTGATTCAGAAAGCTGAAGGCCCACCGTCCAATGTATTCCGCGAATGTGAGCTTCCATTCCGTCCTTGTACTTCAGATCGTCAGCATTTCGACTGGAATCAGTGCCCCCCTAGAAACTCGACCGCTTGCAAATTAGAGTCTAACTTCGGCATACAGGGAATAGGGTCATGGCTGCTGTATAAGATGCTGGTCTCGCCAGGCTTCTACCCAAGATGATCTCCCAACTTATTGCGTCACAAACACGCTTCGCGGAAAACGCTTTTCGATCCTTGTCTTTGTCGTATCGGAGTTGGTGGGGTATTCGCCAACATTTCCGTCTGCCTCCTTCTGTAGACTTGAATCTGACAAGGCTTTGGATAATGGATGAGTAAACTGCCGACTATATCATGGTCAGTCATCTATCCATTGGCCTTTCAGCCTGTGTAACTCTCCGAGATTGCTGAAGCCTCAAGGCTTCAGCACATAACTATTATGCAGTTGCGTTTTAGTCTCGGTTAACATCACGATGCGGAAAATAAGTCTGTGGTCTCTAACCGTCAGGCGTCATACCCTACGCATTGAACATAGACCGTGCTAATGACGGTGATGGTGTGTGATATCTGACAGCCGATCCGGTCACTCCTATCTGGGCAATAGAGTTTCGATGGTCGAAAGCTTGACACGAACAAAGCGAGACTCCGATCACCATACAACGTTGTATCGAATAATCGAACACGGAGCTATTGATTGATCCTTTGGAATGGTTTCAATGTCCGCGGCTTGCTCTCCCACCGGCAAGGCGACCAATTCCCTCTCCGACGCATTGTCCATGGTGCCGCTCTCCCACCGGCCCAAAGATTTATTAGCGATTGCATGTATGAGATTCATAGTTCTTCATAGGCAATTTGGCAAACGAAAATCAAGTCGCAGAGTATGTGTTCAGCATATCGGGAATCAGAGGTCTATCCCTTAGCAACCCGGAACGTGGCGAGAAAGTGACATTTTTCGAGAAGCGGAAGAGGCTACCCAAGGACCCATGAACGCCCTTACCTTAACGATGGGTAGAACAAGACGAGCGAGCGCGCTGTAATTGAAGCACATAAAATCAAGGTCTTAGGAATTAGGCATCTTTCTGGAGCATCAAGCATGCAATTCAACTCGAGGGTGAGGTGGTGTTTTGACGTCACGGAAGGCTATTTATCAGTCAGCTATTATCCCACTCGGCCTCCCACCCGATGAATTATCATCTTAGTGGGCAATTGTTTCTAAGCATTCTGCATAGAAAGAATCGTTGAACCGGAAGGAAAAGACTGAGTATCGTCTATGGTGTGGAATCGCCGAATCCAACATATAAAAGGAGGAGGAATGGACCGGGAAATGCTTCATAGATCACACTTCTAACACGAGAAGTATCACTGAAAATATCCTGTTGAACTCATCTGGTTCTTTTACGATGGCCAAAACTTTCTTTCTTGTCTTGGCAGCCGCTATTGGACTTTTTGCAACGGTTTCATCTTTCTCTCCGGAGCCTGCTTCTCTTGTGGTCGAAAGAGCTCCTTCGAATGTTGCGCCATATGTACTTCGATACTCTACCGGAGATGCTTATCAAATTGGCGCCGACATTTACAGGGTCCTGGTGACAGAGCAGTCTTCGGGTGGCGCTTTCACCTTGTTTACGGAAAGCGGAAGGGAGAATCTCCAGATAACCACGCACCGCCACCAACGCTACTACGAAACCTTCTTCGCAATCCGCGGAGGCATGACGATGTGGATCAATGAAGAGACGCGCGCGCTACAGGCATCGGACTTCGCTACTGTCCCTCAGAACCAAAACCACTCTTTCCAGTTCACTGAGCCCGATACCTTGATGGCGAGCTTCATAGCACCAGGAGGGTTTGAAAAATGGATTTACAACGTCTCAGAACCCTTTTCGAGCGAATTCGATGCACCGTTCCCGCCGGATCAACCACTGCCTTATCCTGTGGACAAGATCATTACCGCAGCAGCTGACGGAAGCTTCGACATTACGATCGCCCCAGATGCGGCCTTGTCGCACAACATGACAAACGGTACCTCAAACCAAGGGTTGCCTTGGCATAATGGAAATAGCGATTTGCCGGGTAACCCAGATGAGCCGTACTTCGTCGCCAACAACCGGGGCCCAAAGTTCCTTCATCGTTCCGAAGGTCAGGTCATCGCGCCTCTGGTGAGCAGGAATGAAACGTCCGGAAATGCTACTATCAGTATCATCACAATCAGGAGGAGAGCGCTGGGTAGCGAAGCACCACTGCGCAAATCGAGCGGCTCACAAGTGATGTTGGTCCTAGACGGGCAGTTGATGATCTCGTTGGCAGGGCAGAACGAAAGTCTCCTTACGGGCGATGTCGTGTTCGTGCCGCCTGATACTAAGTACAGCTACTGGAGTGACGTCGCTTTCACTAGGCTATATGTTGGTGCGACATCTGGTGATGATGGATTGGCTGACCAGTTGATGAGGGATGCAGAAGACTGGGGCTTCGCGCTGTATCCATCGACTTAATATGACGTCAGCCCTGAAGAGATGCTTTGAAAGCCACGGAAGAAGTTGCTGATTACACAAGACAGATACTGAAGTTATCCTTGGTCGTTCACGTTGGTCTGGGGTCATGATGTTAGGCAAATGTAAAATGAAGTCGAGAGACATCCTGAATATTTCTAGGTATTCTTCAGCTCGACGGCTTGATTGGCATGAGTTTGATAGCACACACGCCTAAGTTTGTTCAATTGGCTACAAGTGAAGCCTCCTGTGAAGTTCCTAGTACCTCGACCCGAGTACATAGTGTTTCGTCCATTGTGCAACAACTCAGATACGATTGAGGAAGTCTTTTTTCAACCTGTCTATGACTGTGTACTGCAGAAATTTGGCGGAGTTCCTATCCTCTGGCATGTCGCGTCGCTTGCACTCATAGCATATTCAAGGTGATGTCGCATCGTCTGCGTTTGGGAGAGAGGAGAACAAAGTCAACAAGATCCATGCTGTCTGCAGGCATTTTACTGCTGAGCCTCGCCCCCCGACATTCCCGAAAAAAGATCGCCGCAGAAAGTCGAAGTTCCATCATGGCCAAGTGCTGGCCAATGCAAACCCTCGATCCGCCACTCAGAGGTATCATAGCTTGCCTTTGTCGCAATGTTACCCCCGCAGAGTCGAGAAAACGATCGGCCTTAAATCTGGAATCATGATTAACGCTAGAACACAGTCAGATGACAGGATAGTTGTACTGATGAGGTTCGTGGAATATCTCTGGGTCTCTGTGAAGGGTGTAGGCAGGGCTGTGCACCACTGTACCGGCTGGGATGTAGTGAGCTGACAGAGTAGCACCTTCCTCAGGAACAGTCCGGGGTAGAGACGATGGAACCGCTGGATATAACCGCAACGTCTCTTCTATTACGGCATTAAGAAGAGGGCAGTCGTCCAGGGTCTTGTCATTGAAGTCATCACCAAGCTGAGACACCTCATCCTCGAGTCTTCTTTGTAGTTCCTTCTGCTCCAACACCGACCAGATCAGATAGGTTAAAACTGCGGCAGTGGTATCTGACCCAGCAACCATCATGCCTGCAGCCTCTATTCGCACAGTATCATCGTTGAGCCATTGCCGTCCCTCCCTCTCGCAGTCGATGATCATTTCTTTGAACAGACTCAGGCCTGGTCTTGTCGTCTTGCCGGTAAAGCTTCTCAACCCCAACCTTTCCCGCCGCATCACACTGTTCAAGGCAGCGAGATACTGTCTGGAGCGACGATTTGGGAATCAATCGGAAGAGGAAGTGCAAAATTGGGAGCTCGCTTTTGAAGACTGCTCGAAGCAAAGCGTTCTCAATTGCTTGCATGTAAAGCGTGCTCTTGGTCTATATTAGCGGAGGTCAACGCCTGAAACGAGGGCCATCCTTGGCTTACCTTGCCCAAGCCCAGCATACCAAAGGACTGGCCAAAAGACAGAAGACTGATGATGTCCGCAGCCATCAAAGTCCACCATTTATGAGTATTAGCAGTTCCCCGCATCGCCTCATCCTTGATCTTCGACACCGCAAGTTCCACATTCTGACGGATCTCACTCTCCCAGTTTTGTCGCAGAGATGTGAGCGTAAAGGAGCGCTGAAGCAACTTCCGTCGCTCTTTCGCTTCTTGCTTGTCGGTGAGAAAGGAAAGAGAGAGCGCCGGGAGCTTATCAGCGAAATCGCCAACCCATTGCGCTTTCTCGAAACCACCACCCATCTTGTACACCCGGATGACCGAATCGAGATCGACACATGAAATCTCATTGGGAGCAACTCTGACCAGCTTTCCGTATTTTTGGTGAAGATTGTAGATATAAGTCATTCGAGTTCCGGTCAGCCGACTTGCCTTCAGTCTCCATCGACAGAACCGAGTGTGCCATGGGCCCGGGATATGGCTGAGGGGCGATCGTAGACCCGTCAAGATAGTCTGCGGGCTGTCAGTTCTGAAGCGTAATCGAAGAGATGACTCCGACCGACGTTGAAAACCATGTAGGCTGCAACTGCAACCAGGAACAGGAAACTCCCAAAGCTGATGGACAGGCTGTCCCCAATCGTCACCGAGTATCCCATTTTGGTAAGTTTTGTCGGTGTTGGACATACAGAAGCGGATTCTTATTGCGCGATGAGCAGGCGATCACGTTTTATCTCGCTTTGTGTCTGTGCCAGTAGCATTGGATGACATTGCGTGAGATCCTGTGCCCCTGAGGTGCATCTTGTTTGCCAGGAAGTTCTCAAATTGGACAGGGCTGCCCCCACGAAGTACTCAGCTGATGGAAGTCTTAGACCAACCGGGTACTCGTTTTCACAACTGTGCCTCAAAGTAAGGCTTGGGAGAACCCCTGGGTACCCGAACCATGTGGTCTAGGCCTCCGGCTGAAAGAGCAAACCTGCTGTGAGATTGGTGTTGGAACCAACGCATTTCAGCTAGGCAAATGTGAAAGCGAGAACGACACCCACCTACCAACAAACATACCGAATTTTGCCGGGGTTTCTTTCAGCCTGACTGGAAAGCTGAAGATTCCAAGGCACGCTGCACAAACTGCTTGGCTTCACCTCAACATTGAGCGCAACCAACACACATGATTTTGAAGGATAAGTATGTAGTGAGCACGTCTAGGCGGGAAGATAGAGATATGGCCTGTTAACTAGTTGATGTGGTGGAAGAGCTGATGAATTTGATCGATCAAGTGACGAGATGAGCTCCTCACGGCCGAGGATTTTGCCGACTCCTTGGAGCACTGGGGGCCCAAGCCTCCCGGCATGTCATGATAAGACAAACAGGATTGGGAGTGAAAGCTTTTATATGAGATAAGTCGCAATTACAGATGCGAGGAAGGTGAACAGCAAAAGAAGCATTGTGGCCCTTTAAACATACATCCCAAGACGTTTCAAAACCTTTGCACATGGAGCTCACGCCGCGTGGTGTCTTTAATAACCCAGAATCATTCTGGAAATCTTGAAGCTGAACATAATTCTTCAATCCTCGATCAACTCGCTTGAGAAAGGCGACCAGTGCAGCCACTGGAATGATTGGACATTGTTGGAATTTGCAACGATAAAGTGGCTCGTGTTCTGGTGCCCCTAGTCTGAAGGGTCTTGAGAGACATTGACGGCTTTGCGATTATACTTCGTCGGTAAGTGCCGTACCGAACGTGAAGGCTTGCCCGTCCGAGTTTGACTTGCGAGTTGCTGAAGTTTAAAGATTATTGAAATATGTATTATTCAGCAGCCTCGTCCGGAGATTCGATGAACACTCGGCGCCGAATTAAGTTACATGACAAACCAAATACAGCATGTCAACTTGCTCTTAGAGTTGGTGATGTCTGGATCAAACCGAACAACGGTTTCTTGTTTGTGGGGTACTGCGATTGCGAACTCAATGGGCACATGTGTTTCTTAGACCTCGGGCGAATCATGAGCTGCATGCTGCAAGGACGGTAAGAAGAAGAACTATAAAATCCGAGGGACGAAACACCCTCAACACCAACCCCGAGCCAGCTCGGAATCCGGTGGGATTCACATCGTGGGCAGTCCGGCCGGCATCGAAGCCGAGAGAGTGGTCCTTCACATGGCGGCAAAGGCGGCTGTGGGGCCGTGCTTGATCGGTGGGCGGGGAGAAGACACTCCGACGGATGGAGACCCGAAAAGCCCGAGACCCCGATGGTTGTGGACGAATGCGGTTTCACAGCTAAGATGAATGACGCACACGACGGAATGGCTGTAGCTCCCTTTTACGCGGGTAAGCTGGGTGTGCTGGCCAGAGCTCCGCGTAATAGCTCGCTCGCGAGCTGCCACTCCGGAATCACCTCATCGTAATGCGATTGATGCGAAACAACGAACGGGATTCCACCGTTTCTCTCCACGAAAGACCATCCCTTTTCATAGCCGGTGGAAACCTTGGCTATTTCTGGGTTGCATCAAGCATGTAGGGCTCCGCGCAGCCGTCTGGTGTTCCCTCCGGCTCGCCCGGGGCCAAAGGTCCCATTGGAGAACAATGGGCGGGGAGAGTTTCACGTCGCCTGCGCTGTCCGATCGCCTTGACGTCAGCTGACGATTAGACCTCTAGGTGTTGGCGTAGTCGATTCTTCTGCCTGCGGTGGTCTGGCGTGCTATGGCGTGGTGTTTCTTTGATGCCGGCGAACAAACTACTCCCTTATCTACCTTCCTGCTACCTCGCCCACCCCTAGATGCGGTTGACATCCTGCATTCCCTCTCATCAACCTTTTCCATCGAAATCAAGATAGTATTGTTATCAGGGAATTGACAAAAATAATTCAATATGAAGGCTATCGCTGCCCTATCCTGTGTGGCCGTTGCCAACGCATTTATCCTTCCCGACCCTCAGATTTTCGAGCAGGCGTCGATCCAGAATGACGAGCGCCCCTCCTGGTGGGACCGCATCCCGTCCAAGGATTCCATCATGAACACTGTCGAAGAGGGCTTCGACTCTTTGTCCTCCCAGATTGAGGGTGCCCTGCACACTCTTGAGGACACTGTCGAGAACAAGTTTGAGCATATTTTTGAGGAGGAAATCTTCAATGATGAGGGCGACACTTCCGACAAGTCCATCTTTGACCTCGTTGCCGGTAGCAAGTACACCACCACACTCGCTAAGCTCGTTAGCGATTACGACGACATCGTCGAGGTGTTGAAGAGCACCAAGGCCAACCACACTGTTTTCGCACCGACCGACCGGGCGTTTGCGAAGCTCCCCAAGGGCTTGAAGCTCAGCAAGGAGGCCATCAAGTCTATTCTGCTGTACCATGTTGGTGTTGGCGTGTACGACGCGAAGAGGGTCTTGCGCACCCACACGCTCCCCACGCTACTGAATGAACCCTGGCTCGGTGACAAGCCTCAGCGTCTTCGCACCAGCGTTGGTCTTGGCGGTGTTCGCGTCAACTTCTACAGCAAGGTTGTTGCAGTCAACATCGTAAGTAATCCGCACTCTCAATTGCTATCATAGTTTCACGTGCTGACTACTTTTACGCAGCGCGCGAACAATGGAATTATCCATGGCATCGACAGTGTCCTCCTCCCTCCTCCCCTGGTCGGCCGAGAGCTCACCCTCCTGCCCAGCCAGTTCTCAACCCTGCTCCTAGCCTACGAGAAGACCGACTTCGTCAAGTACATCCACGGTGTCAAGTCCACTGGCACCACCGTCTTCGCCCCTTCCAACAATGCCTTTGCCCGTCTCGGACCCAAGGCCAATGCCTTCCTGTTCAACAGCCCGACCGGCCTGAAGTTCCTCAAGGCTCTGTTGAAGTACCAGATTGTCGCGAACACCACCCTGTACAGCGACGCCCTTTACCGCCCTGGAAACAAGGAAGCCAATGTCATGGAGCACTACCACGTGGACCTCCCGACTTTGCTGGGCGGCAAGAACATTGCCGTCGATGTTGCTGTGTGGCGCGGCTTCAGACGCGTCAAGCTCAATGGCTACATCCCCATTGTTGTTGCTGACGGCATTGCCAAGAACGGTGTCATCCACGTCCCTGCTCGCGTCCCCATCCCCCCTCACAAGCACAAGAAGGACAGCGAGAACGGCGAGATTAGCGTCCAAGATTTGAAGGAGAGATTGGCGGAGTATGTTGACGAGGACGATAAGCAGGACGATTTTGGATGGTCTGCTGAGCTCTAAGTGAAGCACATGAAGACGGGGAATGCTGTAGCTCCGCCCCATGCATAGCACCAAGGAAATCAACAACAGCGCACGGGAAGCGCTGTGAAAATGGATCACATCACCCACAGCAAGTATGGTAAAAGTCTATCATGAACGCCAATACAAAAGCATTCTGACTCGGAATTCTCATCTTAAAATCATCAACGTCGCTATGTACATGTAGAAGAATTTAACCGGAGGCCTGCCACTTGTGAAGCTACTCAAGTCCGAAGCAGGTTCTTGCATCAACCAGTGCACAGGGCTCGGGTACATCAACCTGTTTGCCAGTGCTTCTACTCTGCGCAGTCATTAACAGTCCGAAGCGAGACAAAGGGCCACGAGTGACCCATCCAGTGGACTGCAAAATCCCTGGTTCCCGACTACAGGCACAGCCAGATACGGCCATTATCGTCTTCCCAACCTGCCGGAGCTGCTACACCGGCCACGTGAGACACAAGGGCCCCCGGACTCGTGGTAGCGCTGCTCTCAACTCATCTCGCTAACCGTCCAAAGTAATCCCCGACTTCAGCCCTACCTCCCCGACAACACAGAGTGTTCCAGCTACTTCATTGGATCCTCGGGTACGCTGACAGCGGTCAGGCTTGTAAGGCCAGGAAAGCTTGCGTCGCAGAGACCTTTGCCAATACAGGCTGCATCTCCAACGCGACATTCCAAGGTCTCAAGAACGAAAGAGATGCCACTTTGGGACTCCTTCTCACCTGCATCGGCCAACAGTTATCGGCAGTCTCCTGTCACCATTTACCATCACTGCCCATCGAACCATTTACGCCTCAAAGTGGTGCCAGCCCCTTGGACCCGCATCAACCTAGTTCAGAGCCGGCTACTGTAGCCTTTCACGCCAAAATCCAGCTCTGCCGTCCCTGAATCCGCATCGCGACTGGTGTCGCCGAGGTGGCGCATGGGCGCAGGCTTCAGCTGAGGGGGGGACGGAACGCCTCTTCCAGTTTACACCTGCTTCGATTGGCTCCCAACCTTTTTATATCCGCGCGAATGCAGGACAACATGTGAGTGGGAAGAGACGTGGCCCCAGATGCGGTCAAGCGGCCTCCCTAGAAGCCACCGAAGGCTGGACCGTGCCGGCACGGCGAGGAAACGACGAACCAGGGTTCGTGAAAGATGCGAGTCCTGGGCGGTGCTCGGCTTCTTGTCTTGGGGCAGATGCAGCAGGCTCGGAAGAAAATAGCAGCAGGCTCTGGGTCATGGAATACACTAGGACGGGAGACAATGCCCGATGGGAGGAGCATTATTGAAGCGCCGAGTGGCTCAAAAGATGCAATTCTCCCTGCGACTGCGGCGTCGGGAAACGGCTCTGGCGAGCTCTACTATTTTCCAAGATCTTTTATCCAGAGTAAATCAGTACTGGAAGACGAAGCAACGGGTCCACACCGTTGGTAACGGCCGTTGAGTCAAAATGCATCAGCCTCCGCCCGCTGATCAGTCGACCTTCGACTCGCAGGCGCGGTACAATCTTCAAGCCACGGAAGATATCGACGACGAGCAGCATTTTGTCGAGGAGGAGAAGAAGCGGACCATCCAGTTGCCTAAAAGACCAAACTACAAGCCGAAGCCGTTGCGATGGCCGTTCATTACTGTCGTTATTCTTCTGCTCGGGATCCTCATGGCTTTGGTTATTGTCGCCAGTACGACGATGCCTAATTCTGACAGCACGGCGACCATTGAACCCAGGCATATCTTAATGTACCGGCAAAATGGAACTTCAGATGGGCAGTCAACATCGACCGATCCACCGCCGTCGACGTCCCCGGCCGAAACCAACTCGACACCGGCAACGTCCTCCTCCACGGCACCTGCTGTGCCGAGTACTTCGACTGTAGCGAACCTCCCTATCAGTACCGGCCCCGACCTACCAAGAAGTTCTGGATCTCAAACTCAGGCAACATCAGAACAGCCATTACGGGCCTCGGAGTCATCCACATTGCCTAGTCGCTCTATCTTAGAGGTGTCATCTCCAGAGGTGTCATCAGAAAAACACGAAGTCGTGTCCACGTCAGATCACGCCGTGGTAGCAACTGATCAACCTACCATCACTGTGATTCCGGAGTCAAGTCCGTCTGACGAGACTGTTCGGGCGTCTTCGAAGAACCCTATTACCACTACGGCTCCGGAGCCAATGGACTCGACATCATTCTCATCGAAGACTATGGTGGAGACCACAAGCACTGCTTCTGAGACACAAACTACATCCTCTATCAATTCGAAAGACAGCATTGTATCGACAGGTCCAGAATCCAGCTCCACAACCGCCAAGACAGGAACAACAAGCAGTTCAGACAACGAGTCAAAGTCTGCGTCGTCGACAAACTCAGAACGCAGTGCTGACGCAACTTCATCAAGCACAGGCCGTCGAGGGAAAGAGGGTCCGGCCATCACCGATACGACTTCTGGATCCGAGATCACGTCGTTCACGTTAAGTACCAGCCGCGATCGGTTCAAATTGCCTGTTATCACCAGCGAATTCACAACAACCATCACCAAACCTGGTTCCACCACCACATACACCAACGAGGTCACCATCCATGTGCCTTCGACCTTCACGTCAACCGGAAAAACAACGATACCCGGAACCCAAGGCGTAACAACGTACACCGACGTCCGCACAACTAGCGTACCGCGCACCATCACAAGATCGGGCGTGACGAGCTTCGCCCACGTGACAATAATACCAGTCAAACCAACGATGACTAGTATCCAAACCATTAACGACGAGAAGACCGTATCGGAAGTCGTGGAGACCTCGTTTGAGCCCACAGAAATCACGTACACCTCGACGTCCGCTTTTACCGTGCCACCACGCACAAGCGATGTTACTTCCGTCATCGTCAGTGCCGTGCCGTCAACGGTCGCATCCGTCGTCACAAGTACAAGCCCTCCTCAGGTCTATGTGTCAGTGGGAACCACCGAGATTACCAAGTTCATCACCGCCCCAGGTGGGAACCGAGGCAACGAGCCGCAGACCCAGCCTCCAGTCTTTCAGGTCATTACCAGCGTCTACGACGGAAAGGTCGAAACATTTGTGGACAAGGGCACTCCTCAAACCATGGTGAAGAGCGATGGTGGAGTGTACACAGTCGCCTTTACGCCGCCCCTACAGACGATTGTTACACATGAGGGAGGCCAGGCGACCCAGATGGTTATCACAGTGACGCCTTCTCCAGAGGTAGCCTTCGTCGCCGTCCCAACAACGAAGGATGGTACGCCGACAGTTGTTGTAGTCCCTTCCACACTCAATCCAGCAGGGGCCGGCGCATTCAAAGAGATGGCCACCACGATTAACGGAAAGGCGACCGTCGTCGACGTTCCTGTCACTCAAGAACCAGTACTACTGGCTGTACAGACCATAATCGATGGCACACCGACCGTTCTGTGGATCAATTCTGTGCCAACAGCAGGCTTCAGTCCCATTTCATTGACCCTGGTGTCGGAGATTGGCGGCATTACCGGTGTATTCACGACGATAGATCCTCTAGAGACTACCAAGACAACGATAGACGGTAAGGAGACTACCATAATAAGGACGCCGGGACCGCGGACGTTTACATCGGTGTCGGGAGGGACTCTGACGACCATGACCATCATCACTACCCCGACCGGCACACTGCCTCTGTCCTTTACAGTAATCACGACCATTGGAGGCACCTTGAGTACTATCATATCCACCCCCACACCTACTTCGTTCACCACCTCTCTATCGGGCACATTGAGGACCATTACCTCCACGCCCAGTCCCACAACCCGCTTGTCAACCATCAAGCCCTCCACCACGCTCATCACCTCCACGACCAAACCAACAGCAACAGACAGCCCTGATCGAGTCATAACCGAAATCGAAAAGTTTGGTTTCACAAATGGTGACTACTTCGTCGGGAAGTTCCTCCCGATCATCCTTGCAGTCATGATTGCGGTTCCCCTCCGGATCATCGACCTAAACGCCAAGCTGTACCAGCCTTTCCACGCCCTCGCACAGAAAGGAGGTTCGCTGGGGAAAAGCAGCATGACCTTACAATTTGATGGCTGGAAAGGCTTCTTGACCCCCTTTGAGAGTTTGTTGCAGGGTCATCCGGTCCCTTTCATCACAACATTAATCATATTGTGCTCGTCTCTACTTACACCTCTAGCGACGGAAGCTATCGGGATGAAACTCCATGGCACATGCAAGATCACAGCAATCGAGGGCTGTGGCATCCAATTGGGTGTCTCTCCCGTATCAAGCTACGCGCTTGTAGCCCTGATCGCCTTCATCATAGTCTTGCTTCTCATCTTACTCTTCTTTCTTCGGACTTGGGAAACAGGCCTCCATGCCAACCCCTGGAGCATAGCGGGAATCTCCTCACTTGCGCGTAACGCGGACATTCGATCGCATCAAATAGACTTCAAAGCCAGCGCAAAAGCGATGAGAGAGAAGCGATATCGTTTTGGCTACTTCAAAAACACACTCGGCCGCGACGAGTACGGCATTATCTACGGTGACGACTCAGCTCAGAGTCTCCAAGGCGCAACAGCTTCCGGCGCAATTCCATCAGACGACGAACTCACTGGCGCGTACCAAAGGTATATTGCAAAGAAAAGCCGTAAACCGGTGCCTTTCATTGCACTTACGTGGTGGTGGCGACTTGGGTTCATCTTCTTCCTCGCTGCCTTATTTATCATCATATTGTACTACCATCTCACACTGGGCGTTCGGACTTCTTTCAAAGACTTCATGGACAGTCAGACGTTTGGCGTTCGGTTCTTTTTCGCGGCGTTGGGTGTTACCATTATCTTCTGCTGGGAGTCTATTTTCATCAGTGAGTTGACCCAACTAGCCTTGGGATTCCCCTGTCTAACGTTTCAAGGTATCGCAATAATCAGCCCCTACTACAACATGGGTCGTCGCTCCCAGCCCCCGGAGAAATCCATACTCTTGACTCGTCCAACGAACGGCTTCTACGGACTCTACGCGGCGATATTGGAGAGCAACATCATTCTTATGCTGGCAGCTTTCATGTCCATCCTTGCCGAATTCCTGCCGATTCTCTTCGCAAACGTGCCATACAACCTGACGCAGACTCTGAAATCCCACAATGTCTGCGCGACCATCAGCCTTACGATTCTTGCGCTCATGTTGGCCTCCATGGTGGCAAGCCTATTCATCAAATGGCCCGAGCTGCCAGTCGATCCGCGCAGTATCGCCGGAGCGTTGTACTACGTTGCAGAGAGTCGGATGCTGGAGGACTTCGAGGGACTTTCGAAGCTGGACTCTGAAGAGAGGGAGAAGAAAGTCAAGGAGCTTGGGCGGAGGTACTTTTACGGAGGCCTCACGGGTAGTAATGGTAAAAGAATGGGCGTTGAGTCAGTCGAGAGTGTTGAGGACACAGCATATACAGGCGGTCACTGGTTCTTACCTCCACAAGAAGATCAACAGGGTGATGAAGACAATCGCGGGGGGGAGGTGCAGCAATCTGAGTCTCCTCATCAACCCGAGCAGACTCTGCGGTTGGAAAGAAGGAAGGAGGTTAATCAAGGGGAGGACATCGATCGAGGAGCCGTGCTACCAGAACGCGCACGGCCTCTAGAGGCGAAGCAGGGTTCTGAAGGATTCAGTTGATGCTTCATCACGTAAGGCATTGCCGAGACCACGGAAGTAAAGCGAAACAAATGAAGTTGAGTTGTATTATTAAGAAAGTGGTGTGAAACACATCTACCATTACAGTCTGGCGGCGACTCGGGAGTATCTAAACGCAGAAAGACTTTTCGGATCTTTGGACAAAGGAAATGTTGATTAATATCATGCGCGTGAGGCTTAGCATCGAGCGTTCCCCTTGGTAACAGACTTGATGTAAGACTTCACCTTCTCATATTTGCCTCCTCGCACATTTTCGATGTGGGTAAGCACACGAGGGTAAACCTCCTCATGGGCAGTAGGACTCATCCAAGCATCAAGATGGCCGCGACCTTCGAAGACTTGCCTCTCGTAGCACATACCGCCGTTGACCTCGCCGAGGGTGGTGAAGGACTTGTCGGTGTTCTGTGGATCGTAGACTGCGTTCTCAGATCCAGAGAAGAGGAAGATGGGAAGACCCTTGAGGCGGGCAATGTTCCCCTGTGTGGTAAGTTCGACATTCCGGGAGTCAAGAACGTTCCCTGCGAGACCGCTGTCCATGAGGTGGCGAAGGCTCTTCATCGAGGTACCTCCGAGGAAGTTCTCCAACTGGGCATGGGTGGTGTCATTCAGGTGCTGGTGTGACCAAAGGCTAGCATATCGAAGTTAGCAGGTGAAAAAGTTGGAATGCGTGATCATGAATTGGGGCTCTTACCGTCCAAATACAAGAGAGCTACGATGACAAACGACAGAGTTGCAAATCTCGTCACGACGACCGACGGGGTAGAAGCGGAGCGCCTGGTTGATGACCTGCTGAATGATGCCATCCTGGGAGGAGCTCGAGCAGTCGTACCAGTTGCCCTGGAACAGACTGTAGATAGACGCCATGGAGATGGGAAGGCTGGCCTTGATCTGATTGACCTTGGCAAACATCGGGTTCATGAAGACTTGGGAGGCAGTCACGCCACTGAGCCACTGGCGCGGAATTGTGCCGTCAAGCAGACCTGAGGCGAGAGCAACAGAACCAGCGCAGTGAGCAACGACGTATGTTGTGACGGATGGTCCACTTCCGCTATCCTCGATGTGATGTCTTCGTCGAATTTCCTCGAGAGCGGCCTTGAGATCCAGTCGAGCATCGTATGTGGTCCAATTTTGCTGGGCAACGATGGTCTTGCCCACACGGTGAACCATCGAGTACACTCGGAAGCCCTTCGCACGGTAGTAGTTGACAGCATTCTTCTCGATTGTGGGCAAGGCGAAGATCTGCTGGTCAACAGCAGCACCGGGGATAAGGAACACGATGGGCGCGTCCGACTCGCCCCAGTTGCGCTTCTCATAGGGCTCGTAAAATTGAGGGCTCCAGTAGAAGAGCTTGGTTTTGACACGATCGCTCGCATGGAGTGTTATCTCCTCCGTGTATCTTGAGGGGTTCTGGTAGTTGCTGAATGGTAGGCTGGGCCATTGCATAGGAATAAACGGTGTGAGGAAAGCACTGGCTGCCTTGGCGGTGAAGTAACCGAGGAAGTTGGCAGTCGAAGCAACGCGGGAGTAGAGAGTTGAGCCGGTAGTTTCCATGGTGGTGCATTCCTGGAGGAAAGAGGTGGGACGAATGTGGATGATACCCTTGCCGAGAACGTTGTTTTCGTCTCCCATGCCACCAGTCCCAAGCTCCGTGATGGTGCAGTACAGGGTAGTAGTAGCCCTCCAGAGGTTGAGAGGGTTGAGGGTGACATCCGGATTGACGACCTTGTATCCGTTGAAGTGGAGCTTCTGGCCGTTGGGGCACGATATGGTAAAGTTGTACGTGAGGTTCGTGGTGTCAGGTGCGCGAGGGTCGTCATTGAAGAGTTGGAATTTACCGCCCTGGACCATGCAGGTTCCGCCGAGCTTGGGGCAGGTAAAGGTTCCGGTGAGAGTGGCCGGGTGCTCCTTGTCATGGACAACTATGCGAGGTCAGCTTCTGTGTTCGAGTAACTGGCGCAGGTTGACTTACGGTTGTGGGTGTTCCATGAGCGAGCGCTCAGGAAGAATCGCGCAAACTCGCCACGACCGCGAGCAGTGGCCGTCGCGTGTTCGAAAGACAAGTTGTTGATCGTCTCGTTCTTGTCACGGATATGAATCCAGCCGTCCATCATCTCAGTGAAGGCAATACCGGCAGTGTTGTCATCTCTGGCAGTCTGGATGATGTCTTGAACTCTCATCACTTGGAGAGCATCTTCACGCCGTAGGCTCTCCGGAATATGTGCGGGCTTTCCGAAGAGATTGAGAGACCCTTGTACGTGTTAGCATATCGGAAATATCATCACAAACTCGCCCAAAACTTACCATTGCGATCTTCCCTAATAGTCAAGTGCCTATCTTCGGCAATCTTCTCCATCGATCTTTCGGCGAGGGCGGTGATGGTCGCAAAAGGGTTGACCCCGAGAGCAGCAGGGACAATAGTGCCGTCGCAAACAACGAGGCCAGGGTGGACCTCTTCCCCATCACCCTTAAACAACTGGCCTTTGTCGTTGACACCACCGCCAGCACCAGTACCGTCGTTACTGATGCGTGCGCCGCCACTGGAATAATTATGTAAGCAGCTATTCAGCAAGACAAGGGCCACTAAATTTCTTACATTGCGTGGACTGTGATCTCCTTTTCTCCGAAGGCGGCATAGAATGGGCTGTCAACGTAAGTGCCCCCAATCAGGTTGGTGATCTTCTGGAGGTAACCCGCAAGCTGAGTAGCTCTCTTGGAAGTGCCGACGCCAGAGAAGTTGATCAGCGGCCTGTCATCGACCAAGTTCATTGTTGCTTGGCTGCCTGAGGAGAAAGTCAGTCCCGTCTTAATGATGAGGTGGAAGGGTTTCACTTACTGTCGTGCGACATGATCAAGTAGCACTGGGTTCTCTCAGTGCTCCCCTGTGGGTTGTAAGGTCCAAAGACGCGAGCACCCACAGCAGCAGCCAAGTGGTCGGCCTTCTGACCAAAGGAAAGATTGTGCGGGAAGACACGACCAGGGAGGTACTGAAGCATAGTCTGGTAGAACGGTGCCAAGGCGGCGGGAATGGCACCCTCTTCAATCACAAAGCCGTCGAGGGGGTTCTCTTGGTCACGGCAGTCGATGACACCCGTGATGCATGGCCCGACAGGACGGTTCGGTGGTGGGTCTGGTCGCCCCATAGAGTTGACGTACTCATTGGTGTTGTAACTGAGATTGGTCAGTAGCTGCTGTGTTCAGGCGGCCCTTTCTTATTCTTACCCGAAAGCCAAGATGTCACCGTTGCCACTCATACCCTGGCCGACGTCTTTGCTCATTTGAAGGCCAAACTTCTGGCTGCGAAGCAGAATCTCTGTGGTACCAATACTACCGGCGCCGAAGCAGACCAGTTCCTTTGCATGAACCCACATGAGGTCTTCGTAAAAGATGTCCTGGAAGTTGGCTCGCTTGCCTCCGTGCCAGGCAAAGTAAACAATGTAGCCGTCTCTGTCCGGGGCTTCAGTGACGTAACGGACCTCACACTGGCAGAACATTTCGGCACCCCAATTCCAGGCATCGCTGAGATAGTTGACCAGAGTGGTTGACTTGCTTCCGTCATTCAGACCCGTAGTGTCTTGGCCAGTGAGTGAGGATGCCTTCATCGAGACACCAGTGCTATTGTCTCCGTCGACGAACTTGGTCGTTTGAGGCACGCGGTAGAACTTATCGCCCCATCCCATGAGCTTCGCCTGCTTCTCAAGCGTCTCCAACTTGGGAAGCTTGGGGTAGTCCTCTGGGTATTGTGCCGGCTCCAAGACTTTGCGAGCCTTCTCGTAGTCTGGTACACTTTAGTCTCTTTTGAAGCAATCCACATCGTCCAAAACTTACATGGCTTGAGGTTATCGCCTCGGAGTTCCTCGGGCCAAATCGGTAGGCTCATTGTACCAGGGTCCGCCTCCAAGAAGACATTGGCATTCAGGAGACTAGTACCTCCCAGACCGTTTCCGACGAAAGCGTTCTGGCCATCACCGACAATGAGGTGGTAGAGACCGGTAGGATCGCCTCCTTCGGCAAACTTCCCAAGTCTGCCGAGTACGCCGTCCGTTGCTGCATTGGTCATATGCAGCTCTTGGGCAGCACCCGCAATTCCAGAGGGAAACTCTCCGGGCCACTTCTCTTTCCCGCGCTCTAGTAGACAGACGGTCTGTCCAGCTCGAGCCATTCGACTGGCGGCAACGGCCCCACCATAGCCGGAGCCGATGACAACAACATCGTATGAGGGCCGAATCAGCTCAACGGGGCGCGAGATGCGAGGGTACGTGCCGGTGACAGGGTCGAAGGTGTCACTGCCATCGTTGTAGCCGTACTGCGGATCTCTGAGATCATCCCGCAGCTGCGGTGTTCCGTTATGCTGCGGCTCAAAGTGGCCGTTGGTGTAGCCGTTGGAGCCGTTGACCTCCGAGTTGCCGTCCATGGTGTCTGGTGCCACGCGAGAGACTAAGACTTACTTACCGCTAAGGAACTGGCAAGCGTCCGTTGAGATGAGAACGAGTAGCCTCAAAGCAGACAGAAACCACGGATAATATCCACTTCTTATAACGGGAGTGCTGCGGGTGTCTCTCGGCCCCGGACTCTCGTCAAGATAGCCAATCACACGGGAATTCTGTTGAGAGACGATATCATAAACCGTCGCCAAGGGAACTCCATTCCCACGTTTCATTCACATGCCTCTTGTAAAGTGACTCTTAATGTTCGAGAAGTCACCGGTTCGCGGATTTCCCGAATGCGGCAGGCTGTGCTCGGCGTCAGCACGGGGGGTTCTCACAGCCATCCCACGTACAGTCAGCACACTGATAGTGGTGTTGAGGCACGGTAACTCGTGTGCTATGAGAATAGCCTACACTACGCCCCGTTTCTGTCAGCTTTCGAATTGGCTCTTCCCATTCGTTCAAACATTTGTTTGTGGCTTACGGTCATGTTTCCTCGACGCTCTCGGTGAGACCGATCTTACATTGGGCATGTGATTCAAACCCTTCAGACACAGCGGGTTCTTCCTGTGTAGCAGTCGAGAAGAAGAACAAATTCGCGAAGAACCGAGACAGGTCGTCTAGAAAGCCGCAAGTGAAGTTTTTCGTGCCGGAAGCACTTCTAGACTGACGATGTTTTGAACATGTCCCAACTTTAAACATTATGCGGCGCGGGGAAAGGGCCCTAGGCCTATGATACTAGCGGCATGTTGCCTGTGTTCTGAGTACTTTGGGGTGTTTGAATAATCTCCACTCAGTGCCGCGTTCCGTAGGCGACCAGAGAATACTTGGTGTCTACATCTTCTTCCCCGAATGGCCAGTCGGATGCCTCGCGTTTCCCGAGGACTTCGGCCATTGACTCGTTATAGCTTTTCCCGATTCGGAGAGAAAACATTCCCTCTCGCTGAAATGGGTCAAAAGCAGCACACGCAATCCTTACTGACTGATAAGGCATCGACCCTCCAATGTTGTCTCACCGCCGCGGGGGCTCCCTGATTGGCGACCAGGGCGCACTTCACATCTGCGGCTGCAAGACGACAGGTTTACGTGCGGGAACACTAGTTGACGGGCCGCAAGCGGATCGAGGGACAGCATTTTTGAAGGCCTGGCAGTTGAGCAATTTTGAGCTGAACGTTCAGTGGTCTGTAGAATGTGGAAAACATCCCTTGATTGAATCGCCTCTGGTGCCGCGACATTCCGAGATACCACACGCAATATTTGACAGCTTGTGTGATTGGAGGCCTGAACTAGTTTTCAGCTCATTTTGACTAGTCTGGGGCGGTGTCTTGATGCAAACCCTGGAATGCCACTTCTCAGCCATCCCGCCCTTGCTGAGGTAAGATACTTTGGAGATGCAGAAAGCAGCACCCCGACTATTCACACGAGCCGTGGTGGGCAGAAAATTACAACACCGCAGAAACCCTATCTCTGACGCCACTGTCAGATTGGGGGCCAGCGTGAAAGTTTCATCGAGGAATAGCCCACATCAAGGGGCTTTCAAGAGCTTCAGCACGTGAAAACAGCCACCACAGCATGTGAGTGAGAGACAACAAGGTCTTGATCTGCATTCCAAGACTGCGTCTACTCCCTTCTGCATGCTTGCCACATTACGGCAAGATTCCAGCCAGCAGCAAAGCCAATGATGAGATGACATTCATGAGAAAATGATATAAGAAAATAACTTGCCTCACAATTCTTATCGTAAGACTTGGCTTTGAAGTTCCTTTCTTGTCAGCTGAGCCGACCCAGACAGACCTTCTTCGAGAATGGCGAAAGTCAATGTTTATCATTCCCTCCCGAAGGACCTGAGCAACCAGAAGGTTGTCGCCGAGTCCATTCGGCCGGTCACCACCGCCGACCTCCGATCGCTCCTCCGCAAAGAGGGCCCCCATCGCCCCATCAAGGATAGGATCGCCAAGCTCGAACTCCGGAAGCCTGACTACTACACAGGGGCACCATGGAAGCTCATTCGCGACGATGCGATCTTGTTCGTGAGAAATATCCCTTACCTACTTGGCATCGTCCTCCCTCTGTTTGAGAAGCCGCCTACGCGGTCATTCGACATTGAGCGTACCGATGATCAGGGCTTCAGCATCAATCGTCTTAGGCGCCAATTCGAGGCTTTTGCGCAACGATACTTCCATTCTGGCCCCCTCGATGAGCTCTACCCGTCCTTCGCCAACATCTATGACATGACCTTCCACCTCATCCTCATCATCGCCCAGTCCACCTTTCTCATCTCGCTCCCATTCTTGTCCTTCTTCTCCTTCAATCTTGTCGTCGCTTACATTATTGGCTTCGTCACCTTGAACTACTTCGTGTGCTATGCGCTGAATGGCTACATGCCCGATGGATATATCCAATCCACCGACTTTCCGGAAGCCAGTCTTTGGGACGAAGAGCACAGCAAAGAGCAATGGATCTTCCTTAACGGAGTCGCAGTCGGGTTAGTCTTCCCGTATGTTGGTTCTTAGATGCTTGGAGCTAATGATTCCACAGACAACACTGGTTGCGAAGCAACATCGACCGAATCTCCTTGACCTTCCATCGCAGAGTCATTGGTGTCCACAACAAGACGTAAGATGACAGTCATACCTCACGGTCCCATTCAATCTGACATTTAGTACCGTGCCGGCATTATCTTCGATGTCATTCAATGCCTCCTCGAGCGTTGCTTATACTTTGGCACCTCCGACACTAGAGCCTGCTTCGCTCTGATCTCGGAGGCCCTTATGCATCCCGAAAAGGAGAAGGTGGTGCTGGTCCTCCACTCCCAGGGCGGGCTCGAAGGCAGTATCATCTTGGACTGGCTCATCAATCAACATCCCCGAGACATCCTTCAAAAGCTGGAGATCTATACCTTCGGTAATGTTGCAAATCACTTCAACAACCCGCGCGTGTTCAAGACCGACCACGGCGAGCACGATGGCCGCAATCGCGCCATCCGCCACATCGAGCACTACGCCAACTCGTTTGACTTCGTGTCGAGATGGGGTGTCATGCACTTCAAGAAGAAGACCGCCGATCAGCAAGACCGCTCTGTCATCTACAACCTGAACGCGGCTGTCCTGTCCGGCCGCACCGAACCCAAGAAGCACCTCAGCAAGAGGCAGATCAAGGAGAACAACAAACTCGAGAAGGCGTGGAACTCGTATAGTGGAGCCCTGTTCGAGCGCATCGGTTCTGGTCACCAGTTAAACCAGCACTACCTTGATAATATGTTCCCACTCGACAAGGGTCTCACGAAGGTCCAGCAGAATGGCGACGGCTCCCCTCTACCAAACACGTTCATGGATGCCGAGGTCAATGTGTACAACGATCCTAAGCAGATCAACAGGCTAAGGAACCTGCAGAATGGATTCTACGGCCATGAACACAATGGTGAACACCATGGTATCAATGGAGATGTCACTATCAAGAAGGTGTATCAGCTGAGTCGTCTTTGGAAGTACGTCAATGGCAATAGTCCCAAAGAAGAAGAGTATGCAGGAGAGTATTAGTCTGGCTGCCATTGTATGAAACGACCTGCTGCCACAAAACCTGTAGCAAAGGAAGAGCGTTGCTAGATATGCCCTGCATAATACAGTAGTCTTGGTCAATGGCATATTTGTATGTCACGAACAATTTACCATGACACCATGAGCTAAAGCATTTGACACGGAGTCTCCATGTATGTGGCTGACGAGAATGCTGACTCCCACGGCGTGTGAAATGCCTCCATACGCCTGAAGAACCTTTCGACGACCTGCAAATTACAGCCATTTTCTACCTACGGGAGATTGGCCTCTTCAATTTTGAATTTGTTGTTCACTCTTCCATCTGCATGCATGCCATTCACTGATGACGGTGGTGGGTTTGAATTGGCTCTACCGTCTGCAGTGTCGAAGCTAGTATCATACCCTGCAGTCAGCCACCCCATGGTCGAATTCTACGAAAGCTTCCTACCAGGCCCTGAAGTTCGATCCTATTTTACAGCAATGACGCAGCAGATTACACAGCAAACAGCATTTCGGACTCGCTAGGCGTTGCGATCTTATGAATCCCGAAGTCATACTTATGTGCAAGCTGCAATACCAGAGCTTTCACTAGTTATGAGATATCAGGATCAGGAATTTTCAGAGACGCCAATCGTATTTGCTTGTCATGCATTGAAGCATCTCTATTCATGAAGCATCTAAATCCGTCGCCCGCCAAGACGGCGAAAGTGGGGACTGCCGGAGCGGCCCGAGTGATGCGGGTCTCTGCTTCGGCCTGGGAGATTTTCAGTATTCCTTCCGTGAGCTGGATGCCGATGGATGCGCACAAATTTGAGCATATCGATGCGCTTGAAGCCAAGTGCGACGAATTGAGGAAGTAAGGCCGGTAGCATCCGGTCACGCGGCGACGAATATGTCCGGCAGTTCAATACGCATTGGCCACATTAGCTTCTCGAGGAGTCCAGAGTATCTCAAGGATGCCTTCTCGGGGCGTTCATTCCCCATCTTCAACTTCCAGAATGCGGATTCCGTGTTCCCGGTCTTCAGAAGAGAAAGTAAGCGCCGTAGTAACCCAAGAGTGATTGAAAACAGTTCTTGGCGCCTAACCGGCCCGTCCGAAGGTTCTAAAAACGGAATGTGGGAGAGCTGTGATCATGTCGGGGGCAGTTTTCTGTCGGCGGTGGGGCTGAGAATTCGAGATTGAAGAACTGGGGGCTTGGCTCGCTAGCCGCGTAAGGTCTTGCGCATTCAGGTGCACCATCTGCCCATGGTCACAACGACTCGCCAGATCCACCGCGGACAAAACCGATAAGCGGCGGGAAGGAGCTGTTGGTGATGTTCTCCACATGTCTATGGAGCAGTTAATGATGGGCAGAACCGTCCATTGGCTACGCGCTTCATCCCTGCGTTTGCCCCTAGCTGTGAACGAATGTCGGCACGCGACATCCAGCTGAGTGTTTGCTGTGCATAACTCCAAAGAGCATCGTCAATTCTTTTAATCATCGCTTTTCGGTTCAGCAGCCGTCTTTCTCCTGCCAGTTATACAGGGCAATCATGCGATTAATCAGATGTCTGCAAATGTGGTCTGGTAAACCTGGCAGGGCAGTGTCCTTGACCTGTGTAATTTCCTGTTGGTTCTGTCTTGACACTTTTCAGGATGGATCGCCATTGAACCATGGCAAGCCACCATGGCACGTTCGCCGCTTGTCCCATCCCTACTCCGCGAGGAGGACCGGCGCTTGAGCCACTGTGAATGACGGCGGCGGCCTGCATTCCGCCTGCCAGGGCAGCTTAGCGGCGCTGAAGTTAGCATCACACTGATCTAGCAATGATTTTCAATAGACCAGAGATGTGGGATGATGCTACAGCGCTGTTGGTTCAAAGTAGCATTGCGCAGCTTGGCTTGCTGGGGGCCGAGGGAAATAGATTATTCTCTTTGTTCAACCGACACACCCCTTCGCAGTGAATAGCTGGGGGTCAAAGCCACACATAACACAAAATCGTCATGTCGCAAGCATCAACAGTCTTCGTCTCCCGGAACGGCGGCTTTGAACGAGTAGGACCTACGATGTTGTAATACGCTTGGGAGAAGTCAGAGTGAATGAAGACCGCAATCTCATCTGACTGATGAGAAGTTTTCAGAAGATAGCGAAATGAACAACATGCTTCCATGCGAAGTTGAAGCCATTTGGGTGAGGGTCTGTTGGCGCTTGCAAGGGTGAGGCGCAGTCGCTGAACAGCGAATCGCGCTGAAGCTTAGGATGCAACCCTGAAAGTTTGCAACCGCCTCACCCTAGTCCTTGTTAGTGGGCCAAACCGGTCTCCGGCAAATCACGATACAGCAAAGCTTCAAGGCTTAGTTGGTTTATCGTAGGGACCTAGGGGCTAGCTGGGGTGCCAAGCGGATATGACGGGTGACAAACAGTCTCAATTTGCATTGTTCACAAGGGGAATGGTGTTGGTAGTTAGTTAGGCCATCACTCATAAAAATCCGGCACCACCCAGAGGAGTTTGGGCTACGAGTTCGTCTTGAAGGTCCTCCCTCTCGGCATGTTCAGCCCAGCATGGTTATCGTACCAAAGTCATCCTCGCGGATGACGACGACAATTCTTTCTGTTTGTATTCTGTTCATGTTTATGTACTCAGTGTCATTCCTGTCTACTTACTACCATCCTACTTCTCTACAAACACCATTACAAATGCCACCACAGACGCCAAGTCCCCCGAAAGTCTTTGAGCAACCCGAAGAAAAGCCATCGGCATGGCAGAACGAAGCGAAATCGATCATCGAGAAGGCGAGATCCTTCATAGATACCCCCATACGTGCCCCGTACAAGGAGAAGTTCTACGATGTTGGCCAACGAACTCAGATCGCGCGGGAATGGGTCAAGTTTCTTGACTCAGCTGGTGAATCAGACGACAAACAGACTGTCAAGGACGCCGTCGAGAGCGCGATCGGATCCCTATTTCCCTTCATTCAGAACTCACCGAAACGACCCGACAGCACTACACCGTTCACCGATGTGAGATCCTCCATCGAGCCAGGATCACGTGGCATTGTCATTCCAACGGGAAAGGCGACCATGAGATACGCTGCCCATCTTATCGGATCGCTTCGTGAGGTGCTCCACACCAAATTGGCGATCCAGATCGTCTATGCGGGAGATGAAGATTTCCCGGCTGCTGATCGCGAACGGCTGCAAGCACGCTTCGAAGACGTCGAGTTTTTGGATATCTTGTCAGTGCTTGATGACACAACTGTCCAGCTGGCTACTGGAGGCTGGGCCATTAAAGCTTTCGCTGCCCTCTACTCGCCTTTCGAAGAGGTCATTTTGATGGATGCCGATTCAGTCTTCCTACAAGTTCCCGAAAAGCTTTATTTCATCCCGTCCTACATTTCAACCGGAGTCCTCCTCTTCCACGATCGCCTGCTCTGGCAGCACGCCTTCGCGGAACGCCACGAGTGGTGGAGATCGCAAATTCGCGAGCCCAGTGCGACACTTAACAAGTCTCTGGTGTGGACAGAGGATTACGCGGAAGAGGGCGACTCTGGCGTGGTTGTCATTGACAAGTCGCGTTTAGACGTGTTGATGGGTCTCTTGCATGTGGCGTGGCAGAACACGCACGCCGTCCGCGAGGAGGTTACGTATGTGATGACGTACGGCGATAAGGAGTCGTGGTGGTTTGGTTTCGAGCTTAGTGGGGCGAGCTACTCGTTCGAAAAGCACTACGGCGCCATGGTTGGCTGGGTCCGCGACAAGCTGTCGGAATCTAGGGAGAGGATTTGCAGCTTCGTCATCGGTCATGTTGATGATGAGAATGGGCTGCTCTGGTACAACGGAGGGCTTTTGAAGAACAAAAAGATCGATGCCCACGAGTTCGGGCTGCCGACCCACACAATGGTCGACGGAACTTGGGAAAAGGGCGCTAGAAGGACAGACATGAGCTGTATGGTCGGTCCGGCGGGCAAGCCTGTGGATGAAGATAAGGGGGAAATTCTGGAAAGGTCTGTCGCATTGGCGCAAGAGTTAGACGACGAGTTTGACTTTGTCTAGAGAGGCCGACCACTGATTGATGACGAGAAGCTCAGAGGTTTTGCATTGTATCATAAACATTATACCCAGAGAATAGAATTGTTCATAAAGTTCTGTTGCCTGTGTCAATTTTGGATGAGTGCTCAATATCATAAGTTAGGCTCGGGGAAAATCATCAAACCTTTGATTCACAATTTCCAGCTTGATTTAGGAGAAGGACACGCGGCATGGCGCCTGTCATACCTATGTTGAAACTTGCGCTGACTTGCTTTAAAACAGCGGCGATGAACATAGACAAAATAGAATAGATTATTCGTACAACTCTCGATCTATTTTCCCTCGAGACTGTCTCTGTCGATGGAGATCATCTCGTCCAATGCAGCTCGCAAGTTGATAGTGACGTCTTCACTTTGCTCTCCAGCCTTCAGAATCTCCTCAAGTTTCCCAGCCCAACTCTTCCATCTTTCCAACCCCCACAAATCATTGTTGATCCTCTTCATGTCCGCATAGATGACCTTTCCAGCATGGATAATCCACTCTGATGCAACCAACAATCGACATTCTGCTAGCTTTCCTTTGGGCAGGTCCTTCTCCAGCGCCAACTCGATATCGACGTTGGGATACTTCAAGTGTGTTGACCACGGCTTGTAGATCTCGGCACCATGGTAGCGAGCTTGGAAAGAAGAAAAGTTGACCCATTGATCGCACCTTCGGATGAAGGCTTGTTTCTGCTTCGGGTCCTCAGGCTCAGGTCGGTCAGAGGCTGCTGTAGGTTAGTGGCTGTGCATACCACCGGGAATCTTTCAGGAACCTTGAGACTTACCAAATTTCCCATTCCATTCTTCTTCGCACATTATTCCGAACACAGGGTCGTTGTGGAAAGCGTGATATTCTTCCTAAACAAGTTCTCAGCATTGGTAACAACCTCCGAGAACACATAATTAATGGCATCAAACATACCCCTTCACTCTTGTACGTGACTTTCGGCAGATGCGACAGCTCGACCAAGAATCTGGTCAGTAAGTCTTGGCGTTCATCATAGTACGGCAGAAGCCATGACTGGTGTAAGATCAAGTCATAAAGGTGCGCCAGGTATTCTGGCATGCCTTTGTCTTCCAACCTGTACGGCTTGCGAAGAGGATCTTGGCTTGAAGGTAGGAACCGGGCCCAATAATCGGCGCCGATCTTCAGCGCAGCTTCCAAAGCAGCCACATATCCCTTTTCATGAAACGAAGAGAGCATGTGCAGGATGATTGAGGCGGCCTCGGTGTTTCTCTGGTCCCCCCAGCTCTCTTCGTCTGCGATCTGATCCTCAAGCTCGGCCAACCAGGCTTCAGCAGGAGGATCAGATGCTTGAGGCTCAGAAGAACTTGTGACGGCCATGACAGCTGGAGGTTTCAGTGAGGCGTTTGACTGGGGGAGGTGATTCAACGTGGGGGGAGAAAGACAAGAGAAGAGAGGTTTTAAAGACTGAGAGTCCCAAAAGGTTGACGGTCGGAGCGACGTGATAATAAATGTGATTTTCTGCACAATTGTGGCAGTGCTGAAACTTGCAATGGGATGTCTCGATGTTGGTTGTTGGTTCGGTCGTCTTTCCGGTTCCAAGGTTAGCGCAGCGGTGCTAAGCGCCCGCAGAAGCCGCGCACTGCCTTCCCCAGCTCCACCCGGCGGGCGTGTCGCCCGCTGTGCCGTTGTGGCCGGGTGAGCGCGCCAACATCCCCGGCAGAACTTCTCCAAATCAAGTTGACCGATGTAACAACCGCCGGCCGCACCAACGAGAGATTAAAGCGTTTGGCATTCAAACCAACCATGAAGAAAAACCAGTCGTCCATCGTTCCGGATTTTCGTAGCGTCAATCTGATTGCGGAAAATATGTTGGTTCGGTCTTGGGAACGGCCGGCCATGGGCCATGGCCGCCTTTGCTGGCCAACGTCCATTCCTGCAATCGCCCTCGATTCTGTCGTGGACTTGCAATGTTGTGAATATTTTTGGCAGACAAGTGAGATTACTTAGACGTGAACTTGCTATATCTAAAGACGAATGCTTCGCGTCGAAATTGTTAACACACACCTACCAAGACAGACGCCAAACATCCCATCATCGTGCGAGCCTGCCTGGAGCATACTCGCTGTAGTTGCGGTTTTTATTTTCTGGTACAATCGCTCTTCAATATCAGTATCCAGATTGTGCACTGGATCTCATCACTCTCGTTTCTCGGAATATACCTACACAACATACACATCATGGGCAACAAACAATCGGCCCCTCAGAGGCGCAATACAGACAACGCCGAAAAGCAATTGGTATGTGTTCAGCTTATCTTGATCTATATGATTCCCAGCACGAAGCCTAAAGCTGATACGGCCATGAAGCAATATCGTACCAATCATGGAGTTATACCAGTGGCCAACGTTCCTGGACATCTAGAGGATGCCCCGCCACCCTTCACCGAGACACGATCCGGATTCCCCCATGAGTATAGAAATAATGAAGGTCAAGAAGTGCGGACGCAACCGTTCGCCAATTTCGTTACTGGTCCCAATCGAGCCCAAGGTCCAGCCGGTCAGCTACACGAGTACCCCATTCCGGGACCCAATACACAGTTTCGCTTCGACTACGATCGACGATGCATCAATGCTCGTCAGGCCAACCGACCGATCCACCCGAATGAGCGGGCGAATGTTATGGGTCCGGCGAACGGCGCGCCTCGGAACGATCCTCAACAGACGGGTGCAGCAGTCAGGGTTGCTCGAGTTAATGGCAAGGAAGAAACGGTTGTGGTCGGAGTCATGCACCATCCTGAAGGAGAGCAGCGCATGTTGCAACGAGCACCCTTTGAACCGATCAGTCGCCAGGGGAGGCAAGCGATGGAACGAGAGACTGATGAGAAAGGTCGATCGCGAACATACCCGCCTCGTGGTGTGGATGCAGCGTTTGCCCAAGATGTTGAAGCAAAATATCGGAAAGTCAACCCACCGGCCCATCCTGAGATGCGAGCCAACCCACGACCTCACCCGCTGCGAAGAGCCAGAGGAGCACAGTGAATCATAACGTATCAATGCTGGTGATTACTTCACTTGCTGGTCGACATATTGTCTTTAGAATATCACGCAGTACTCGTTTAGAAAAGTGTCGCGTCAAATTTGTATTTCTGTATTGGGGGATTATCCTTCAAGTTTATTTTTCGCTTGTTTCAGCATGTGCCCGTTGGTGCATTTTCAACAATCGTTCCAGAGCTTGGATTCTGTCTTGAATCCCAGGCGTCATCCCAACTTTTCTGCACCTCTTTAATCGCTTTCGTTTGTTTCGGGAATGCCTCAAGATCGTCGAGCCTTCTGGTCTCTTTTGTGTGTTGCAACCAGCCCTCGCGATGACCGTCAATTGACGTTGCTCTTGGATCGTAGCCCCATATATCATCCGAATGAGTTCTAGACAAAGTTGAAGGATACGTCAGGATTTCTCCTCCAGGCTTCAAGGATCTTCCCCTCGACGACAGGGTATTTGCAGTTCGCGCTGTTCCAAATGACCAATATAGTAAGGCCCTCCCTCGCTTTCGAACACGGCTGTGGCCCGTTCGTGGTCGGTTCGGCAAAAATTCTCGAATATCGAGCTTCTTTTGGATTAGCAAGTTGATTGTTGGCAAACAAGCACAAATAAGTCCGATTGCTAACTCCAGCGCTCTATCCGTAGTCAGCAATCTTCTCACGCTTTATGCACCTGAACACAAGACCTACGTGGTGATGTCTAGCAGAACGAAACCATCCGTTCTATCTGAAGGTTCAAGGAATAGAATAGACTTGTAAAGACGGAAGATGGATACTCCAGTGGCAATGCCGCCAGCACTGAGCAGAGCCACCACCTTGACCTTTGTCCAAAATGGCAGTCGAAGGGAGAATGTCATCGCGAGAGGAAGCAGCAAGATGATAATGTCGGTAAAGACGCCCAAGCACATGTCGGATATAAACACCTTCCGCTGGTTGAGGCAGTTTACTGGTTTGACATCGGAATCCCATGTGGCAGGGATTGGTATGCAAACTAACACCTTCAGCATCATTATCGGTATATAGCAGAACAAAAGTACGTATATAAAGGTGAAAACACCTCTAGATACCCTTTCGTAAACTGCGAATACTCGCGCTTCTAGAAGAAGAAGCGTCGCCTTCGTCAAGTAGGCTGCTGGACAGTAGAGAATGGAGCCGATATAAAGCCACTGGCAATGCTTAGCCTGGAAGGGTATCGGGCAGGTTGATTCCACAGATTTATGACCTACTCGAAGAACCTCCTTGTATGATTCTTTCGTGACTTCCCATTCGTGGTAGCCTTCCCCGTAGTGCGCCACTGTCACATTCCATGAGCGGGTAATCACGCAAAAGGCACAAAGTCAACCACTTACTGACAAGAACAGTACTGATATAGCACATCCATATGCCCTGAAGACAATGTTATCAGAGAGTTTGCCCTTCGCGACACGAGAAAGGAATCGTACATATGCTGCTAAGCACGTCCCTGCGAAGGCTTTAGTGTCCACCCGCTGATTCCAGTTTCGAAGTGGTACTCACAGTCTTCCGTGTACCAATGAGTGTTGAGCGCCATCTTGGAATAGCTTCGCAGACCAAACATGATCGTCGTCAATCCCGTCATGACAGCCAGACCGACTACGAGATTCGTCCTCCCAAGATCTTCCGGCTGCGCGAAATTCGGCACCCGCCCCGGCGGAGGCGCAAATGCTCCCACCGGGCCAGCTTCTTGCGCCATGGTGTCGCCCGCCCGAGTTCAGCTGTTCATTAAATGTCGTGATGATCATTGAAGAAAATAGCGAGGTAAGTGGGTCGGGGACGTTCGGTGTGGGGGGATGGGCAGACAGACTACTTGACAGATCATCAGTATGGCCAATAGCAGCATAATGAATGTGGGATAAAAGTTGGTTGTATTCCTTAGTGTAATCTGCTGGTCCTGCAGTAGATCTATATAAACGATTGGCGTATATCCCTTGTAAGGCAATCCTGGCCTGTGTATGTAGATAACTGAGTAATGACTGTAAGCGGTGAGTTTCATATAAGCGAGGGGATCCCTAGTTCTGACA